TTACCTCATATAATTTTATATTAAATTTTAAATTATAATAAAAAGATAATAATAAATATAAAAAATATAATTTAAAAAAATAATCATTTATCATCATATTTAATTTTTTTTTAAAAGAATGGGACGAATTTATACGGGACTTTGTAAATACTAATCTTACCTCGTCCCTGTTCAAAATCAACATGGATGAGACACCTCACCTCATTCTTTAATCAATTTGAGAAATCTTTGTGTTTATTAAAAGGAATGAGACTTATGGAGACAGGATAAATCGTCATGTCTAATTAAATATCCTACTAAAATCTTATTGAAGATGAATTAATCTTATTTTTAAAAAAATTAACCTAGAAATACCTTAATCATTATTAAAAAAAAAATTTCTACCTTGATAAAACACAACAAGAAAATAGAAGGCACTAATTAGTGATAATAGAAAGCAAGTAATATAATCTCTTAGCCTAATAATTTCACTTTGACCGCTCCCAAACACGTCCAAAAAAAAAGCATCATTAAATGCATCATTAGTGATATGGTGTGGTTTGGGTAAAAAAGGACAAATAAAAGTTGTTTAACGTCTTAATCAAAGCATTAGCTATAATTGAGACCCACTGAATATTCACTGTTTTAGTGATGGTGATCTTCTGCCGACTTCTATAATTTTAAAAAGTAGGAGAATGAACCCATTATTAAAATATGGGCTGTTTAATTAATTAGTTCTTTTACTTACGGGTTTTAAGATGGGCCCACTAAGCTCACGTTCCCTCCACGTCAAGCTACGTAATCGGTTAATATCAGTCCACGTTAGCATGGTAATAACACGTCGTCTTGCCTTGCCAATAGCAGCCGGCATCGATTCCACGCGGCTGACAAAACCATCTCTACACGTCAGCTGCTTGGTGTTTCGTTGCGAGCTAGCCGATTAGCTTATCAAGCTGATGTGGTGTGATTCGTTTTGATGGAACGTATGCGGCGAAGAGCATCATTGGGCACCCAATAGCCATAAACAAAATAATGACAAGATCTTTCTATGTCTCATGAAAAACACAATATTAATGCAGTTTATGATTGTTCATGATTGCTGAATGTGGAGCCATTGGATCTGGACTGGTGATTCGTGACATAGTTATGAATTGTTATTTTTCTTTTTCTTTTTTTCATATATATTCGAATTATATTTCATATCTATTAATACTAAATTTATTATTTTTTTGAATTAAACTAAAGTCAAAACATACTTAATTTTATAGACAGTTGTGCTTGTTTTAGAGTCAATAAACTCAAATCTAGTACTATTAAAAAATAATTATGTCTAATTATTTGTAAGTAATAGGATTAAAACTTAGTTTTGATTAAATATGAACTGGTGATTTGGTGATATGGTTAAAAATTATTATTTTTTATTTTTATATATAAAAAGGGGATAAATGTATTTGGAATTAAAAATAATATTCATATATACATGTAAAATTTTTACATTCGAATAATTTATAAATTGAATAACGAAGGTAATAAAAAGAAAGCAAAAGTAACCATTTAATTTTTAGATAATTGTTGTGAACTTTTATGAATATTCATGAAATCTGTAGAACCTTTTTTTAAAAAAAAAAATTGGAGGAAAATCATTATTCTTACCAATTTCTCTCTCTCTTTCTCTTTTTTTAAAAAGCTTATTCAAAATTTTCTCTATATTTACGATACTCAACTTCTTTAAAAAATTTCGATCAAATCTATTATTTATATCGTTTTTTAATGAATGTAAAAATAATTTTCTTATCCAATCTATTTCGATCCAAATGATGATACACGTTTTTACTTCACTTACCTTAGTTTTTCTCATTTACTTGGTTTTTAGAATTCGACTTTTTTTTACGTAAAATCATAATTTAAATTTTAAATGTAAAATGTCTCTCATTTTCTAGTCAATTGTCTACTACTACATTGTATGATATGATCAATGGTGTAGCATTATGTAGCATTTTTGAATAAGAAATTAAAATTTATTTGTAAAAATGAATTTTCAATTACTACATTATTATATATTGCATTCTTTTTCAAACTTCACCTTGATTGTAGAAACGACTTTTCTGATATCAAGATTAACCCCACAGGATATAGCATTTTCTTAAAAACTATCTCAATACTCAATGTCCATCTATAAAAAAAAGTTTATTTTTTTATTCAACGATAATGATATCTTCGAATCAAATTTTATATGCTTAAAGACTAATATTTTTTAAATGCTTTTAAAAGACATTTTTTAGAGACTAAAATTTAGTTTAATTCAACCTTCGAAATTAATTTGTTCGTCAAGCTGGTTAACTCGACACCAGACCCCGCCTATGGCTGCGTTTGATATTTATAATTTATATACGGTCTATGCCATAAATGGTTGTTTTATCCTTTAATTTTTGGGTTGAAGACTCGAAAGTCAAGCCAAACGAAGCCGAGGCTTCGTGGAAGGTTCGAGGTTAGATCTGACCGTCGTTTGACAATTTCTTCGCGGCAAGAGAAACTAACAGTGATGATGACGCGCCATTTGACAGGCTGTCGGGCCCGCTCAGCTGGTTTCCTTGTAGAGGCAGAAATGCCCTTCCAAAATGATATCCTTTATTTATTCACTTTCGTTTGCATGCACAAGTTCAATATATATATATATTTTTTTTGATAAAACACGCGCAAAGTTCATTAATATACTTTTATTATTTTTAGAGGGTTGTGAAAAGTTCAAACTCGCAATTTAGAAAACTCACAGGAGGCTGAAAAAAAAAAAACCATTGATGGAGCAAAGGATAAAACCTTGTCAAAAGAAAGCTAATTAAATATTTTTTACCTGGACACTTAATTTAGGTAATAGTGAGTTTTTCAATATTATTCTCTTATATGTTTCAATTTAATTACAAACTTTTGGATACATTTTCACAAATGTAATCATCTAAGGGATGTATGATTTTTTTTTTTATTATTAATATTTACAAGTATTACATATTTCTAAATCAGCTTTTACATCAATTGAAATTAAATTTATTATTTTTTAAAATAAATCAGTATCGGAACGTATTTAATTTTTGATCGATTATTAGACTGTCTCTTATGCCATACTAATTCAAATTTAATATAATTAAAAAACAATTACAATTAATTATTTATGAATAATAAAAATTGAAAGTTGGTTTTGACTAAATCAAAACAATTTTTTTATTGCTACACTACATTTTCATGATCCATGATTTGTCAAATGAAAAACTCAACCTAAAATGAACTTAATCTTACTGATACAACTATATAAGAACCAGCTTAACATTACCTAACCGTTAAAAATAAAAATAAAATTATCCCTTACACCCACGATGAAATGGATAAGTTGATGCACCACAAGTGCAATTTCAAGTTCTAAGTTGCTATAACGTGGTAACATGGTCATGACACATGTCAGACTGTCTGCGTGGGCATGGTTGCTAAATAACAAGCTAGTTTACTAGATTTATTAAAGCAGTGATTGTGAAATTAGTAGTTCTATTCACATGATGATTGATATATCCAGCTTTTAACCATTTTATCTGCTGATGAATAACAATATATTGAATGGCTAAACTTTGCAGCAAGAAACGGGTAACAATGTTTTTATTTATTTATTTAATATTGAAATTTGTTCTTGTAATATTTAAATTAATTTTATTTATTTAAGTATGATATAAAATAAATAATGTATTATTGAACATTTGAATAGACTAGTCTTTCTATCTAATTTCAAAATCATACAATGAAATGAAATGTGATTAATAGAGATAGATGAAAGAAATGGTTTGTTCAAACATTTAATAGTATAGAATTTATTTTATACTATAACTTGATAAAGAGGTAAAAAAAATATTAAATAATATAAGAACATGAGTTGAGTTTAACTTGATAATTTAGCCTAATGACAGCGTGTAAGTTATAGATTAGTCTTTTTTTGTTTTGCAAAACAAATTAAATAGTTCTTCTAGTTTTAAAACTAATTAATTTGTCATTTTCATCCATTTTATGTCATTTATTCATTTATTTGAAGAAATTAAAAAGTAGATATTAGAGAAAGTTTGATGAAAAAAGAACATATTTTTAGAATAAATTAATATTAAATTAAACATGATTAACAGTGGTTAAATGACTAATTAATTAGTTTTCAAAACTAAAAAGACTATTTAATTTATTTTATAAAACTAAAGGGACCGATTTATAATTTACAAAACGATAGCCATTGCCAAAAGCAGAAATATAACAGGAAACAAAATACCAGTCCAACCATATATTACAGTGATGAGGACAATTTCGTCACAAAGACAACCAAAAATTTGGTCAGTACTGATCTCATTAATCTCGCTCTCTCTCTTCTTAATTTTATTTATGAATATGGTCTCTTTCTTCTTCTCATTTTTTTCCTCTTTTTTTCCAAGTCTCAATAGGAGAATTAAACTGGGACCACACTCCCGTCGTTACCCCACTTCCATTTTTTTTTTGGTTGATTTGTCAGAGGGCCAAAATAAAATCTTACATCTTTTCCTTTCTTTAATCGAAGCCAAAAAAACTTTGTTAAGCTCCAAACTCTCCATACCTTTCCCTGCTGTCCAAAAATCGAAGTGTTTCTTTGCTTTCAAATAAAAACCTCTCCCCTTCCTTGGTGTTCAACGCTTCTTTTTTTTTCATAAACGTTTTTTTTAAACCATTAGTCCTTCATTTACCTTCTTATTAATTCATTAAAACCCAGTTCAATTCACTCAAATTACTCATCTGGGTTTCTCTTATTTCCCTCAAATTTCAAATTCTTCATTTTTTAGCTTAAAGTTTGTATTTGACCTTAGTTTTTTCCTCAAGTTTAGTGATCCAAAGCTCTCTTTCTTTATTGAAAGAAATCCGTTTAACTTCTTTCAGTTTTGTCATCTGGGTTTCCCTTATTTCTCTCAAAACCCTCACTTTAAGGCTATATTTGAGTTTTTCAATCGTTTTGGGGGTCTTTGATACCCATGGTATTAACGGAGGGTCCGAATTCCGAGTTGATGAGTCGACTCGTTGACTTAGTGAAAGAGATTTCTGGGTTGCGGGAATGTAGAAATGTTTGCAAGAAGATGCATGGCAATTTGGTACGTAGAATCAAGCTATTGAGCCCTTTGTTTGAGGAATCGAAGGATATCAGTGAAGAGCTAAGCGAAGAAGAGACTAAAGGGTTTGAATTACTGAGAATCGCTTTAGATTCTGCTAAGGAGCTTCTCAAATCAGTTGCAGAAGGAAGCAAGGTGTATCAGGTACTGTTTTCTGTCCCTTCTGTTTGGTTGCCAGGAAGTGAAGAAAAATGAAAGCTTTAAGCTTCGTGTTTCATGCTTTTGTGTTAGCAATGAGTTGGAACTATAGTTTAATTATGGTATGTTCTCTGGGGGGTTGGTTAAGTTATTTTATTGTCTGTTGGGTTTTATGAGGAAAGTTTCGTTTGTTTGTTTATTTGTCTCAATTTTCTGTTTGTTTCCTGATAAAATGGAAGGAAGTTGTGGTTTTGAGTTTTATTTTTTCCTTGTATTTGAAAAATGAAGATATTTTTTTTCATTTAGAACAGAAGGAAAGTTAAGGACCTCGATTCTGAACTTCTAGATTATTAGTTTTATCAGCAACTAAATAGATAACTGTTTATGTTTGAAAACATAAAAAACAATCGGTAGAAATTTCCGTAAATTGAAAGAACTGACCTGAAAAATACAGAGTTTTCTTAACGAAGGTTGAGTCGTGTAATTAGGAAATGTCTGTCAGTGAATTTTGTGACCAAGTTCCTACATTTTTTTTTGTTGTTTTGTTTTTTGTCTGGTGGTAAAAATATTTCAATCAGCATCCTGAATTCCTGGTGGGATTGCATGATTTCTTGGAATTCTGATTCTAGTCACCATCATGTTATACTTCTGTTGTTCTGCAACCAATACTTTTGGGTTTTTTCCATTGCTGGTTTCTGAAAACGATCACTCAGTTTTTGAGGTCGAATGATTTGATATGAGTAAGTCTGTATGTCGAGATGTTGGTACCAAAGTTAGGAGGGTGTTTTCATTTGCTAACATAATTCTTTATATTTAAGTTCTAAATCTGAATGAAGCCATGCTTGGAATGCACAGACCTTGCAAAGGGATGGCATAGCAGATAAGTTCAACCAGATCACGGAAGAAATTGAAGCAGCATTGAGTCAGATTCCTTATGACAAACTCAATTTATCTGAGGAAGTTCAAGAACAGGTATTCTTGTGGCAGAATTGATTTTTTTTTAGCATATTTACAAGGACCCGCTTTACCATTTTAGTTTTGCACAACGAGGGATATTTTGAAGAATTATAGTTTTGGCACAAAATAATCACTTGGATTAATCAATGGATTGATTAATTTTAGTGCTGACAATTGATGTGATATCTGTTGCGTTTTCCTAGATTGAACTTGTGCACGCTCAATTCAGAAGAGCGAAGGGAAGGCCAGAACTTCAAGATCATCAACTCGAAGTTGATTTGGCCATAGCACAGAGAGAAAGGGAGCCTGACCCTGCAGTACTAAAAAGACTTTCAGAAAAACTGCATCTCCAGACTATCGATGATCTAAAGAAAGAATCCCTTGCATTCCATGAACTGGTTATTGCAAGTGGTGGAGATCCAGGAGACTGGTTTGAGAAGATGTCATCCCTCTTTAAGAAGTTAAAGGACTATGTCCAGGTGGAAAACCCTGAAGCTGATTCTTCTGAGGCTGAAAAAGCCATGATTAAACACAGATCTCCAGTTATCCCAGATGATTTCCGGTGCCCAATATCTCTTGAACTAATGAAAGATCCTGTTATTGTCTCTACCGGACAGGTAAACTAAAAATTGTCTCATAGTTTGTAGCTTTGGAGCTTTGTTGGTAGCCATTGTCTTAATGTTTTCTTTCCTTCTACAGACTTATGAAAGGTCCTGCATCCAAAAATGGCTAGATGCAGGTCACAAGACCTGTCCAAAAACACAGCAGACCCTCCTGCATACTGCACTTACACCTAACTATGTTTTGAAGAGTCTGATTGCTTTATGGTGTGAGAGCAATGGTGTAGAGCTTCCTAAACAGCCAGGGGCTTGTAGAAGCAAAAAAGTAGGAAGCAGTATTTCAGATTGTGACCGAGCTGCAATAGCTACCTTATTAGACAAATTAGCAAATGGTAATGCAGAACAACAAAGATCAGCTGCTGGAGAGCTTCGTTTATTAGCAAAGAGGAATGCAGACAACAGAGTCTGTATTGCAGAAGCAGGAGCAATTCCACTCCTTGTGGAGCTATTATCCTCAACAGATCCTCGGACCCAAGAGCATGCTGTTACAGCACTTCTCAACCTTTCCATAAATGATATTAACAAGGGCACCATTGTTAACGCAGGAGCCATTCCTGATATAGTAGATGTTTTGAAAAATGGAAGCATGGAGGCAAGAGAAAATGCAGCCGCAACCCTTTTCAGTTTATCTGTTATAGATGAGAATAAGGTGGCAATAGGAGCAGCTGGGGCAATCCCTGCTCTTATAAAGTTGCTATGTGATGGGACTCCAAGAGGAAAGAAGGATGCTGCTACTGCTATCTTTAATCTTTCAATCTATCAAGGAAACAAGGCAAGGGCTGTGAAGGCTGGTATTGTGCCACCCCTGATGAGGTTGCTGAAGGATGCCGGGGGAGGAATGGTGGATGAAGCATTGGCAATTCTTGCCATTCTTGCTAGTCATCAAGAAGGGAAGGTGGCAATTGGTCAGGCTGATCCAATTCCTGTTCTGATGGATGTCATCAGCACTGGATCTCCACGCAACCGGGAGAATGCTGCAGCGATCTTGTGGTCACTTTGCACTGGCGATTCACAGCAGTTGAAGTTAGCTAGGCAGTTTGGTGCTGAAGAGGCATTAAAAGAACTATCTGAAAGTGGTACTGACAGGGCCAAGAGAAAAGCTGGAAGCATAATAGAGCTCCTTCAACGAGTTGATGCTGTTGTTACTCAAAGCCAACTCTGACTCTTGCAGCAATATTACAGAAAATTGCAAGCCAAAATCATGTCTGTTTGAAAGGTCCTTAGATTTTGAATAGGTGTTACTGTATAAAAGGGTAAATATGGAAGTGTGCATATTGGCAGCTTAGGTATACAAGGCTGGTGCATATCCACCAATTCAGATAAAAGGTAAAACTAATGGCAAGCATTTATCACACACAGAGGAAAGGTCAGTGGCTCTGGATTTAAAATTGTGCCGTCTCTGGAGAGACTTGGTCTCTTTCTATGAGCTGGTGATCATCACTGTTCAGCAAATTAATATATTCATGACATGGAGGAGGTCAACATCGAGAAGATGAAATCAACAACCGTATAGTGATTTCATGGTGTTATATATAGAGCTTGTCGGCCAAAGTACAGCATTCATGCATGAATCTTTTACTTTGTCCAGGTGATGTAAAACTATCCATTCAGTAAAATCATCTTCCATGGAACGCTTAGAAGTGCTTTGGGCATCCACTTTTCCTCACCAAAAGTTCTGTAATATGTTATTGAGGTTGGAACAGACTCATAATGGCTATATTTTAAAATCATTTTCACTTGTCATCTGATCCCTTTCCTGCCATGATTGCTGAGTAGAAGGGGAAACCTGTAGTTAGCCTAAGATGACGTGAAACTAAATAGATCGGGAAGACTGAGCAAGATGTTAACAAGCTAAGCAATAGCTACACTCCCACCAAATAACTCGAAATCATTTAGCTATTCTCATCTAATGACTGAAGACACTAGGGGCAGGTTGGCAGTCATTTGTTTACCGGGAAAAATTATCTTCTATACAACCCAACCCAATTACCAAATTTACAAGAATTCCACACCATATATACACCAGTATTTCCAATGGGAAAAGAAAAGCAAGAGACCAATGTTTCTCCAAACATCACTTCGGCATTTTTTTCCGCGTGCTCGCCTTTGCTGTGAAAGTCTGATTTGGTAAGCCAAAAAATTCCCACGTCTGCGCTTCAGAAGCGTATATAATTCTTCACAAATTAGCTCAACTTTTCCATGTATGTCTCAGTCAAGGTATTGCCATTGACGATTTTTGTTGTCCCGATAATCAAATCATATGCCATGGCTTCCTGAAGAATAGAAGATTAGGATACAAACAAAAACAAAGGGAAATAAACTAACCAAAAAAAAAAAAAAACTAACGTGGTGTAACCATTTAAATAAATAATCTTATCAGTCAAAATAGGCTGACAATTTGTTTTTTTTTTTTTTTCCACAAGTTCTATCCTTTATTCATTTTGAAATGTTAGTCTAAATGATTCCATTAATATGGGAGAAAAACCAAGGTCTCACCCCAAGCAATCAGTATAATCAACTGCCTGATAAAAGATTTGTATATTAGAATTGCCTACTAATAATTCGTGTACACAGAAGTATTTCACAAACCTGAGCACTAAGAAATCGAAGTGCAGAGATTTCTGCAAATGTTACCCCTCCAATGAACACAACAAGTACCAAGGAGCGTCTTCCATCAGCAACTCTGAAATATGTTAACTAGTGTTACAATTGACTGACGATCAAAACATTGCATGATACAAGTTGAAAATGAATTTACTCTAAACACTAGGAATACAGGATTAATCCAACTAGTTTAGTAATCATTCAGTCACAAAAACATTTTGTACTACCGAGTACTGGGTAGAAGTAACACAAAGAGATATGCACATAAAATTTTATGATCATTTATCACAGGCCAACACTGTTCACCAATCAAAAAATTTAAATAACCTCATAGACATCAATGTTGACATGGCACCCATCAAAGCGATGTAAATATCAATTGACTAGAAACAACAGCTTAAGCAGCAGACAAGAAACTGGGATGAATTTGCACATACCTATCTACAGCTGCTGAAGCCCCATTCAGTGTGCTGATCGAAGGACTGCTTGAGAATCCACCCTGCACAAGTAGTATAAAAGCTATTGTCACAAAGATATCAAAACTTTCTACGATATGCATATATTTTTAAGACATTAACATACCATCAGTAAAACAAAAAATGTTAGATGCAACAGCAAAACAAAAGGAAGAGAAGAGAGAGAGAAGTGTACTGACTCTCTTCATTTCTGAATGAGGTCCTGGCAACAGCTTCAAAATTTCTTCCATGGGACGCCTGAAAGGTCAAGCCATCACATTTGACTAAGATTAGGTCACTGGTAAAGTTCACATTTATAGTGCAAAGATGGTAATAAATCCAAGTACCAAAGAACATACAAGACCTTAAGCACCTAGCAATCTCAAACAAGGTGGTGATAAATCAACTTCAAATGATTGTGTTTTAGTTAGACTCAAATCACACTAAACTTGCTTCAATTCAACCTATAATTTTTAAGGGTTTTATCTTCATGAAATTAAGACCAGAAAGAGTGCACATGCTTTTAATCTTTTTAGGCAGTTCACAAGTTAATTGTAAACATAAATATAGATAACCAGTAAGCATGCACAATCCACTGCTGAAGTACAAGAGCTAAAAACAGAAAGCAAAATTGACCTCACCATCCAGATCGAACAGCATGTTGAACAAGGCGAATGCTAAGTGGTGCATATCCAGAAAAGACGTAGGCAATGTCAGTGGGGCTGTTGCATAAGAAATAGCTTTACAAGTTAGGAAAGAAAACTGCAGGATTACTATAAAAGGCAAACTTACAAAATAAATCAAAACAGCATCGATTTATAAATGCGGAAAATTGTGCGTTCATTTTTGTTTGGTTGTTTTGTTTTTGTTTTTATGTCATTCCATTTCATTTTCAGAAAAGAATTTTCCAGGAAACAGAAATAGATTTGGAGAATTTCCAATTAAGATGCTGTCAGCTTTTTAGTGATGAAGTAGAAGAAACAAATTGAAAGTGTCCTAGAGATGCTCACAGATACAGTTTCAGGAGAATGTAAGGGCATTGGTTTCAAGAAAACAATCCAAAACATGTTTTTAGCAGACTCCCTGCAATTTTCAACTCCATAAACAGAAAAATTTCTGAAGCACAGAGAAACAGGCCCCATAATGCAATCCAGTTCATTGTGACACAGAGCATCCTCAGTTTTGCAGTGAAAGATTAAGGCCAATACAGAACCAAACAGACATTTTAAACATTCTATAAATAATTTTAGTATCAGAAACAGATTGCATGATCAAGAGGTTGATTACTTGGCAGTGTCGGTATCCTCCACTACAAGTTGGAGAGCACGTTTGATTGTTGGCCAGTTGCTTTTACTTTCCTGCAAGATTAGAATGATGTACAGTTAATTTGGTAATTCGATAGAATCCATTTTCCTTAACTATCAGATAATGACGTAAAGCAAAATGAAATGCCTCGTTATTAAGGAAAAATCATACTCAACCTGCTTTTTAAGCAATCCAGCCTTTTCTAAATTAGTCAACATCGCTATGTGCTCAAATCCATAGCTATGGAGCAGCTCTCTCCTAAACAAGAAGTACAGAAATATAACAGCATAACTAGAATGATTACATCATACAATGGATAAAACTGCTGTAGAAGTCCAGAACCAGAGAAATAAAGTACAAAAATGTGAATCAAGCTACTCTTACCTCAAATGGTCAAAATTCTTTTTTGGCAGTCCTGAATTTGTGATAGAAAATAAGATCAGAAGACGCAGGACGCTAACAAGAGGTTCCTGCTTATGGATCAATTCTTCAATGTAATCAAAGCATCTGAAAATACACTCTTCGTCAATTACATAATTCCAAATGTATACAACGTTTTGACGAAAACATTTGAGGTAGAAAGTGCTCTCAACGCGTATGAACAATTAATAAGGTAGTGTTTAATGAATAGGATGAAACAGGACAAGTCCTCTTATATTGTTATTTGGAGAACACATGAGACAGGACAAAAGGCAGTTTTTATCTTGCTCTATACCCAATTTCTGCCCTATCTAAGTCTTTAAAGGAAACCAAATACACTATTTGTATGTACACAACAAAAAAATATTGCCTTCTTCTCAGAGCCTTAAAATGCTGCAAAAAGTCTGTAACCAAAAGACATAAAATAAGTGCAAATGTTGGTCTATTCACCTATTAATCTATGGACAGGAAAAAAAGGGCATGTAAAGCTCTCAAAGCAAGGATGTAAGTGTTCAAATCAACTTACATGTCATAACTCTGAGCCTCAACAAGTGTTTGCTCCATGTCAAGTCGTGAAAGAAATGAATGCTTTGATGTGAATGTTGATAGATGCTGTGCGAGATTTATGTGCCTCTGAAACCATCAGAAGCAGCAAATCAAAATCTAGCATCATTGGAACAACATTGACTGAGGGCATGATTAGTGAAAAGAGAGATTGAATGACTTACAGTCATCTCTGGCAATGAATTCAGCTTTTTAACAAAATCCTTTAACTCAGAAACTGTCTGGTTCTGTATGAATCAAATGAAACCTAATTAGAGCTTGCACATATCATCCAAAAGCTTGATAGGGGATTGACAGTAATGGTACACTACACAATCCACTCTAAGTCTCTAACTAATGGTGGCTATGTCTATTAGGCTTAACATGCAAGAGGAGTCTGAATTATTGGTATAAACTATAGCTGCAACTCTCGAATTAGGAAGTTCTCTAATATAGCAAAAAGAACAAACAAATACCAGATCAACTACTTTAGCAGATTGTGAGTTAGCAATAATTGTTCATTTATTATTATGGAAGGAAAAAAATTGAGAGTTCAAGTGACGACAATTCACGTACAGTAGTTGTCATTTCTGTGTAGTCCTGCTTCATAGATGTTGCCTTTTGACGTAGGACCTGAAATCATACTACAGATGGCAAGTAAGGAAATAGAAATTCAAGAGCATGCATAGAACTGATAATAGTTTGCAAAAGAGAATGCTAAATTAATATGGGAAATATAATAAAATTCCAGAAAAATGGAGCAACCTGGACAACAACTTCAAAGTTGAGATCCCGAATTTCCTTGAACAGCTTGTCACTGAAAAAGGTTCAGCCGTGTACAGCGAGTTAATTGCCAAGACATAAGAGAAAGCAGAGGTGGAGAGCAAGAGAAAACTTTCTGACAGTTCAATTAAAAATATGAGGTATAAATCTTAACCCAACTGCAGCTACGCAACATGCTCTTATACGAGTTAGGATTCATTTAACGATAACACTGTCTAGCAGTCATATCCATCTAAACCCAAATTTGACAGCACATTTCATCTCTTTTACCCTCTTGTTATATAACAGATAAGAGAGAGAGAGAGAGAGAGAGAGAGAGAATACCCTTATCTCACATAGCATACCTTGAATTAAGTGGAACTTTCATCTTTTTTCTTGTTGAGCACCCATGATAGATGGATCAAGCTCCACGGCACCATTGTTGATATGCAAAAACTGCACTAAATCTATTAGAGATAATGACATATCCAATTAATCATAAATAAGTATCACCATTTTTGTCCACTATGGGAATATTTGTGCCTCAAAATATTCAGCTTCAAGTGATAGAAACTAAAATTTTCTGATGATCATGCAGAAGAGGTCGAATACTTTTGCAAGTTGAGGTTATATTTAATTAAGAGCAGAAATTGTAACATTACAGACGCACACACAAACACACACATTTTTCTAAGACTTGAGTATCAAATTTAGTAACAAAAGTAGGATATATATATCTTCCAAAAAGCAAGCTAAATAGCAAAAGAATCTTGATTTCACTTGAGTATCAAATTACCTCATCCACAAGTCCTTCATATGTTAATTGAGAGCACATAGGAGTAACCATGTCCACCTGAAGCAAGGAACTGGTAAATTTTTAAATGGCAAAATTATTTATTTAACTATCAAGATCATAATATGCAAAGTCCAAGAGATAACCAACAAAAAATAAGATTGTTCATGAATGTGAGTTTTACAAATTTTAGCAATAAAGAAGTAGATATAAAGCAACTTCCATCTCATTATCTAAGATTATGACCAATCTCATTTATGCATGCCAGTGCACATACAAATGAGTAACTTGCGTCACATCATCTTGCAAATGTAAGACACAATTACTTAAGCCAAGAAGCAACAGAAGAGAGATCATTTACCTCCCTGTCTATAAGGATGAGCGTATTTATCTCTGGCATAATCATCTGAAACAAGAAGGAAGCTACAAATCACTTTCAAATAGACAAAGAAGATCTAACTTGCACATTGGTTAAAACATAAAAGCATGCTCAAAGTAGCCACAATTACATCGGAAGTGGTAACCGGTTCTTCTGCTTGCATGTGATTGAGAATGTCAGCAACACGTACTGATGCTTTACCTTTTGCCCTCACATTTGGTATCACTCCAAAAGAAGACTGCAGGCATAGCTTTCCATAAATATCAAATCAAGGGAAGCTTATCTGCCAACCTTCTTAATGCTATATTGTTTTAAAAAATGACTTTTTGGACCCGAATCATCTAACCTCAAGCTTGTGAATGGCCTTCGCAATATGCCAAAGTGAACCTGTATTACCATCAACTAGGCATTCCTGCCATGCTCAATAAAATAAAGATACAAGGATGAGGATAAACAAAAAGAATATACAAAAAGTCTTTTGGAGAGAACAAAAAACAAATGCCGTACTTTGTTAGCTAAGTCAAGTTCAAATGATAGTACATCCTCATCCAATGGGACCACGTATAATGGGTACTCCCCAACAGTCACCAAGTTATGAACATTTTCCTCCTCAAGGACCTACATAACCAAATACACCCTTTACAACCCCTGGCATGATTAATACATGGGACATTAATTCATAATTCAAACGGTGCAACCACATGATCTACCATTGAAACCATACCTTCTCACAAACAACCTCACGCCTAGGTACAAAATAAACATAGTACTCCCTCTGGAGTCCTTGAGACGTATCCTTGTGAATATGTGAACATATGAATCTCATCAAACTAAACTCTGAACGAACAAGGTAAACCACTTTAGTACAATCAGTGTCAACTGGTTCAGCTGAAAGATGCTGCAAATCAGCGCCATTTTCCTGTTTGTTCCCGTTACCAATTAACAACAACAGAATGTCTAAAATCAGCAATTAAACTACACAATTAAAACTCATTGGGCTAGTAAAACTCACTAAGCATTACAAGTTGAAGAAATTTTTTACCCTGAGAATTGTTGACTGGATGATCAACGAAAGCGATCCGCTAAGCTTTGGATCAATCACCAAACACTTCTTTCCTCGAATCTATTAAATTCACAATCAAAATCAAAGTTTAAAGTGAATTAAACATGAAATTTCTCAAAATTCAAAAACACTAGCTGGAAACTTAACAGAAGCAATCTACATTGTGCAAAGATTTCCAAAATTTCGCTAAACTAAAGCAACTGATCTACAAGGAACTTGATAATTTGCATTTTTCTTTTATTTTCTCGTGTTTTCTCGGGAAACAAATAGTGAACTTACATTCTTGAGGATGTTAACAAGCTCTTTCTGAGATTGTTCTCTGAAAAAATGAATAAGAAATAATAATTAGTAGATTAAAAAGAGAAGAAGACGAAAGGATTAATGATTGTAATTAAGAGTAATTAACTAAATGGTGATTATTGCTAACCTTAGGGATTTTAGATTGATAGGAGAATTGTCTAAGTTAGGGATTTGAGCCATTATTGATTCGAATTTGAGAGTGCCCAGCTTCTGTACCTGCGACGGGGAAACGGAGGAGAAGACAGGAAAGAAGGAGAGGATGTGATTATGGGCTTAACGTTTTTATTCTTGAACTGGATCCGTGGCTTAACTTGAAAGCTAAAAGAGCTTGGGCTCTACTTTTTTGGGCTGTGGTCATTGCATACGGCTACTGTGGCCTGTTTCGACTCGATTGGTTGGTTTTGCTTTTCAGAGAACCTGCAAAACAAAGAAGCTTAACGGTGATCTTTTTGGGTAGTGTTCCTTGTAGTGCGTAAATATGCCACGTGTCCTCTGTTCTCAGGTGTGTAATATTTTTGTCTGGTAGCTTGACCATGAATTTGTATACCTGTTGGAGATTAGGTATTTGTTCTATTTTGATTTAATTCTTTTTGAAACTCGAAAACCTATTATTCTAGAATATTGTGGTTAAATTGTTTTTACTACCAGCCTTACCAAACATGAATGTAAGTTTCATATTAGTATATTACCAAAACAATTCTTTTTTTCTAAATATTTCTATTTCTCCTCATCGAGTTCAACGTGTTACATAATTTAATAGTTTTGTAAGAAAGCATCAATAAAATAAATTATATAAATTAATACTAAAAAAGGTTGCTCTTACTTTGCAAGATTCTCAAAATGTGTTAGAATTCCATTCACATGTGGCATAAACTTTAATATCATGGAAGATCAAAAAATTGGATAAAATTGCTCTAAACTTCAAGAGTAGGGACTAAAAATATATTTTTTTGGTTAAATTTGCGAGCCTATAAAATTTTTTATATAATTTTATATGGATATATTTTGTGATTATCATTATATCATAATAGAAATATATTTAAATCAAACTCAATTGAAATGAAGTTTTTTTCTATATGATTTCTAAAACACACTTTCACGTTGATTTATTCATTCAGAGATATTTAATAAATTTTTCTATATGTTAAGTTTAAGATCTGAATTTTAAATTAAAAAAAAAATAATTTTTTTTAACTACGAGACTAATTATTTGAAACTAACCTTATATTGTTTTCTAATAAAATTATTAAAGTATTCAATGACAACTCAACTAGGTATACACAGTGATTAAAATATCACTAAATAATTCGTAAGATACGTGCATATCATTAAAATATAATTAAATATACTCATTAGCAATGTCAATTAACATAAGCCATTTTGTTTATTTTTACTTAAAGTCGATTAGTTAATTCGGATTGCTGCAGTTCCTTCTTTTGGTTTTTGATAAATTGCATGATCCTTCTTACGATACAGCCAAACGGTCCTTAGCTTCTTGTTGGCCCCGGTTGCCGCGGAAAGTTCTTTTTTGACTCAGATCACTTTTTCCAAGACACCAGGGACCACAGGACCAGCACAGGTACATTACGGAGGAAAAAGGTGCAAGCATCACGGAATAATGCTGCCACGAGGCGTGAATAGGTGCGTTTACTCATTCAACTGTGAGTGGCGAGTCACGAGCCCATGCTCTTTTGATCCGCTCCTCCCCCGTCTTTTTTAGACGAGGAGGGTGCCCTCACGGCCTGGTATCTGGGAAACGAAAGTATTCCATTTTACCCAAAAGCCCTTCTCATAATCTTTATGCTACGGTCCACGGATGATACTTGTCTTTTTTTTTTGGATGATCTATTTATTTATAACACTCAAGCATAAGCATTCCAGTTAAAATCAATTAATCACTAAATTAAAAAATTGATGTCAGTTATGAATTGCTGATTAAGTAATTTTTCATTAATTGTTAAAGAATTTATAGGCAAAACTGAATAAAAAATTCCAAATGCATAATATATATATATATATGTGTGTGTGTGTGTGAGAGAGAGAGATAGATCAAGATAATATTATCTTATAATAAAAAAACACTACAAAATAACTAATAAATTTGGGTATAGACTTGCATAAATATAATTGACTGCTGCCAAAAACAAATAACAATAAACATTAAAAACGTAAATTTATTGCAAAGGAAAACAAATACAGGCACATAATAAAAAATTAAATTCAACGAATAAAAAATATTTGTATAAAAATCCTTAGTATTCTCTCTTTCTTTACTCTAGGTTTTTTTCTTAGAAAAAGACCCCAATTGCAGCTAGTGATTTATTACTACAACGACCTTCACCTCTCTTTCTTTCTTTCTTTCTTTCTTTTTTTCTTTTTCTTTTTGTTGTTCTGTCCTGTTGTGTCGTTTTTATTCTTAGTGTGTTGACAATTAATGTATTCCTTATTGGTTAAAAGGGAATATTGACGTTATTTGTAATTTTAGATGATTGAAATTTTTTGTCAATTGAATTTGAAATATAATATGTTTCTCTATTGATTTACAATGATGTTAAACTTAACTTGCATATGTGATGTGCAAAAAAAAAAAAAAAAAAAAAGGAAAAGAAAAGAAATCTATACTAGACAATTCTCATCAAAAACTTTTAGTGAGTTTTTATTAACATTGCTAAAAACGCTATTTACAATCTTAATGATCAGTTTTGTGAAAAAATTATCTAATTTTTTCAACATAACAAGTTGCAATGTTCTTTTTAGTTTTTGATATCAATAGCACAAAAATGGTGATGTAGTTGTTTGATTTATATTATCAATAAAATTATCATTTTTTTATACAAAAATGAATAACAAAAATATTGAAAGGAAAAAAAATCCATGAACAACAAAAATAGAATAAAAATAAATAGTAAATTTTGTTGGGAATGAAATAAATAGTACAATTATAAAACTATTGCAAAGAAACACACAAAAAACATTAAATTTTAATTCTATGAAATAAAAAATTAATTTAAAATATTAAAAACCTTCATATTGAAAAAAAAAAGCTACTATATATATATATATTTATAAAAATACCAAATAAACAAAAAACATATTTGATCATTTTATTTGTTGTCTTAATAGTAAGATATTTTTAAGTCAATTTATATATAAATAAACATAGTTCAACCATTGTGTATCTTATATGTTTTTCTAAAAAAACATGTTTAAGTCTTAATGACTCGAGTTTATTTGATTATCGTACAACTAGAAAAGAATAATCTCTCAATACATAAATATAAATAATTAAAAATGACTACTTCTCGTTGTATAATCCAAATTTATGAATAAAAAAGTTGTAATTTTTTTTACGGTACATAGAAGAGTTATCCGAAGTGAGTGTATATTAACAATTTCCAGCATTTTAGATTCAAAACCCCAAATGGTAACAAGGCAAGGAGCAACCGAAAACACACGAACTAACTGTAAAAAACAAATAAAAAGAATAGAAATAAAGAAAAGAGAGGCTAAACTCGTAATTCGCATTAATCTAAAAGGGTACATAGAGCGCTCTCGTCAGAAAAATTCCCAAACAAAACATAACCGAAGTGGCCATTTCAGTAATCTAATCAATCCCCATGATGCCACCATGATCAATTCCCAACGCAACCTTCGCTGCTTCCTATAACAGAAAAAAAAGGAACTATTCCATCTCTCTCTCGGTCTCTCTCACCGCCTCTCCTTCCACTCCGTTCTCACCATGTTCTCTGCCACTCGCCTTCGCCGCATAGGCGCTGCTGCCCTTGTTACCGCAACCGCTGCCGCTGTTGGCGGCTCCATCATTCTATCTCCAAACATCTCCTCCAGCGACCGCGGCTCTGGACCCGCATTCGAGGCCGTTAGGAGCAGAATCAATGATCCTCACGCTACCGTTCCGTCGAGAGCAGTTCAAGAGGCAGCTTTGATTGGAGCTAGTCAAGCTAATCCTCTTGACATTCTCATCGTCGGTGGTGGCGCCACCGGCAGCGGTGTCGCTCTCGATGCCGTGACTCGTGGACTTCGTGTTGGCCTTGTTGAACGCGAGGATTTCTCTTCTGGCACGTCTTCAAGGTCTACTAAGCTAATTCATGGAGGTAATAAGACTCTCTATACATTTATTTGTTTATACTTTATTTTACTTGAATTAATTCATAGTTTTTTTTTTAATTTATTTGAATTTTCGTGTTTTAGTGATATATTGTGTTACATTTAGCTATTAAATACTGAATTGATTTCTCATGATTATATTTTTTGTCCTTATTTAGCTATTTTATTTTTTTTCGCTTCATTTTTTTGTTTTGTTGATTATTTGTTTAGGAGTTCGTTACTTGGAGAAAGCTGTATTTAATCTTGACTATGGACAATTGAAGCTAGTCTTCCATGCGCTCGAGGAGCGCAAACAGGTTATTGAGAATGCACCTCATCTGTGCCATGCTCTGCCATGCATGACACCCTGTTTTGATTGGTTTGAGGTGGTGTATTATTGGGCTGGCTTGAAAATGTATGATTTGGTCGCAGGAGGGCGGTTGTTACATTTGTCTCGATATTATTCTGCTAAAGAGTCTATTGATTTATTCCCTACTCTTGCGAAGAAGGGTAAGGATAGAAATTTGAGGGGCACAGTGGTGTATTATGATGGGCAGATGAATGATTCAAGAGTCAATGTTGGTTTGGCTTGTAGTGCTGCATTGGCCGGAGCAGCAGTGCTCAACCATGCAGAAGTTATTTCATTTCTAAAAGACGAGGCTACCGGGAGAATAATTGGTGCACGGATTCGGGACAATTTCTTAGGTACGACAAGCATCGTTTTAATGCATTTGTATTAGCTGAGTACTTTCACCCTGCTTTTATCGTTTCAAGATGAAGTATGCAATTGCTGTCAGATAATTCCTCTACCCTTCCTCTTTCTCATCATTTTAACGCAATGAACTGCAATGAGTTTACACAGACAATAATTAAAAGATCATGAGTTGAAGACATGTTCAGTAGCTGCAGAGTATGAGTTATTGATATGCTAACCTGTTAGCATGCCAGTAAGCATTTGACTGACAACCATGTCATCAACATTGTAATTCTTAATTGACTGACTGATCCTTCTTCAGATATTTGGTGCACAGAAATCAATTGTGTGCCAACCATCTCAATTAGCCCCGTGATATGTTCACCTTCTAAATGCTTGAGAAAATAGAGCATACCTAAACATTTAAATTTTTGTTTACTTACTTTCACATTTGTGCCTTTTCTCATCTGTTTTTCTTGCTCAAGTTGACCAAGTTTACATCTTGGCTGAGTAACTACATCAATTGTATGTTATTGATTGATTTTTTCTATCATGCTATACCAGGCAAAGAGTTTGATACCTATGCAAAAGTTGTTGTGAATGCGGCTGGCCCATTTTGTGACTCTGTAAGGAAATTGGCCCACAAAGAGGCACCAAGCATGATCTGTCCTAGCAGTGGTGTACATATTATTCTTCCTGATTATTATTCTCCAGAGGGAATGGGCTTGATTGTTCCCAAAACTAAGGATGGTCGTGTTGTTTTCATGCTGCCATGGTTGGGAAGAACTGTTGCTGGTACAACAGATTCCAACACTGTCATCACTCCACTTCCGGAACCACATGAGAATGAGATTCAGTTTATACTTGATGCGATCTCTGATTACCTTAGTGTTAAGGTATGTGATTTTATCAGTAAACTCTAGTATTTTGCATGCCATTCTACATGGAAAAATTTTCTGGAACTAATTAAACTAGTTGTGTATTTGCTAAGCTTTGTCAAGTGAGGATATGTCCTAGATGGTCAAATTAGGTACCTGATCTGATTTGGGCTTCGCTCACTAGTGAGCCGTAAGCAGTTTTGACAATTGTGGTCTTTGCACTAGAATAAACTGTGGCAAAGCACAAGTTTAGATAAATTAATAAATTGGATGGAAGAGATTATTGTTGTTAAGTTTGCATTGGGTTAAGTTTCAAACTTAATGGAGATGTCTATATAAAATCAGAGGGTATGTTAGTGTAGTGCTGAGTCTAGTCCTCTTCTTTGTGTGCGCTAAGTTTTCTTTTGGATATTGTAGTAAAAGTGGATAGATATAGGTAAGGCGCACAGATGTTCTTTCAGCTTGGAGTGGTATTCGCCCATTGGCTATTGATCCATCAGCAAAGAGCACCGAAAGCATCTCTAGAGATCATGTTGTATGCGAAGACTATCCAGGCTTGGTAACAATCACTGGTGGTAAATGGACCACTTACCGAAGGTAATTTTTTGTTTCTTTGAGCAGCAACTGTCAAGATAACCAGATGATTGGGGGGTTGCTTTAACTTAAAAGAATTATTAATGACATTAAGGTTTTTCTATTTTGTGATTTCATTAAGTGGTATCTGATCTAGCAAGTCTTTACCTGTTGACAATATGGTTCATTAACAGCAGCAATCATCATTGACGTTAATAACAACATCTATTATTAGCTAGGCCCATGGTGTAGTGCTCTGTATTTTCACCAACCACCCATCTCCCCTTTTTGCCTTTCCCTCTTTCATTTCTTTATTGTGATCTTTTTCTGTTATTTGGCTCTAAATTTTGTGCTTACTAGAACTAGTTTCAGCATGGCAGAAGATGCTGTTGATGCAGCTGTTAAGTCTGGAAAGTTAAGTCCAACAAATGGAAGTTTAACTCACAAGCTGAAGCTGATGGGTGGAGAAGGATGGGAACCTTCATCATTTACAGTTCTTGCTCAACAATATGTACGCATGAAGAAGACATATGGTGGCAAAGTTGTCCCTGGTGCAATGGACACTGCTGCAGCTAAGCACTTATCTCATGCATATGGTACATTGGCTGAACGAGTGGCTGCCATTGCTCAGGTTGGTTTTGTCTTTCTTCATCCCCCTTCAAAATGTTGGCGTCTGCTTGATTGGTTGGGAGTGTCCATTTATCTTATTTCTCTTTTGGCTTTTAATTTCATGTCTCCAGCTCTTGAACCAAAGTCTGGTTTGTCTAATTTGTTATATAGGATGCATACATGCATTGCCTTGGGTTTGTCATTTACCCATGCCATACTTTGAATTTTGCACTTTTGTGATTTTTCTAACTACCTTTAACAATTCACCTTCATATTATTCAGAACGAAGGTCTGGGGAAGAAGCTTGCCCATGGATACCCTTTTATAGAAGCCGAGGTTGCCTATTGTGCCCGGAATGAGTACTGTGAATCAGCTGTTGATTTCATTGCTAGAAGATCACGGCTTGCTTTCTTGGACACTGATGCTGCTGGTCGGGCCTTGCCACGCATCATCGAGATACTGGCCGCTGAACACAATTGGGATAAGTCAAGGCAGAAACAAGAATCAGAGAAGGCCAAAGAATTTTTGGAAACTTTTAAATCTTCTAAAAATGCTCAGTTCTATGATGGGAAGCACTGATGGTAAGTTCTAATCATCTTTTACTTGCTAGTTCAGTTGATATTTCTCGAATCTGTGGTTACTGTTATGTTTCTATGTTTTAGGGTTTTGACTCACCTGAGCTGGGTTCAAGGAGCTCATTTTCTTTTGGTATACGATGTTCACCCCAATTTTCCTTTCCTACAGAGAGATACAAAGAGGTTTTGATTTCTTTACTCAGCAGATTGCTTAGCCTACACGTTTTGAAGGAGATTGATTGTCCTCAAAGCTTTTCGTGCACTTATCTGCCAAAATAATGTTAACTTTTCTGCGTTGATTTCCATCCAGCCTTCTTGCATGGAAGTGTCTTGAATGGATTGGTTATGTTTATAATTGATCTAAATTGTTGACTTGAGTAATCAGCAACCAGAAATGCGAATGATTTTTACTTTACGCATAATAAATTTCCTGATTCCACTTTCTCTGTAGTTTTCTCAAGTAATTGATGAGAAGCATTTCTAGCTATCCTTCACCTGTATGGAGATACTCTATGGGCATGATTGGATAGTGATTTTAGGTTCAAACTCTTGTCTCACTTTGTAAAAATCAGCATTTCTACAAAAATAAATAAATAAATAATAAAAAATTCAGTACTAACGTAGTGTATTGCGTGAATCAATGAATAATTTTAGGCATTTTGGAAATGTTTTCTATATGAAAGTGCAGGGATATTACCCTAGCAAAACCGTTCTCGCTGGGCACTGGGTTCTGACTCTTGATATATGAGATTGGACGAGTTAATTTCCCTTGTGCTTTTTGCCTTTTTGTTGCGTTCCACCTTCCTCTACTTGTCCCATGTAGTCCAGTTTGGCAGTTCAACACCAACCACATCCTAAATTTATCCCTCGTTAGGGATTGGGATTTGAGTTTAAACCATGCCACCATTTTTTTTTCCTTAAAATCTCAACTGACTTTACTATATTTAGCTAGCACCAATAATCCATCTAAAAAAGAAAGAAACATTTCTTTTGCGAAAGAAAAGAAAAAACCAAACACGATGATAATGAAAAGAAAAGGCAAAAATAGCTCATCAAAACGTTGTCAAATATGAAACTGTAGTTTTTAAAGTTTGGGTAAGATGATAAGTGGATTTTTGTCAAACATGAAAAGTTAACTTTTAAAATTTGGTTCAGATAATAAATAGATTTACTTTTTATACTATTAATTCAGGCATTCAGCATACTTTTGAAGTTTGATTTAGATGCTAAATGAATTTGTTTTTCATATATTATCATTTCTTATCCGAATTTTTAAAAAGAGTAAGTCTTATTGGAATTTAAAGAAAAAAGTGAGAAATAAATTTTTCATTCCGACCGAGAAGGAATTTAACAGACGAACCGATAGGCAACCCTAACGTTAGAAATTTGAAAGAAAGGATTTTTTTAAAAAATTATTATTATTATTTTTTTAAGAGTTAGAAAAAATTCATAGTTAAATTTGAGAATAGGAAGTAAAATAGAAGGTAAAGCCCAGACAGTGACAAACCCAACCTAATTACAAAATCTCAACGGCTAAACTAAACCCCAACCAGACCAATCCCAATCCTCTTCTAAAATGGCAGCAGCACTATCCTCTTTTCATCTCCACCACCACCACCACCACCTTTCCGTCTTCAGAAAGCCCTCACTCTCTCTCCTCAAAAAACCCCTCCGTGCCACACGCATCACTTCCTCCTTGGAATTCAACATCACGTTCGCCCCTCCTAAACCGAAACCTAAACTCCCCGCGAACCTCAAAAGCGACGCCGCTTCCCTCTCTCTCCCTCCTGGCCAGCTCTTCATTCCCTGGATAGTCCGCGGCGAAGATGGAAACCTCAAGCTCCAATCTCACCCTCCCGCGCATCTCCTTCACGCTCTCGCCGATGCCAAAACACAACCTAAGAAAACGAAAGAGAAGGTGAAGAAGGATAGTGGTGGAAATGTTAAGGCCAAGCTGGAAACCGAGCCTACGCGGTCTAAGGCCGCGCGTAGGTTCTATAATGAGAATTTTAGAGACCAAGCGCAGCGGTTGAGTAAAGTCCTCGCTGCTGCTGGAGGTAAATTAATGTAAAATTCTCTACGTATATGTTTGTTGCATGCGTATAAGTATAAATATAGGTATATGTAATGCGTTAATGTGTCATTAATTCTGTAATCAGTGGCGTCGAGGAGGAGCAGTGAAGAGTTGATTTTTGAAGGCAAAGTTACTGTTAATGGCTCTGTATGCAATACTCCACAGGTAATTATAATAGAAATATATGATTTCTCTATTAATGAAATTAGTATTTCTGTTGGAATTTGGAATTTATTGGTTTGTTTACTTTTTATGATGATGTTTAGACTCGAGTTGATCCTGGGAGGGATGTTATTTATGTTAATGGAAATAGGCTTCCGAGGAGACTGCCTCCGAAAGTGTATTTTGCTCTCAATAAGCCAAAAGGGTATGTTAACATTTATGTTGGGGTTGTTTTTAAGTATTATTGATGTTTGTGCAATATGTGCGGTGGTAATTGACGTGATCAAAGAATCATGGCAGGTACATTTGCTCGTCTGGGGAGAAACAGTCTAAGTCTGTAATGTGCTTATTTGATGATTATTTTAAGAGTTGGGTAAGGTGTTTGTGTTATTTTTATTTGTTTTATTTAATTTGGTCTAAAGTTGTAAATTAGTTATAATTGTTTGTGTTTTGTAGGATAAAAGAAACCCGGGACTATCTAAGCCCCGGTTATTTACTGTTGGAAGACTTGATGTTGCCACAACTGGGTTAATTATTGTGACCAATGATGGTATGATGATAACATTTCTATTTGTGAACATATGAATTGGGATTTTTTTATTGTTGTTTTGAAATTGAGAGGATTGATCTTGATTCCAATGCTTTTCTTTTCCAGGAGATTTTGCTCAAGAAATTGCGCATCCTTCATCAAATTTATCAAAGGAGTAAGTTTTCATTTGATTTGTCCTTTATACTGACTGCAAGCTGTAGACTTAAATGTCCTAGAGAAAAGATAAATTCATGCCTAGAATTGCTGGAATTGCCTTTTAATTTGTTCTGAGAAGACACTTGTTATGACTTGCTGTGAATGGTTGGAAGTGGGAACATCTCTGAATTTTAGTAATTGTATGTGTGATTGCAGATACATTGCAACAATTGATGGTGTAGTAAACAAACGACATTTATTCGCCATAAGCAAAGGAACAGTCATTGAAGGTGTCCATTGCACCCCAGACTCTGTGGAGTTATTACCACAACAACCAAATACATCAAGACCTCGTCTTCGGATTGTGGTATTTTTTTTTTTTTTTTTCAAATCTGTTGGCAAGAATTATTTTAATGCTTTATATTATTTGCATCCTTTAAGACACACCATTATCACTTTATTTTCCTACTGCAGATCTGCTTGTTTTCTCATACATGTCAAACTCTTCCTTTTGAAAATTGACCTTCCTCATTGTGTCAGACTTTAAATATAAATTTTCATTTTTTTCTGAATTCCAACATAGTGAAACAGTTTCTTGCTATTTTAAAAATTTCATAAACAATATTTATTTTTTCGATTACAATGAGATTGAGTTAATGAAAAATCTCGTTATTTGACGAGACTCACTGAGAAAAAGTAAAATAATGGGGCAGCAAAGCTGTTTATGTCAGTGTAGTTGATGAGTTTATTATAACTGTGATGTAACCTCAAGTATTTTTGCTCAGTGACCATTTTTCTTTTCAGTTTGTATAACAACACCAAGTGTTTCTTTCTGGTTTTGAGTTTTTGCTTTGTTCAATATATTTCATCTCAGTTGATTAACACAAAGAAAAAAGCTGAGGACTTTTTACTGTTGTTGCAGGTTCATGAAGGGAGGAACCATGAGGTTCGAGAACTAGTAAAAAATGCTGGGCTTGAGGTTGGTTTTAGTTTTTGATTAGACCCTTATTACGTTGGGGGAAAAAGAAGAAGAAGGAAACTTTCACTGTATCACCCGCATTGATATTTGTATCCTCATTCAATCATATCCTATGAGGGTCATATAGGGGAAGTAGAGTGACATAATAATTGCTTCTTGATCTTAAATCTTAAGTGTCGGATTTATATGGTAAACAATTTGTCTTTTTACTTGCATGCTTTTATATTGCAAATTCCATAGGGACGATGTCAATTAACACTTTTAGTGGCACACTTCCTATGTTGACTATTACTAGCAACTTCCTGTTCGTCTTGTTTATGATATGATTTCCGCTTGTTGTGTTCACATCAGATATTTATTTTCTTTTTTTTCCAGATTCATTCATTGAAGCGTATCCGCATTGGTGGTTTCAGGCTACCATCAGACCTCGGGTAATTGTCTCTGAATTTTTCTGTTTTTGAGAACATTCTTTAAGAATCTCTATCTCATCTTATCACTTGAATCAAAATATTCATTTTGCAAAAAGCTGAAGAAAGAAAAATAGAGCTTATCTCCTTTATTAGTGGGAACCTTGGAAAAGAAATAAGTTAAATATTTGCTACATCATTAGATAGATGTTTTGGGACAATTGATGTGTGCCAGCCCCAAAATTGCTCTCCTTCCTTGGGAAAGGGGCTCACCAGTGTGGCTCATAGTAGTTGAGGGAGCATGCATTTCCTAAAATAGGTTGCCTTTGGCTGATGATGCTATATCTTTTAGTATTCAACTCTTTTGTGATCAGTTGAGCTGAAAGCTCTAAGTTTTGCGCCATTTTGATCTCAGGCTCGGGAAGCATGTTGAACTAAAACAAACTGACCTAAAGACTCTGGGTTGGAAGTGTTGAGAGCAGTTGCTGCACAATAGCTAGAGTTTTACACATTCTCTAATTGGAAGCAAAGCTTAAAATCAGATGGAACACAGCTTCAAGGTTTTTAATTTTCAAGAGGAGCCTATACATTTTGCATGTCATTGCAATTGTTGGATGGCACAATGATTAATGAATTGGACTGGCCTTTAAATTGAAGGGGCTGATTTATACCACCGCCAGAAGAAGCAGGCGAGCTAATGCCAGGGAAGCTGCATTGCTAGTATTAAAACGTAAATCCATCTACTCAAATCTAGAAATATCTTGGTTGAAAGGAGGACCGTACATGCATATACTGGAAATATAAATGAGAGTTTAAGAGCCCACATGTGGTTTTTCATGTAATCAAAATATTCACTTGTCATATAGATCAAAGAGGTATGCAGATTTCATGACCCATTTTGATTCCTTAGTTGAACTGACATTGTAACTGTAGAGTTTTTAATAGATTACTTGCTATTAAGGCTATTCCGATTGATAAAAAAAGCAGCCCTACTTTCCAGGACAGCTAAGGTAGACGCAAGTGTTGGCTGTTGGTCATCTAGTTAGGCATCCCGTGCTTTGTTAACTCCAAAATGAGAAACAGACAAGGCCCATTCTGTTGCAAATCACCCGTGCCTGTTCTTTTTGTAGCTCGTGGGCTTGCATGTGCTCAATAGTTGTGTTGTACAATTGTAGGGACTCACTTCACATGCTGTTGATCCATAAATAAACTCTTTTGTTTCGTTCGGTTGATTATTTATTGTTGTCCTTCTTAGAAACAGAAAATTGTACACCTGAGGTGTTGGCTCAGTTAACGAGCTAGTTTGCTTGCCCAATTATTATCTCAAATTCGAAGGCAGGTAGGTGACTGCAAGGCATCTCCGATTTGAATTCAAGAGGAAACTATAAAAGATTCATATTGAAGTAGAGATTGCGTGATAATTGAAATGAGAACGTTATACCAAACATATATGTTCATAGCGAAGATAACTTATTGTGGAGGGCCTTCTTTTCCATGGCTGGTGCCAAAGTGAGACTAGAAAGTGGGCTGCATGTAGGGTTCCACCAACTTTTGACATTAAAAAAGCTGTGCAAGATTCAGTGGAATCAGTAAAAGTACAGGGAAGGAACGGAAGTCAAAGGTTTACAGCAATGCTCGAAAATTCATAAAGTTTGGATTTTCATGCTCACATGTTTATATTTGTTGAGTCCCACAAGGGATTTAAGAATTTGAAAAAGTTGCTTTGCACTTCTCTATCTAGCTTTTACCTGGCATCAAACTTTCTTTTAATGCCGGCCCCCAAAAAAAAAAAAAAAGAAAACAATAATAGATACTGTTGATTCATCTTGTTAATTTGACAGTGGTATTTGGTCGTTGTCTACAGCTGTCTATTAAAATAGCACAAAAGGCTAGCTTCAACATTTGGAGCACGGAGATATGGTTAAATTGGCTGGTGACAACGATTAAATCTAACATAGAAAAACAAATTGAACCTTCCGCAGTAATGGTTTGATGACAATGCGAGTTAAAGGTAGTTAATATGGATAAGAGAATGCATTACATAAAATATTAAATAGTACGTATCTTTCATTCAACTTTTAAGTTATTTAAGAATCATTCCTCGAACTTCTAATTTTATATTTTTTTTGTTTGAAATTAGATTTTTTATTAGGTTTTTTTTCAATTATAATAATAAAAATATGTATGACTTTCATGTAGTTGATTTTTTGAGTTCTCCAATAATTAAAAACGTGTCAAAACTTATAGATACTTTCTCTTTCACTTCAAAATTTTTTTTTTCATTTTAAAATATTCTTTAATTACTTATTTCTTAGCATTTACAATAATAATAAAAAAATATCTATAAGTTTTGATAGATTTTTAGCAACTAAAAAATTTCATCTTCATATTAAAATTGATAAAAACCTAATAAAAAAGTCTAATTTTAAATAAAAAATAGTTAAAGGGAGATCCAATAAAAAATTAAACATTTAAAGACTAAATTGAAATGACTTAAAATTTATGAAAGGTTTGAAGCGTTAAATTTATATAAAATAATATATAATTAGTTATGAATAACTAAATAGGGGTTATTTGGTATTGAGATTCGTGTAAGTATTTGAGAATGTAATGATTTAAAAACAAAAATGTGATCTCTCTCCTTTTATAAGAAGGAAAAACTATTTTACTTTAAAAGAAAGGGATTGATATTTTAAGAATCTTACACTTACATAATATCATATTTTTAAGCACACATGGAACATAATATTCATCACATTTTGAAGGATTTAAAATCCAACATTACCTGAAATCTTAAATTCCAAGGCAGACGAAATTCAATAATCCAATATCAAAAGGGCCCCTTAGATTAGATCTTTAAGCTGAATCAAATAATTTTAATTATTTTGAAGCGTTCAACTTTTATAAATGATGATATATAATAGCGACCGGGGTGGCACCTTATTGAAAGCTCAGATGTCTGAACATATCGAGGGCATGACAAAGCAAAACAAGCCTGTGGCTGGGGAAGAAGCAGTAGCATTCATTACATGGAGCTGGCATTGATTTCACAGGTTTGAGATTATAGAAGAGTCAAAATGGGTCAATAGATGATTTCTTTTTTTATTATTCATGATTGCCAAAAAAGAGAAATGCTAAAATTCCAGAAATTTAGTGGGACGTTTGGTGTGGCATTAATTAAGAAGATCTAGCATTAAAGATCCATCAGCGCCGACAAGTTGGCATCAACAGTTCTTTCAAATTAATTTTTTGGTACCATCCATCTTTGCTTTGTTGTCTTGCTTTGTCAAGAACTCACATCGTGTGTCCCACCCTGTCATGCAAGGACTGCAGGGAGGCAGCTGATCGACGAATGATTTGGGACCCAGAAATGTTATGCAGGACAAAAGGCCTCTACATGAACAAGAACATGTAGCTAAAATGACTAATTCAAATTCGGACAACAAACTTTTTTTTTTTTTTCTCGCTGGATTTTTTATTCTGAGCCCACGCGGATTTTTTTTTAAAAAATTTTAATGACAGGAACAAGATTATCTTATTTCTGATTACGAAATTGTCATAAAAACTTTTCTATAATGGTGAAAAGAATCAACTCTCAAATGTCTCCAGTACTGGAACTGTACCAACAACTTTTAGCTACTTTCATTGTAGTCTTACCTTATATTAATGTAAAGAAGAATCTCACATGAGATTTATAGGAATGAAATAAATACTGAAGTTATAACAAAAGGTATAGACTTATAGATTTTAAAAGTAAATCACCACATACCACTATATGTATAATGACACATCTAACGATTAGGTTTAGTGGTATTGAATTTCTTACATTTACAATAAATTATGGGTTCAAAACTTTTTTTTTAAGACTATTTGAGTTTTTTTTTTAATCATTACAAGAGAAGGTTAGAGTAGTCTCTTATAGTTATAAATTTAGTCAATTATAATGGTGATCAATTTAATCCATCATAGTAATATGATTTTCATTTCGTTAACTACTAATGATAACTCTTTAGTAGTATTAGATTTAAGCTCATTTGATATATATATATAAACCGTAATAGTTGATTAAAAGTTAAATATGTTCTAGCGTCGGCTTAGCTCAAAAAACAATAGACTTAATTTTAATTGATACAAAAATAATTCAAAAATATCTTATTATCTATATATAATAAAAAAAATATTAATAATGATCTCCTAATACTTAGGATCTAGATGAATTGTATGGTTCTATATATAATAAACTAATTCGTTATATATATATATATATAGACAAAAATTTCATTTCCCAAATTATTCATGTGATTTTAGCCAAGACATCAACAAATAGCTCATGATGGATGGAGAGAATCTGGTTCGTGAAAAAAAAAAAAAAAGAACTTCCATATGTCAATTGTTTTCAGAAAAAAGACACAGACAATTGACGCAACATTGATTTGGCAGTTAAAACCAAACATCCTGTCATCACAAGGCAGCCATGCAGAAAGGTGACAATCAAAAAATTTTGAAATTCGAAAAAGTATTTACAATCTCATTCTCTCAAAGGCTAAATCTAATTTAATTCCTTTCTTTAGGCCCACTAATCCCAAATGGTAGCACCTAACAACCTACCGTTACTTATCAACACTGACACCAAGGTCAAGTCGTCAATAACAACAGCACAACGCGCGGGAAGGAACCATTCACACACACAAACACACTCCTCCTTCTCTTCTCTCTCTCTCATCGTGCCGGCCTCAAACTTTTATTTTCCCCTCTCTCTAGAAAAGAAAAGAAAAGAAAAAAACAAATTTCCAAACGCAAAGAAAACGGTTTCGTTCTTTAAATCCCTCGCGCACTCTCTAAGAAGAAATGGAAACGCTTTGCCTTTGAAATTCCAACAATGGCTTCCAATTCAACAGTGAGAGTCTCAAGCAGAGCAGAGAGGCAACTGCTACAAAGTCAAATTAATCCTCTCCATGGATCTTTTTCTTCTTCTTCTTCTTCTTCGAATTCGGGTTCAAGTTCGAGAAATGGAAATTCACTACAAAGTTATAGTAATAGCAACCATCCTGTTCGCTCCAAGGCTCCTCCTCCTGCTTCGAGACGCTCTGTTACTCCTACTTCTTCCCGCTCTCATTCTCTCGACTTGGAAAACGGTCTCTCTCTCTTTCTGTTTTGTTTTTAACTTCTTTGCTTGTTTTGTTATTTCGGAAGACAAAAATTCAAAAACCGGAGAGGATTGGATTTTGTTTTTTCGAATTCTGGATATTTGATTAATTTTATCAAGCTAGCATAATTTCAAAAAAATTAAATTAAAACGGCACGAATATTTGATTTTTCTAGAAATGTTAGTGAATATTGACTTTTTTTTGGCTAATGACAGATCATGGAAGAGTGAGAGTAGCTGTTAGATTACGGCCAAGGAATGCAGAAGAACTCATTTTAGATGCTGATTTTAATGATTGCGTTGAATTATTGCCTGAGGTTAATTTTTTCTTTTATGTGCTGAGAAGTCTATGATTATTGATTAACATGTTTTTATTTTATTTATTTATTTTTGAAATTAGAATTTCTATGTGGTTGTTTCGTGCTATGCAGTTGAAGAGGTTGAAATTGAAGAAAAACAATTGGAGTTCTGAATCTTATAGATTTGACGAGGTTTTTACTGAAACGGCCTCTCAAAAACGAGTTTACGAAGTTGTTGCAAAGCCGGTTGTTGAGGTGATTAATTCAGATTGATTAGAATGTAATGTACTACTGAATGTGATTATTATTTTTAAGTTTACTACGTCTGCGTGCAAATTGGTTATGAAAGAAATTGAATTAGTGATTATATGGTTTTGATGGCATGTTGATCACAGAGTGGAAATTTTTTATATACTTTTTGCAGAGTGTATTGAGTGGGTATAATGGGACAATTATGGCTTACGGTCAAACAGGTACTGGGAAAACGCATACGGTTGGAAAACTGGGCAAAGATGATGCATCGGAGCGTGGTATCATGGTTAGGGCTCTTGAGGATGTACTTGCGAGTACGGTACCTGATTCTGATGTTGTGGAGGTCTCCTATTTGCAGGTATTGAAATGTTAATCTTGCACTAGCCTTTGCTTTTGTTTTATGTGGATGTCAAGTTGTCAAACCAGGTGTAACGAAGAAATGAGTATGTGGGGACCCAGCAAATTTTCATGTCTTGTTATATCAAGAGGTTGTGAGGAAACATGTTTTCATTATCAGTTAAAGAATAACTGCAATGGCATGGTCCCTCCCTGGATGGGACCATTGCGTTGATGGTTTTAGGTTCCAACCATATCATTTGATTTTCTGTGAAGAGGATGATTCTTTTAATTGATATTTATGACTAAAAACAGTGATTATTCCAGATCTTACTTTGTATTAAGCTATCATTGCATGAAGATATTCATGCTTTTTTTAAGATGAATGTTTCCTGTTTGATTCTCACTTCATTCTGCTTCAGTTGTATATGGAGTCTATACAAGACTTGCTTGCACCAGAAAAGATTAATATCCCTATTAACGAGGATGCCAGGACAGGGGAAGTATCAGTGCCTGGTGTTTCAGTAGTTAAGGTTCAAGATCTTGATCGTTTTTCAGAACTGCTACAAATTGGTGAGGCAAACCGTTATGCAGCTAACACAAAGCAGAATACCGAATCTTCCCGAAGTCATGCAATTCTAATGGTGAGTGTTTTGTTGGATTTTAGATTTTCTTGGTCAATATAACTTCAAGTTTGTGAAGGGTTCGTGGTGTTTCTTGACTAGTGATGATAACCTGAACCTTTTTGGTCATTTAGGTTTATGTACGAAGATCCTTAAATCAAAAGGCAGAAGATGAAATCGCTTCTCAAGAGAAAGATGTGAAAAGTAATTTAGCTGGTTGCAATGGGATACCTAGAGTAAGGAAAAGCAAGTTGCTGATTGTGGATCTTGCTGGATCTGAAAGATTAGACAAATCTGGTATGTTGGTGATATTATACAAGTCAAAGCTGATATCTGTACATCTGTTTTCTTTGGCCTCTATTAGAATTTCTGTAAAAGCATATATTTTAGGGTGTAACATGCTTCGTTCTTGCGGTGTAGGCAGTGAAGGTCACTTGCTCGAAGAGGCTAAGTTTATTAATCTTTCTCTTACTTCTCTTGGCAAATGTATAAATGCATTGGCTGAAAACAGTCCACATATACCCACGAGGGATTCTAAGCTAACCAGATTGTTGCGTGATTCATTTGGAGGTTAGCACCAACAGTCTTTATTTTCTGCTAGTTTTTCCCTAATCCCTTTCTTTTCGTAACAAATTAAATTTCATGAAATTACAGAAACAGCTTCTTCATTTCCATGTTTTTGACACATCAACATATGGTTTTCTAATGTTTTCTGAGGTCGTGTATTGGTTAGAAAGAGGCTGATTATTGCCTTACTATATTCTTTGCTCTCCTAAGGAGAACTTATTTCTGAAATTTATTTGGAATTCTCCTACATGTGCAGTAACGTATAGGCTCTGTTATTTCTTTTGAAGTCGTATCGATTCTCAAGCAAACCCACCACATTCTGCTAGTAACTTTTTTTGATAATTTTCTTAAGGAAATTCCTAATTACTGTCAATGAAACAGGCTCTGCAAGGACTTCACTGATTATAACGATTGGGCCATCTGGACGACATCATGCAGAGACCACCAGCACAATCATGTTTGGGCAACGGGTGAGTCCTATAGAGAATTAAATTAAATATTCAAGAATTTTCTTGTGAATATTATCTTATTCTATTGCAGGCAATGAAAATAGTAAACATGGTAAAGCTTAAAGAGGAATTTGACTATGAAAGTTTATGTCGGAAGCTCGAGACTCAAGTAGACCATCTTACTGCAGAAATAGAAAGGGAAAAGAAAATGAGAGAGAGTGAAAAACGAGACTTGGAGAAACAGCTTAAACAGTGTCAAGACTCTTTTTCTGAGGCAGAAAAGAATCTAGTCACAAGGTCTGAGGTAGTTGTCTCTCCTGCTCTTGTGTATCTTTTTTGTTTCTAAATAATGTCTAGGGTGAGTTTAGTTTCTCTCAGTATGATCAACCAGCTTATGCACCGTTTATATATGTAGTGATTACTGCTGCATCCAAGCGTTGATTTCAATGTATTTTATAATTTCCTAGTTAATATCTTGTACTGGCTTCCAGTTTATACAGAAGGAAAATACTCGTCTAGAGTTGGAGGTGCAAGGCGTCATAAGTGAATTGGAGTCTCAAAAAGGTTGTAATGATTTAATGCGTGACAAAGTTTCTCAGCTAGAGACGAGTCTAACATATAGCCAGGTATTTCCCTCTTCCACAATCAAGTGTTTGTGTAAAGATATCTGACTTCTATATTTTACTGATGCTTTAGTTCTATACTTTTTGTCATCTAACAAAAGTCAAACTTGTGACACTGTCCTTGTGTGTCCATCATCCAAGGACGACTCACTTTGTAATAAACTTTAACAACCTGACCTGGACTTGCCATGATGATTCTGAATGCTGGGCTGATGACAGCTTTAGTTCACTCTTTTATACATGAACTCAAGTTAATTGTGAGAGTTTTATTTTGAGTAAATATCATTTTAAAGGTGTAAGAACAATAAATGTCAAATTGGAATAGTTATCACTTGAAAATTCGGTTATAATAGACTACCTATTTTATTTGAACTAAATAGAAAAAATAAAAATAAGTTGAATCCATCCAGTTACACCATTACCATTATATTTCTTTTTGAAAACATTTTAACTATTTGAACATGAGTACCTATGCTGTTCTTTTGATTGTTAGTAGCAGCACCAGCTTGAAAATTCTACGTATCAGAAAGTGCTTGCTGACACTACTCAGATGTATGAGAAGAAAATATCAGAGCTAATTAAGCAGTTAGAAAACGAGTGTGCTCGTTGTGAAAGAGCTGAAGAACGATTAAATTTGACGAAGAATCTTCTGGGTGATTACCAAAAATCAATTAAGGTCAGTTAGTTATTGGTATGTATTCAATGATTAGTTCTCAGCAGTTTATGCATTCAATGGAGAGGATTTTGATGTTCAATGCTGCATCTTCACAGCTTTGCTATTAGCAGTGTTCTGCAATCAGACGAATAATTTTTGGGGATTGCATCTAGTTTTAACACATAACATTGAAGATACAATTCATATAATTTCTCCAATTCTCTCATCTTCCTTCCATATAAATGCATGCTCATTTTTTAAAATTTAAGAAGCAATTGACCTTACCACAAAGTTTTATCAAAATGCACACATAAGCTAATGCTGTCTTTTGTTGCATCCAGCAACATGAATCAGAAAATTCTACATATCAGAAAGCACTTGCAGACACCACTCAGATGTACGAGAAGAAAATAGCAGAATTAAATAAGCTACTTGATGACGAGCATAGTCATTTTGCAAGTACCGAGGAACAGTTAGATTTGATGAAGAAGCTCCTCAGTGACTCTCAAAAATCAATTGAGGTTAGGAATTTGTGTCTTAGTTCAACATTTTTCTGCTCCGTCACCATTTTTTGGTTTTAATTATCTATGTTATCTTATTGAAGACACAAAAGGGAAAGTCTCTGATAAGGTAACATTGATTATTAAGTCAAAACTTAAATGAAGTTAAAGTCGACACACTTCCTTCTAGATTTTAGTCTTCCATCCGTGAAAAAGTTTTATCATTATGAGGACAACCTAATGCTGTTTTCTGTTGCTTGTAGCAACATGAGGCGGAAAATTCAGTATATCAGAAAGCACTTGCAGACACCACCCAAATGTATGAGAAGAAAATAGCAGACCTGATTAAGCAAGTAGAGGACGAGCATGCCTGTTTGGAAGGAGCAGAAGAACAACTGAGTCTGGCAAACAAGCTTCTAAGTGATCAACAAGAATCGATACAGGTTAACTTGGTCTTTTGTGTTAGTAGGATAAATGAAATTTTGACTTTTCAAATTGGATTAATTCTCATATTTTTCCAGAGGTGTCTTGCAAGGCATTTCTTCTAATTTCAAATATCAAAGCTTAGATGTCTTTGTATATGCAAAATGCCCACTATCGTTGCTGTTGCAGTTTTCTTGTTGGGTCTTGAACACCTCTCCTAGTGCTGCCAGTTTCCCTTATTTTTCATTCCAATATGTTTTGGAATTCTCTAGGAATTGTATATGCTAAACTCCTTTCTACACCATCACTATCCTAATTTTCAGTTTTTTTTTTCCCATAATATACAGGAGTTGAAAGTGATTGATGAACTAAGGACGGAGTTACAAAGAACATGTCAGGTGCATGACAGTGTTCAAACTGAACTTCAATCCTTAAAGTTAGAACACAAAAATCTTTCACGAGAGAAGGTGCGACTTTGAAATAGGATAGCTCGACTGAACTTTCTTTTATTTTCAATTAACTATGACTTGTTTAAATTGTGAGAACCCCAGTCGAGGATATGTGTTGTGATTTGATATTATTTGAATGCATACCAACTATTAATATTTATTTTCATTTAACCATGTGTGTGAAGGCAACACTGAGTGAAGAAATTCATGACTTGAAGCAAGCACTTGTAGCTGAAGAGAAGCAGAGGAAAAGCGTTGAACATGAGCTGGCCAAACTAAAGAAGAGTGCACCTGAAAGTGACAAAGATTTTGAGGTTGATTGTATTATGCGTACTCTTATTACCTCCAATGTTTATTGTCTTTTTATCTTATAATATATACTTTCAGGATAAGAAACCATATGGGAAGGAGAATATTGGTAACGGATCTTCAGCATTTGGGAATCCTATGGGTTTACACAAGTCAAACTCCTCAAGGGCTGCACTGTCTGGTCAGAGGGCAACAATTGCTAAGATTTGTGAAGAAGGTACGATTTATGCAATACTAAACCATTGGTCTCGACATTTATTTCTCTTGACATTTAACCTCTTGAGCTATGTTAACAAGTTCTCACCTCCAAATTTTCAGTTGGGCTTGGAAAGATATTACAATTATTAACATCTGAAGATTCTGATGTCCAAATCCATGCAGTGAAAGTGATTGCCAATCTGGCTGCTGAAGGTACACCACATTTTGCTTATTAGTAACCATGTGAATTTGTAGGAGTGTAATTTGAAAGACATTAAGCTTTTATGCTTTTCCAGATATTAATCAAGAAAAGATTGTGGAAGAAGGGGGCTTAGATGCTCTGCTAATGCTGTTAAAATCATCTCAAAATACAACTGTGCTCAGAGTGGCTTCTGGGGCCATTGCCAATTTGGCAATGAATGGTAATCTTTGATCTTTTCCTTCTCTTGGTAATCTAAGCTTCATATTTGTTATTTTACTGGTTATAAGATGCCTTTTTAACAGATGAAATCATGAAACTGTAATTTCCTGGGGATGACATCAAGAAAGCTAATTATATTACTTCTTTAAATCTTCATGCAGAACTGAATCAAGGGTTGATAATGAGCAAAGGTGGTGGACAGTTACTGGCAAACACAGCATTAAAAACAGATGATCCACAAACTCTTAGAATGGTAGCTGGTGGACTAGCAAACTTATGTGGAAATGGTAAGCTGAAGGTGTACTTACAGTGTCACATTTCCTTACACACATTTTTTGCTGCATGTTAAACATGGCATTAAAAAACCAATTCTGAAGTGTTTCATTAAGACCAGAGATCATTTATCTAACGGAAGAGATTCTTGTATACTGATGTAAAAAGTTCTGCTGCATAATAGAAAGGTTACACATGATGCTGAAAGAAGATGGAGGCATCAACGCCCTATTAGGAATGGCTAGATCTGGTAATAATGATGTCATCGCACAAGTTGCAAGAGGGATGGCTAATTTTGCAAAATGTGAATCCCGTGGAATCATTCAAGGTTTGCGGCCCATCATTTGCGTGATTGCGAACTAGTCATCTTGACTTGTATCGATTATGACAAACTATAGTTTTTGCAGGACATAGGAAAGGCCGTTCACTATTAATAGAAGATGGCGTCCTTGAATGGTTGGTTGCCAATTCTAACATCGCTTCAGCTTCAACACGACGCCATGTTGAACTTGCTCTTTGTCATTTGGCGCAGAATGGTAAACTGCCCATTGAACTTAAGCATTTCCATTGAATAATTTGCGTTTTGAAACTATTGAAAATCTGGAACCAAGTGCTTGGTTGTTTTAGGGGAAAAAAAAAAAAAAAAGAACAAGGGGAAATTCTCAACACTATAAATGTTGGGTGGATCTTAAATTTGAATGGTACTAAGAAAATAGAAATGGGGGGTGGTGTTTCCATTTCACGTCTTTGTGCTAAAAAGAGGAGGATGGGTTTTTCTTCGACATAGATCAACCGAAATCAAGAACTTTAAGACTTGCAAAAGCATCTACAGAACATTATCATACTTACATCTCTAGTCTGCAGTTCCGTATGTTTCTTTATCTTCCAGATCTCTTATGACTAATAATTTGATCTGCTGCCAATTGCAGAGGACAATGTCAGGGAATTCATTTCTTGTGGAGGGGTAAGAGAACTAGTCCGAATATCAGTTGAATCCAACAGAGAAGATATCCGCAACCTGGCAAAGAAGACTCTAAAAATGAGCCCAACTTTCCAAGCTGAGGGGAATCCAGAATGGCAGTAAGCTGTACAGAGTCAGCAATCTGAATTTCTGTCATAACATTGGTTTTTAATCGAAGTAGGATCCTTGACAAAAATCATCAAGCAACATAGCTTCCTTGAACCATAAAATGTATCAATACTTGTAAAATACAAAAAACTCTTTCTGGATCATATAATTTAAGAATACACTTGAAAAAAGCTACAGAAATTTTTTTGTAAGTGTCCTATGCACGACCTTGGTAAGGTGATCTATTATGTTTGGTTTAGATGGCTTTTTCATCGAGGATAAAAGCACGACCACCAGGCCAGCTAAATCAAAAGGCCCAATGGACCTCCAGTTAATTTTTCCATCAAGAGGCCTATTGGGCTTTTGTCAGTTTTATCAGAGGCTCAATAAACTTCATGTCACTCTTTATAGTAAGAGACCCAATGGGCCTCGATTCAGTTTTAGCAAGAGGCCCAATGGTTTTAGGTCAGTTTTTCGCACAAGAGGCCCAGTGGACGTCGAGCGCTTATTGCGTCAAGAGGCCCATGGGCTTTCTAGAAAAAGGCCCAATGGGTTATTAGTAAGTTTTTTCAGTAAGGGGGCCAATGCATCTAGATCCAAATTTTTAATAAGAGGCCCAATAACCTAATATCATCAGGCCCAATGGGCCTTCCGTGTTTAATAAGAGGCCCAACGGGCAAGGAGTCAGTTTTTTCCGGCAACGTGGCACAATGGCCAGTAGTCAGTTTTTCCGGCTGGGGCCCAATGCACCTTGAGCTAGTTTTTTGTTTCAACTAGTTGCAGTTCCCTCCATCCCCCACGCCACCTCTTCAAGATTTGAAGCTCATAGTCCCAAGTGAAAATTCCCAAGTCGTTTAGTAGCTGAGAATTCCGATCTTTTAAAAATCAGATTCGCATTCGCATTAACAGCTGAGAATCATCACCATATTTGTGCGAACATGAACCAGCAAGTCATCCAATGGATCGAAAGCATTAGTTTATTCAATAACTAGGCTTAGTTTTGAGAGAGAGCGGGAAGATTAATATGAACGATTTACTAAGTAAAAAAAAAAAAAACATAAATCATCTCTCTCACTAACACTCAATCGCCTTTCTTTCAAACCCAAAGATAGACGAGCATAAAAAAAATAATATTACTACATAACCAACACATTACAAAAACAAATGCAATGGCAAGATCCTCACATCTACAATATACCGCAAAAATTCACCACAAGGTGGCACTGGCACATACTAGGAGGATGATATCCACGAAACTGGCTCCGGAGTCCGGCTGTATCTATCGGTTCTATACATTTATGCTGGCACAATCAGTACGAACTGCTTGGATTTTCACACAGCAAAATAATCCTCCTCCCACCAATAAAAGAGTTAATGAGATAAAATGTATGATACTCGATCTTGTCCATCTGGGGGGATTTCCCTTCCTGGGACGTTGACCTTGAGAAGATTGGCATACCTGTAAAATCAATGTGGTATTTTGTTTGATGAGATATTACATGAGTTCTGACAAATGACTGAAATAAATACAGGTCACAGCGCCTCACTCTTCGGCTGTAAACAATTGTTCATGTTCTGTGATGAAAGCAAGCAAGGCCTGAGAATTCAGGAGACAGCAACAACCTTAGTATGGCAGTATAGAGATTTATTTGCAAAAGAAAAAAACTACAGTTCTAGTGACTTGCCTCAAATGGCATGTTTAGCAGTTCATAATATGTTCGGACATGATCTAATCTCTGCAGTACAGTTTCACTATCAATTGATGGAATAGCAGCAAGGGCCTGTAGAATGCCAATAAAAATTATTAAGCCACATCTTTCCATACAATCTAATGGCAAGCTGCAGTTCAACTATTAGCGGTCAACTCTTGGCATAGATCAAGTCCTAATAGGAACATGACAAATTCCATAAAGGCAAACAGTGCAGGAAATGAACTACATGAATATTATGTATGAAGGTTTACCTGTTCCAATGCAATTGAATTCCGACATATTTGTTGAACTCCAAAAAGGTTAATGAATTTCATGTCAGCCAAAGCCTGACAAGACATTGCGTTTCCCATTAGTAGTTTGAAAATGGTAGATGACAGGCATTGAATATACTAAAAGATGGAAAGGAAAAAAAACAATTAAAGGAACAACAAAGTCTAGCAAAATTTTCAATAGTAGAGATTCAAACCTTGATGGATGCATTTGCTGCAATGCTACAAATTCCACCAAATATGTAATTCTGCTTCACCCCCGCAACAAAAGGTGCCATTTCCTCATCTCTACGAGTAATCTAAGGAATGGTAAAGAGATTTGAACTTTGATTCCAAAAGCATACAAGAAAACTGAAGAAATTATGTAAAATTTGATTCCAAGAGTATGAGAAGAAACTGAGCAAGACTCCAAAATATGCTCCCGGCAACAATATTTCATCTACAAAAAATTGGCCACACTGGCTGTAGACTGTAGAGGACATCTACTATTTAAATGACAATATGACAGCTATCCATCATTGATACAAGACATACACAGAGACACTGACCTGTGCAGTTAGTGAAATAATAAAGTCATCTGGCTCTTCTGCATCTTGGTCCTCCATGTACTCCCTGTTTGTCATTTCCTGTTTGAAGGTATTTCCTCAGAAGAGTTAATTTGAAAGATATTCCTGCTGATGTAGTAGGCATAAAATTCTTCAAATACATGTGTTTCTCAAACCTGCATATGGAATATTGTTTCCAACTGCATCTCCACACGCAAAACTTTTAGGCAGTCAATTGCCAATTTTCTATAATCATCAGCAAATGATGCCAGAGTCTTGTCCTTATCTGCTACTTGATTTGATGACCGTGAGGTTATTGGCCCAAGCCTATAATGTATGAAAACATTTCTTATATAAGCTAATGCCCAGAATTTGCTAACGAATGAAGTTTTCAAAAACAACAATTTTCTACTTCGACATATCAGAACTGCATAAACAGTTGGTCCCAAACAAGATAGAAAATGTGAACTGGTCTCTTCTACAGTTGCACTTCATCAGTGACAAAAATAAACTAAAACATTAAATTAAATACAAAAATGTTTGCCAAGTGTCTTGAAGGGGTAATCATGGGTAAAGCACCTTTATCCACAATTATCCACTAAATAGGAAAGGTCATGAACCAGTTTTGAAAAGGGCTCTGCAAACAATCATGTGCCTTCAATAGAAGTTAGTCAGAGCCTTGCTAGATGGGAGGTCAACACAGCCCAAGGCCACAGAGCACAAACATGAGGACATCGTCAATCATAGAGTATCTCATGAAAATTTAGTTTTCATTTATTTTTGAGGCCCAGGGTATGCCACAAGAAGGTTGGCACCATATCGAGTGTAAGTTCACGACAAACAGAACACCCTTATCTTAGTTCCCATTCCAAATAGGTATTCATGTCCAGATGCCCCTAAGTTCCACAAAAGGTGAACCCTTAATGTAGAACTTATATATAGCAAGTCAGATAATGAATTGCAGAAAAGGAAAGCACCGTAGTGTCATAAAGCCGAGAACTTCAGGTAGTCCAAAAGGGATAGTTTCTAAGAATAGAAGGTTAATGTTTCTTGAATCCAGCATCGCTTCCCAATTTCCTCGTGTTTATTTGTGCGACATACAAGAAGAATACTAAAAGCACACAGTTATTGCTCCAACAAGATGAACTTGCCTTTCAATTGAGTCTGCAACATACTCAAGTGAATCACTAAGGGAAGCCAGCAAAATAAGTTTGTTATCATCACGAATTAGATTTTCCTGCAAATGAGGAATAAATGGGAAACGAAAATCAATTTGCAGCTATGATACAAATTTTAGATAGAATCTCAATGCAGGAAAGATAAACTCATCAACAAGACTCAACAAACATATTTCATTGAGACACTAAGGGGAAAACAAAATCAATTTGCAGCTGTGAAGCAAATTTTTGGGAGAATCTCAAAGCAGGAAAGATAAAACTCTTCAACAAGACTCAACAAACATATTTCTTTTAGAATGTCAACTCCATCAGTCAGCAATTAAGAAGGAACAACCGCCCCAAAACAAGCACCTCCAACCATTTTAATAGAATGGAATGCTAGTAATCTTACCTGCCTCCACCCTAAAGAGAGTGATATTTGTAATAACAACAAGGGCAATAATAAATCCTTGTGACCAAAAGTGCTATTGGCTAATATAATTACACATACCTGCTTGATCGGTCGGAGATTGAATAATAATTCACTCAATTCCGATTCAATCTCTAAAGATTCAGCATCAGTAGCATTGTTTACCATATTTGACTGGCCAAGAGAATTTGGTAAATATGCACTTGCTGGTTCAAATCGCATCAGCTTCTCAATATCATGCCTTCCAATCAGCATGTAACTCTGCTTCTCAAGAACTGCCTGAAACATTACCAACATTAATTGCTGACAGATGCTATATGATGACTGTACAAGACAAGCATCAGCTATAGCATGCATCCACAAAATCCATCTCTTTTCAGTGGAATTCAGAAACAGTTACAACGAAGCAAAAACTACTTAAAAGCAGTGGCGGAACCAAGTTTTTTTTTTTTTTTTTTTTGGGGGGGGGGGGGGGTTGTTTTGTGCTTTATGCTCGAATAAAACTTTTTTGCATGGGGCGACAAAGAGCTTAAGCAAAAATATTCCTAAATATATGTAAAAGATGAAGTAAAAAATTGGATGTTGAAGTACTAAAAAGTAAGAACCTTAATTTTTAAGGGATGACAATTTACAAAAAAGATGAACTTTAATGAAATATACATAAAAGTTAAAAGACTTTTTTAATTTTGTTGGGGAGAGGGGTGTGTGCCGGTCCGCCTGGGCTCCACCACTGCTTAAAAGAAACATACAATTAGGAGATAGAGATTAAGCAAACGATACTGATGATGCTTCTGATTGAATAGGAAAACAAAAGGAGATCATGCCTCCATATATGACGTCCGACATCTTTCATATGTTCGCTCGAGGAAAGTTTGCACATACTTCACAAGGTCACCAGCAAATTTAGGCATTGCTTGAGCCCAACCAAGCACCTGGAGTAAAGGATAAATGTTGATCAGACATCCCAAAATCAAATACATCAGACTACTGACCCAACAAAAATTGCAATTATTCAATTAAGGGCAAAATGAAAGGATAAGAAATGCTTGCCTCTTTTGCCAAGAAATCGATTGCCAAAAGTCCCTGCAAGACTGGTCGACCTTTCTCGATTAATGGTGTATAAGGAGCAACAGTATGAGCTCTTGGACGAAATGCAGCTGGACCTGTGATAGAACTTCCAGAATGAGATTTTAAACAGCAGAAACAATAAAAAAGAAAAAGCTTAACACAGATCAGATGAGTTGTAACATTCTCTTATTGAGCATGCACAGGCTGAGCAGATTCTAAAAGCCATTTTCTTCACAACATCAGTTAAAAATTTGTCAAATTACTTTGGAGGATGGTTATGTAGTTTATTTGTATTCCAAATCCTTAAGCTTAAAAAAATACAATGTCACTATTTTTCTAAAAATGCTAGTAAAAAATAGAGTTATTCCGATTGTCCATGTGATTTTGGCACTAAACCTATCTGTCTCATGATCTGCTGATACTGTTGCATCTTCACACAATTTAATGTCTACTGATACTATTTATAGTTGAACACATAAGCAGCTCAAAGGCAATATTAACAACTATTTGATGAACGGAATCAATTGAGGAAAAGGAATAAATAGCATCATTAGAAAACAATCAACATAATGAAACTAAATTTTTGGAGCATATAGAACTTGCTTGATATGGCCTGCTGTACACCCTTCCGGTAATCCACATACATAGTTGGTAGAAAATGATCTTTTACGAAGTTTTCCACAAAAGCTAGCAATCCATCATTCCTGCAGTTTTTGAAGCAGAGAGTACAAAAAAACACATCAGCATACCCAACAACCAAAAAAAAAAAAAAAAAACAAAAACAAAAAACCACAAAAAATAAGCACATAAATTAATTGTGCAGAAATCTTGGACATCAAACTCTTGATTGAGCTAAATATATTATAACCAAGCTCTAAAGAACCGGGAGTGCAAACAGCATGAAAAGTTCCAACTCTTCATAGTTGGACTACCTAGACAGTGATGTAATTGGACCATACTCAGGTCACTTGTTTTAGTTTCTTTGAATAACCACCCCTCTGCCCCTCAGCAGAAATGGTATCAAACATAGTGATTGTGTTCTGTGGTTGACTAGGGAATGAGAATTTGGACAAACTATACAATGAGTAAAGTTTTGGTCAGAAGGTAGTCAAGCATCTTCCCCACACCCACTTTTACTTGCATCTGGTGCAACGCCCAAGAGTTCAGTCGAGTGAAGAATGAGAAAGAAAGTTGACTAGAGAAAAATCTAAAGAAAAATTCCAGGTCCAAAATCTACAATAAGATGTGCACTATGCAGATCATGCAAAGGGACCTTTGATTGCATATGCATATCACCCAACAAGAACAGTGATTTTCAAGCTTACCCAAGCTGGGAAAATTTTTTCGGCAGCATTGAAGCAACCTTGTCTGTAAACTGCACAGGAAATCACTTTAGATGAGCCGAACAAGAGAAACCCTGAACAGGTAATACATTTCAAGTTTGACATATGGGTCAATGTCAGTCCCAAACCTGAAGAACAGGACGATATACTGATGCTGCTAGATATATGCCTTGCTCAGGCAAGACAGTAGCAGACCCATAGCCTTCTTGTAACACATTTGAACCCTTCCTGCTCCATCCTTGACGAATGAGATCAACACCTGAATAATCGATAAAACGGGGAACCATGAAAATTAAGAATCAATCTGAAAGGAACCCATAACCTATGAAAAACAAATCTAACAACAAAGAAAATAATTGGAAAGAAGTAACACAGACGAAAATGGTAGCATAATTGGAATGTGACTATCACATCCTTGGGGCTCAAAACATGACATTGCCAGTGATTGTTTTCTCCCTTTGAAATCAACGTGAGAGAAGAATTCCTTTTGTTTTCTTTTGATAAGTCAACCAAAAAAAATAAAAATAAATAAATAAATAAATAAAACAAAACCAGCTACCTTGGTTAGGAACAGATATAGTAGCATCTGTGAAGCGAAAAGCAAATGTGAGCCCATCTTCTGACCCATCCCTGTAACACATTACGATTGGCAGGGGCATTACTATACAATCTTTCTGATAGAACAAAACTGTTCGCTTATTATTATTATTATTATTATTATTTTAAAAAAAGGAAAAATATTTTATTCAAAGAAAATGAAACAAGATTATATGACAAAAGAAGTAGACAATTAAAACAAAGTTTTGTGAAAAACTGGTTGAAAGTGACCTAAAGAAACCCCTTTAAAGAGCCAGAAGAAAATATACCATTAAGAGACCAGGAAGACTAAGAAATTAGTGTTACCCACTTTTTTCCCTTGGAAGGGGCCTTGCTTGCTAGTCTAGCAGTTTGTACAGCAGCATCTGCAGATGCAGCTTCAGGAGTGGCTCGCAGAATTTCACATATGAGTTGTTGGCATTCACTCTTTCGCAAATTATGCAAGGAAAACATTGAATGAAAATGAGGAAAGGTTTTCCACCCAAAAATAGATTCAAATGCAATGACTTGGTTCATCAAGTGCCAAAACCCAGCCAGCTACCTGTAAAACTGTCAAGGCAAAGCCAATACTGTAACCTCCAGTAACTTGAGATAATTCAGAATCTGGGTTCCAATTTACATCTGTTGTCAACGACCTTGGTGTGTTCATGTCAACATTATGAGCAGTTTTCAACTCCAGAAGCTCTCCAACAACAACATGATTCTCTAGACCAACAAAGGTGTAAAGGGTGAACTTATTTTTTCAAACTATATTTAATAAAGATGGAAAGTCAATAGCCTACCAAATATTCGAACAACAGTGTCCAAAATTGAATCAAGAAGCTCTTTTGCAGCAGCCTGTGCTTTCCCTATGGGAGCCATAACTGACGAGACAGGGCTTACTGCCAATAGTGTCCCTGACAACAATATCCCATTCTGATGCTTCTGTTTTGGCAACTGGTAGCTCTCTAGTTGTCCTTTCACAAAACAAAGACCTCTGGTTTGGGCAGTTTTATCAATGCTAGACCTTGAAGAATTTACAAGTTCTGAATGGGCTTTTATCTTGGAAGTGATGATGTCATGAATTGTAGGCCGCAGCCTTTGGCTGTTGAGGAAAAAAAGCTAAGAATGTCACACACTCTCCAACCATATCAAAACAATAAGGAGTGCAAGACTAATTAATTCTATATGAGCACGAATAGAGTTCTATGGATGAATTAAATGTTCACTATGACAATACTTCTTTTAGTTTTGTGTGAACAGACAACAAACATAACATTGCCAATAATGCATACAAGAAAACTGAACACGTGACGGAACTTCCTAGAGAAATCTCATTCGAATATAGATCCAGTAATTAAAGAGGAAAGGAGAAAAGGAATAGCATAGCAAATTCATGTCATATATATATAGGTGATCACTAAAATAGTTGTAGATGTGAGGCCCACAGGGATTTTTCAGTTAAACAAAATAAAAGAAGTGCACCAGCCAGATAACCAACCATATTATTGCACCAGCAGCTGCAACTTTGCCCAGCATGCAGAGGCACTCAACCATGGTCTGCAAATACTTCACATGAAGTGGAGCATCACTCTTTTTAATGGTTTCCTACATGCAAATGTAAAATCCAGCACTTCAGCCCAGAGAAAATGAAAAGAACCACCACAAATTTAACATGAATGTGGTTACTTTAAGTATATCGTTCATACAATAAATTCGTCTGGAGTAGAATTTGAAAGCCAACTTGCTATATGTCGAGGAACAATTTTAACGTCCTTCATGTTCCCATCACCATTTGTTCTCATCGATGCAGAGTGCCCATCTGAGGTTGCCTCATCAGGTACATCATCCTCATCATGACCATCAAATGAAGAACTGAAAAGGGCAGATCGATGTAAATACTTAGAAAATAATAACAATAATAGCCAATCACATCAAAACTTGATCTTATACATATCCATGCATGCTGAATCTTGAAAATCTTCACAGTTTGCACTTTTATTGAAAATACAAAACCCAATTTGCCAATATCTGCCAAAGCGATGGTTCAGAAGTAACTGAAACAAACTGGGAAATTTTGGCTAGAGGATAATGAATTCATAACTGACAATAAAGCAGAGAAAGAAGTGGCCATGATAAAGCTACGAATTACGCCATCTAAAACCTTACAAACTAACTAAAATATCAAAAGGCATACAGGATTGAAACTATCAACTTGATCATGCGAGCAAACATATAAGAGATCGGGAAATCATATGATGGTTCAAGAGGAGAAACAATCACAAACAATCTGTTTAAAAACTTCAGAATCAATTTCATTCATAAACAAGAAAATATGAAGAGTCAAAAATAAGAGAGAATTAACAAGTGCATATAAAGAACAAAGTAAAAGGAAGGTAGATGAACTGAATTATGAAGAAAATTTTCCTTACCCTCCATCAATGGAGCTTGGTCTGTATGATCCATCAGCAAAGCTGTAATTGTCACCTTTCATCAACCTTGTTCTTCGAGATAGAGATTGTGAATTGCTCATAGTAAAAGTAACAGCTGCTGTAGTCGGCAGTTCATCATCTCTTTCATACATGCTTGAGGCAACTGAGCTGCAGAAAACAACCAAACTAAGGGCAAAGGAACTCCATAACAGAAACAAATGTCTCAAAGTATAGCTTGCATCAACATTCTACAGATCTACAGTTCTAGCAAACTTAAGAATCACAATAGTGAGAGAAGCTTTTTAAAAATGCTGTAACTTTTCTTTAATGTTATAACAAAACAGGTCACAGACAAAACACATGATCTATGCACATAATCTAGAATGACCAAAAAAGGAGAAGAACAACCACCAAGAAAAGGAGGGAAACATGAATATGTACCTGTATTCTCCCTTGTTGTAAAGATGTGCATGCAAATCCTCCAAAATTTTATAGAAGAGAACTCCTCGCAACTTTGTCAGCTCAGATCGCACATCTTGAAGAGCACCAACCTAGAAGAAAATAATCAAAGTATAGTAAATTCAAAAGTTCAAAATATCCCAATTACATTGCACGTAGTCAAGTCAACAAAAACAAACAAGGAAAGAAGTCAAAAGCATGTATAAAGCACCATGTTGAAACCTTGAACCAATGCTAAGCAGAATTTGACCTTCATAGACAGGTTATTGCTGCCAGATCTCCAAATTAATAATCAATTTACAAGTCAAAAACCTCTCATAAGCATAACAAGAATGTTGTGTAATAAAAAAAAAAAAATTATTGGACAACACAATAAGGAGTGCAGAACCGGTATACCAATTACCAATAATTAATGATTCCCTAGGTTAGCACCATGGAATCTAGGAATTGGAAGCAAGATGAGATAAAACCAAAATTTAACCTAAACCATTGAACCTTCAATGAGATTATTACAGGAAGTTTGACAACCCACCGTTTGAAGACCTTCTCGCTCAAGCATCAATGATGACTGAGCGTGCAATTGAACTGCTGCATAAAACTGCTTTTCAGCTATGAGTTTCTCAATACGACCTGGAACCTGAGCAAAAAGACAAGCAGATGACTGGTTCTTCAACACCAACAGATTTGAAACATGGAAATAGTTCTACCATGAACAATGTTATGTTAATGAATACTGCCGTCGTAGTAGAGAGAAAGAATCTCTTCATTATGCAAGTCATTTTAAAATCTGATGGAGAATTTAGACCAACCTTAGCTATGCCTTCAATTTGATCTAAAAGAGAGATTATGTGCCGTAGTGTAACAGACCGATACCACAACTGATGCAATTGCTTATTCCGGGTACCAAGGCGTTTCTTTGCTTCACCCAAATCAACCTTTAGCGTAGCAATACTTTCAGCAGATTCACTGAATAACCGCAAGATCTGGAAGAAAATAATAAACAACAATAATTGAGAATAGGCACCAACTCTAGTTTTGTCAAATCCTGAAAAAGTTAAACAGAGAATATCAACATATGATAATCACTTATGAGGTTATGAGTAAATATAGTCGTATAGAACCCACGATGAGATTAACACAATCTAATACACAATTTCACTCACTCCTTCCATGGCTGATTACCTCAATTCTTTATCAGTCAATCATTTATCACTTCTTTTTACCCAGAAGCACTAAAACAAGTTTTTACAAGACAAAAGGGAGATTTTAGGAATACTATACGTAACTAACAATTTTGAAGAAAATAGAGAAACAGATGAAGTTAAGATCACTTGAAAAAAAAAGGCAAAACAACATAAAACTATGTCTTTACATAAAGCATCCAAGATATCAACGAATGGCATCACAGTAAAGGAGCTAGCCTTGCCAACTAAGATATCACACCCCTAAATGGCTGCCCATATAATAAGTAAATAGCCCGTATAATAAGCAGCAGCTGGATCACAATCTTCATCTATGGGAAACAAGTCTGGAAATGAGTTTAGCTAGGGAATAGTTATTTTTGGATGACAAACTTTGAAATTCTATAGCTTCATCAATGAGAAAGCTACTGATATAAATTCTATTCCAACATTTACTGAAATCAACAAAAATTTTCCTAAATAACGCACAAAAAAATTTGTACTGATCATAGAATCCTACCACTTCAAAGTTATTAGCTGCAATTAGTACAAAGTTGTTAGCTGCAATTTCTATAGTATGATCCCTAACTTTCAAAGAACAATTTGCGTTAGAAGAGGACAGCATTGATATTTTACATGAAACAAATCAAAGGAATTTGAAAATAGAAAAGAAAGGAACAAAAGAAACCATCTATCTTTTGCTATCTTGGATACAGGAAAGCAAGGGAATTGCCAACAATTAGAAATTCGCATCATCAACATCAGTATATAAAAGAATATTTAAGATACCTGAGAATAATTTTGAATTGCTTTATTGAAGCCATTGTGATAAGATTGCACTACTTCATCTACGACATCCTCAACAACATCACTTTGCTCCTTCAAAACTTGGGCTTCAGCTTCACGATCTTTTGAGGTTAAAATATGGACAACATGAGGCAATGAATCAAAACGTGCAGCAGCCCAACTCTCATCTATTCTTGAAAGCTCTTCTCTTAAATACTGCTTTGTACCAAAAAAAGCAAACCAACGGAATGAGAAAAACAACAACAGGATAATAAAAAGGAAGATGCCACAAAACCATATGACATTAATGATAACCTATATGATTAAGTGATTAACAATTAGATATGCAGTTGTTGTAGCTTTAAATGCAGTAAATCAAAGAAAACCCATCGTTAAATTAAATACAGTATCTAGCCACACCAACACTTAAAAGTTAAGATATAGCCCAAAACTTTGATGCTCAACCATTCACTGCTTGTACCATAAACCATATAAGAACCCTCAAATTGATTTTTGCAAGACACAGCACCATACCGTCTGCTATGAGAAATATGTACATACTGGCCACACACACATTTTATGATTCATCACAGCTTATCACATATATTCCATAATTTCATGGTACTTGCATGCCAATATAACTTCGTCCATTTCCAATCTACTCTACAAACCAAAACTCCAACAGAACAACAGCTGTCAAAGCACGTGATAAAACACTCACATTAAACTTACTTCTACAAAAACACCACAAAATAAATAAACAAATAAATGACTCACTGCTTTGTCAGGAGGTACGGGCAACCCGTCAAAAATCCCCATCTTATTCCTTATCTTCAACTGCAGTTTTACACCCAGATCATCCCAACAAGGTCCTTTGTTTTTCTTCTGGTTCTTGATAACGATTCAATATCTAAAACAGATAAAAGTTAATAAAATAAAAAGAAAAAATCAGTCAAACATCGGCAATTTTCTCCAACACAGCCAAAATGAAATATTCTCGTTATTTGATTACCAGAAAATGCAACGCTCAACAAGGCTCCTTCAGAGACGCGATAACAGTACTATAATTAAGTTGAAATATAAACATATAGCATTTGTTTATTATTATTGCTTAGTTTCTAAGCAACAATATGTAAAAGTCAAAGTTCAAGACTCGCCGAATGTATAATTTGACTCTTATTAGAGGTTAAAACTGAACCAAAACAACTAATTTTTTTCTAAGAAAGTTACTAGAAGAAAGGTTTTCAAATTTCACTTTTCTATTGTATTCTTGGCAACCTAACCGCTGATCATTGTAGAGAGTTTATTACCAATTTACTTTAATTTATTCAAAATCAGCCGTCCTGAGAGTATTTATAAAACAAAAAAAGAGAAAAGTAACCGGCAATTTTTTCAGCAACCAAACAGGAGATAATAAAATTGAGTATTAAAAAGTAAATGCCAGATCCAACATGGTGAACACTAGTACCGCCATTTTCACACAATAAAATAATTAAAACCCTAATTAAGCTGATAAATTAAAAAATAAAAAAAGCAGCTGATTTGCTGGAACAAATTCAAAAAAATTCACGAACAGTAGCTGATAATAAACTCGAAATAGCTAATCAGATTTGTGCTTTTCAATTCAAAAGAAGAAAACGACGTCGCATTCGGATGATTAATGGTGCGCATGAGAGCCAAGTGAAACGCGAAAATGGAGGTGTACCTATGAATCGGAGGAGGTAGGATTCGGATATCGCATTAGCGAGACCGAAAATATCGAGAGAAATCACTGGTTTTGGAGGTTGTGAAAAAGATGATCGGTGTGATATTGTTGGAACAGGGAGAGGGAGAACGACAGAAAAGACGTCGAATTGAAAGAAATCTGTATTTGGATTTTGGAGGTATTTCCAGCTCTTCGCTCTGTAATAATTTATTTTGTTTTTTCTCCGGCTTTTTTTTTTTTTTTTTTCAAAGAGGAGGGAGGATAAATGGAACTCTGATTATAAATGGATTTTTTTCGTTCGGATTGTAAATTAGCCGAAATATCAGTCCTCAAAGTTTTTGAAGTCACAGAAGTGTGATGCTAGAATATTATTAATAGCTCGATTTCGTCCAATCATTGCGTATTATATCATGAAGAGACAAAGTATGAAAAGAGAACATTTATATTTTCATGAATATCATTGATTGTTCTTGTCGTCGAGTTTAAAATAAACCTGAACTCTTTTTCCTTGGTATGAGGAGTTTAACAAATTTTAATTTCCATTTAATGGTAATTACATCGTGGAACTAGTTTTTATGTATTGAAATTAAGTATTTTTTGATTAGATTTGAAGTGGATTGCAATTTATTCGTATTATTTCTTATGACCTATTCTAAGATTGGTGCTTCAAGAGATGATTTGAAAAATATACTTATTTACCAATCATAGTTCAACATATTTTTCTCCCATTAAGGATACTCTCAAGTTATTTTTAAAAATTAAATCGTTTGGTTTTGGTAAACTAAAAATAAGTTTTTCACTTTGATTTATTTAAAATCGTGTTATTTATTTTGAATTAAAAAATTACTTGAAATTTAAATATTGATAACTAAAGAGATAACTCATTCCTTATTTATCAAGTCAAACGATGAGATTATAAACTTTATTTAATTAAGTTCTAATTATATTTCTACACGAGTAAATAATTGGTGACAGAAAAAATATGATTAAATAAAAAAAATGTTAGCTTATTCTTTTTTTTATTTAGTGCTAGCATCCTTTTATTTATTGTATTTTTTTCTCACTCTCATTTAAAAATTTTTCCTTTAATTGTCAAAAAGAAAAATTATGTTTCCTCAAACCCGAATCTTTATTTATCTACCAGTTAATGATGCATTTCAACCCCGAATGACTTCAACATTCAAGTCCTCCAGTGTATTTGCTTCGGAAAAAGGGCAAAAAAAAAAAATCGAAGTAAGGAAAAACCAAAACGAAGTTATTCGAAGGCTCCAGGCCCAATAAAGTTACATGCTGCCAATATGGTTGCCTACGGGTCGTGCCAACAGCACGTACTAACGAGCAGTCTCAACGTAACGTCGTTCACAGAGCAAGCAAGTTCGTTTTCTAGAAATCAACCATTGCAATCCACCCCCCTCCACCCCGGCAGCGATCAACCTGCTTGACCACCTCCACCACCACCACCACCACACTAGCCTTTTTTACTCTTTCCACAACTACCCTGCTTAATCACCTCCGCCACCACCCCACTATCCTCTCTCACTCTCTCCACAACTACCACCAACTACATTAAACAATCATGAACCCACCAACACCAACCCCCGACGAATTCTCCTCTCTTCCTCTCGAATTCATCCCCTTCCCTCCTCTCCCTTCCCAAACCTCCCCTACTCCAATCCAAACCCCGCCCGTACCCGTACCCGCACCCGCACTTCCAAATACGAACGCCTTCCTCTCCTTCCCCATTCCCAAAAAACGCCGCCGGGGCCGTCCCCAAAAAACGCAAACCTCCTTTCACTTCCCCCAATTTTTCCCACCCAATACCACACAAAACCAACAACATAAGCAACCAATCCCCGATATCTCTGAAGAAATCATAGTAATCAACAAAGAGTCAACAAACGAAGCCTTAATTGGTCTTTCTGCTGGATTTCCTGCTGATTCCTTAACCGACGAGGAAATAGATGCCCGTGTGGTCACGAATATCGGCGGAATCGAACAGGTTAATTACATTTTAATTAGGAATCATATAATTGCGAAATGGCGTGAGAATATTAATGTTTGGATAACTAAAGAAATGTTTGTTAATTCCGTGCCGAAACATTGTCATGGGTTGTTAGATTCTGCTTACAATTATCTGGTTTCGCACGGGTATATTAATTTTGGGGTTTCGCAGTCGATAAAAGAAAAATTCCCTAATGAGTATACAAAGTCGAATGTGATTGTTGTTGGGGCAGGATTGGCGGGGTTGAGTGCAGCGAGGCAGTTAATGAGGTTGGGATTTAAGGTTACGGTTTTGGAAGGGAGGAAGCGTGCGGGTGGGAGAGTTTATACGAAGAGAATGGAAGGGGGGCAGGGAATAGGGTGAGTGCATCGGTGGATTTAGGAGGGAGTGTTTTGACAGGGACGTTGGGGAATCCATTGGGGATTTTAGCGAGGCAGTTGGGGTATTCGATGCATAAGGTGAGGGATAAGTGTCCGCTTTATAGTTTGGATGGGAAACCAGTTGATTTGGATATGGATATGAAGGTTGAGACGGCATTTAATAGGTTATTGGATAAAGCGAGTAGGCTTAGGCAGTTGATGGGTGATGTCTCGGTGGATGTGTCGTTGGGGGCTGCGCTGGAGACATTTAGGCAGGTTTATGAGGATGCGGTGAACAAGGAGGAGATCAATTTGTTTAATTGGCATTGTGCTAATTTGGAGTATGCAAATGCAGGTTTGTTGTCAAAGTTATCATTGGCATTTTGGGACCAGGATGATCCATATGACATGGGAGGTGATCATTGTTTTTTGCCTGGAGGAAATGGGAGGTTGGTTCAGGCTTTAGCTGAGAATGTATCAATTTTATATGAGAAGACTGTGCATACTATTAGGTATGGAAGTGATGGGGTGCAGGTTATTGCAGGTAGTCAAGTCTTTGAGGGGGATATGGTGTTGTGTACGGTTCCACTTGGGGTGTTGAAGAGTGGGTCAATCAAGTTTATTCCTGAGTTGCCACAGAGGAAGCTTGATGGGATAAAAAGATTAGGATACGGACTGCTGAATAAGGTTGCGATGCTTTTTCCGTATGTGTTTTGGGAAACTGATCGGGATACATTTGGACATTTGACTGACGATACGAGCTCTCGAGGGGAGTTCTTCTTGTTTTATAGCTATGCAACTGTAGCTGGGGGTCCAATCTTGATTGCTTTAGTAGCAGGGGAAGCTGCACATAAATTTGAGAGTATGCCACCTACAGATGCGGTGACCAAGGTTATTCAGATTCTTAAGGGTAATCTATTCAACTTTTCATTGAAAATATTGTCCGTGCAATTACTAGAATACCACATATGTGTTTTAGTTGCAGAACTTTTGGAGTCGTTAAACCATTATGCATGGTCATTTAAATTAGCTTCACTTCCTTGTTCAGTAGCACTTCCCACTGTAATTGTGCTGGTTTTTTAAGATGAAATGCAAGTCTGAATAGCGAGTAGATGATCAGACAATATTTTAATGTGACTTGGTTTAATTGAATGCAGGCATTTATGAACCACTAGGAATCACTGTCCCAGAGCCTATCCAAACTGTCTGCACTAGATGGGGTAGCGATCCATTTACCCTTGGTTCTTACTCTAATGTTGCAGTTGGGGCATCAGGAGATGACTATGATATATTAGCAGAAAGTGTGGGAGATGGGAGACTTTTCTTTGCGGGGGAGGCCACAACGAGGCGATATCCTGCAACTATGCATGGAGCTTTCCTCAGTGGGTTAAGAGAAGCTGCAAACATGGCTCACTATGCTGGCACTCGAGCCTCAAGGATGAAGGCTAATCGAACCCCATCTAAGAATGCCCACACCTGTGCTTCCCTTCTTGCAGATTTATTTAGGGAGCCAGATATAGAGTTTGGGAGTTTTTCTGTTATTTTTGGCAAAAAGAATCCTGACCCAAAGTCAGCGGCAATTTTAAGGGTGACATTTAGTGAACCTCGAAAGAAGACTCAGGAAGGTTCTAGGCCAGATCAACAGCATTCTAATAAGTTACTTTTTCAGCAGCTTCAGTCACATTTCAATCAGCAACAACCGCTTCATGTGTACACTTTATTATCAAAACAACAGGCGCTTGAGTTGAGAGAGGTGAGAGGGGGTGATGAAATGAGGATGAATTATCTCTGTGAGAAGCTAGGAGTGAAATTGATTGGGAGAAAGGGTTTGGGTCCCACTGCTGATTCACTCATTGCTTCTATTAAAGCTGAGAGAGGTGGTCGCAAAGCCACTGCTACTTCGTTGGGTCTAAAGTCAGGTGAGGGTGATTGGAGCCAGCCTTCTATTCGTCCTTTTTTTCTCCAAATTATTAAGTTAGTCTGTTGCATGGAACTTGAAATAACATTTTACTTTGTTCTTTTTTTTGGAAAGGGACATTCAAACTACAAAAGGGCACTTTGAAGCGAAAATTGGTCAGGTTTGTGTTGATGAAGATGATTTTGTTATTATTGTTTCCCTTGATCTTCTAAAATTTTTCTTCTACCATTTGACTGAAAATTTTTCCTGTTTACTCTTACTTAAATCTCCCAGGAGGGCTAAAATAGTGCGCAGCAGCAATAAGTCTGTACCTACACCCAATTCAATCATGGTTAATGCTAAGGTGTCTGAAGAAATTCGGACAACAAATCAGGTGCCTTCTGAAATGAATAGTGCAGGTAAATATTGAAGGCTTTTAGTCCCATAATAAATCTATTATTTTTGGTGCATTTGGATGTAAGGAGGAAGTGAATCGTTCCTGTTCTGTTTACTCTCATCATGCTTATTGAGCCTCTCCACTTGTTATGTAAAGTTTATCAGTTAATATGAATACCCTTTTATCACTTCATAATTACATCATTATAATCTATCCACGTCCTATATAATATTATGGTGACTTAATTTCTTGTGCTTCCATAGAGAGAAGAGATGGGTCTTTGCAAGAACCACAGAAGTAGACACCCACTTTTTCACTCACTATAGAAAGGGATATAAACCACAGAAGTAGACATAGAATGACCCACTTTTCACTCTCTATAGAAAGGGATATAAACTGATGCATTTTTGTAGTTGTCCATATCCATTCATCAGTATTGCTTTCTTTAACTATTCTTATTGTAAAAATCTGAAATAAATGCTTCAATTTTGTTAGAACAAACTCAAGTGGACTTGTGGAAGAATGATCAGACAGCACCTTCCTGATGAGTTGTGAGAATGGTAAACTATCTTTGATCCCAAGGTTACGTTGATAATTTCATGTACAAATCAGCTTTATGGTTTCTGATATTGTTTTCCATCATGCCACTTGGTGCGCAGCAGATGAGCACTCATTTTTCTTGATGGCTACTAGGTAAAATGCAAATTAATGATTCATGATTTGATTCAGTAATCAGAATATATGCTACATGTTCTCCCTATTTAATGAAACAACTGAAATATGTATGAATATCTTATCTGTGGATTTGATATTTCTATCCCTGTCTGGTGGAGAACTCACTCTCCATTGCGAATGTTTTTCTCTGATGTATTGCAGAATTTGTTCCTTCTTTCTTCTGAATTATTCAACAAGGGCCAGTTGGAGAACTCTGTTCTTGCTATTCCCAACTTCTGATACATGTGCCCTGTGCAAAAGCACTAGGAGTAATGGATGTTGTCTACAATGAGAACTGAAAATTGCAGTGTCTAATGAAACTACATTTCATCATTGACTCCTTTTTCTTCAACACAACAGTCGTTCCTCAAAGACAGCATGATGGATTGGCTCTATGACAAAGGCCAACTGTTTGGTCATGCCTTGGAGAGTCATTCTTCAAAGACACCCATGAAGCTTGTCCCCAAGCTGACTCTGTTGTGGAGAATGGGTCCTCACATAGGAGGATTTATGAAATCCAGGTATATTGTTTTTGCTTCATTGATACTTTTCAAGCTCATCTTTATTTTAAAACTGCACAATTATACTGTGCCATGATGGAAAGAAGATGTTATGATGTTAGCGATTGTCAAGATAAAACCTGGCTTGGAACCTCCTATATCACGAAGTACAGGATATTGTCATGGATGTGAAACCTTAACCAAGGTCAAAACTCAAAATTCATTTCATGAGGAAGACTCCCAGTGAAGACCTGCACTTCACTACTGACGGAGACTGCATGTTGCTGTTTCAGTGACGCAGGCTGGACAGCTTGTTGGCAAACAAAAAGAAATGTAAAAAAGAAGAAGCTGTTCTTGCAACTGTGTTTGTAAATGCGAAGACAGTGATTGACTGGTTCCTGGGGGTTTTCGTCACTCCTGTTTTATCCGGAGTTCCACTGGTACTTTTGTATGGTAGATGGTATATTTGGGGTGGTTTTGCTTATCCATTTATCCTAATTTGATTTGACTGATTGTAGTTGTGGTCTTGTTTCAAGGATAGAAGATTGATCAAATTAGGAAGAACAAGGCCTATATTGTATTTTAACATTCGTGAACTTTTCTAATCAGTGAGGATATTGGAAATTTTAAGCAAAAGTTTCAATAGATTCAATTTCAAAGGATTCCATGCATGTTCTTCATACCAAATTTCCATGAACAGCAGAGAGACTTGTATCAGACCTAACGGACAATTTCTTCTTTAACTCACTAGAAATGAAATGGCAACTCTTAAAATAAATTCATGTGTTTAATAGGGTAACACACAAGTGGGTGAGCCATTTCTGCTGAAAAACCTGGTCCTGGGCTTAAATCAATCTTTTCCCCATCCTTGATTTTCCAATCAAAGCACTGCACCATAGCCCCTATTGTTGCAGGTATCACCCTCATAGCAAGTGATGCACCAGGACATCCTCTTCTTCCACTTCCAAAGGGAAGGTAACGGAAATTCTGACCCTTAAATTCCATTTGATGCTCACCAATTTTTTCCTCTGAACCCTCCATGAATCTCTCAGGCATGAATTCATTGGGATTAGCCCATGAATTTGGATCTCTCATGATAGCGTAGACATTAGTGACAACTCTTGTCCTGGCCTTGATAAAAGAACCATTGACATTGCAATCTTCAGCACATTCTCTGATGATTAAGGGTGCTGGAGGGTGAATTCTTAAGGTTTCCTTAATGATGGCCCCAAGGTAAGGGAGGTTTGGAATGTCTGATTCTCTGACCAGCCTGTTGGGCCCAACAACTGTATTGATCTCATCTCTGAGCTTCTTGAATATCTCTGGGTTGCTGATTAGCTCTGCCGTGGTCCAGTGCAAGGCTACTGATGTTGTATCTGTACCTGCAAAGAACAAGTCCTGAGATACATATACCAGTAAATAATTAGTTATTAGCAGTGCCGATAATTAACGAGAACTTCATTGGTATTCTTGCGAACGGGAGGTGAGAATTCAGTTGGAGTGTCAATCCCAACTATCCTAGCTAGATTTTAATTTTGATTTTGATTTTCTAATTCAGAAGTCGTAAATTTATTGGTCATTCGTTTTTTTTTTTTTTTATGGAGATCTGAAATAGGGTTTGTGTGGGATCTTCGACCATCATAACTAGTCTTCCATTCTCTAGGTTGGCCGTATCAAAATATTTGGGACTTTCAATCGGAAAACTCTATAGATACTTTCATACTTAGCCTTGGAAGATTTCTTTAATATTTTCAATTCAAACAAAAATGTCCAAACCCGATAACACGACATTTAAATGATTGCATGTTACTCTAGGAAGTGGGGATATATAGATCATGATTCCTAGCAAGACCATTCTCCCCTTAATTAATATAGTTATTCATGATTTCTTTCATATGATGCAAGATTTTATATAATATCTAGAAGGGCAAAAGGAACTTACAAGCAAGAAAGACTCGATGTCGTTTTTTGATATTCTGATTTCAGCAGCTGGATCATTATATATCTCCAATAATATGTCCATCAAATCCTTCCCCTCTCCCTCTTTAAAACCTTCCATTGCCTTCTCTTCATGCTCCTTAATTAGCCTTTCCACCAAACAATCATATTCTTTTAGTGCCCCAACTAGCTTCTTCCCATTGCCAGTTCTAGAGAAGTCAAAAATCTTGAAAGGACCCAAAATATCCCCTATAAGAAGCTTCCCTGCCAGCATCAAACAAGTCTTACCTATCCTCCTAACCTTCTCTGCATCATTATCAGGACCAGAACACCTTGTGCTCATTGCCATCCTACAAATAACATTGTTTGTGAAAGCCGTGAACTCTTTTCTCAAGTCACACAACTTCCCTTCTCTGGCACAAGTCATCACCGATTCGACTAACTTTACCTTCTCCTCCTCTCGTATATCGGCGAACTTATCAAGTTGAGGGGCAGCAAGGAGTCTAGTCATGCATAGTTTCTTCATGAACCTCCAATAATCACCATATTGGGCAGTCACAAACCTTGACCCTCTATAAATGAAATATTCCGACCCGCCAAATTCAGGTCTAGAGATGAAATTTAGCTCTTGGGTCTTGAATATTTCTTTTACCACAGCAGCATTAGAAGCAACAACACATGTTGATGCCCCTGCACGTATCTGCATGAGTGGACCATACCGGTTGGCTAGGGTTTGGAAAGATTTTGACAGGACTGAGCCAAGTGGAGGTGGCCAATAAGAGGTAGAGATGGTGGACTCGGGGGGCTTGGATTTGGCTACGGGGTTTAAAGAATAGTCTGATGAAGAAGGGAACTAGAAAGGCTGTGATTAACCAAAGAAAAAAGGGAAGGTAATTGAACATCTCTGTTGCAACCATGGTTAAGTCTGGAGAAATGGAAGTCCTTATCATGCCTATATATAGAGACTTTGCATGGAAATATTATCTTGTCCGTTGCCATACAGGTGATTAACTAGCTGCTAATTAAGTAAGATATTTGGTACCTGAAACTCAATCATAAAAAATGTTGGATCATTAATTAGGAAAGTTTTAATGTTAGCTGCTTTCTTACATCGTTATTCGGCGAAAGCCCTATTCATATAAATAAACTTGGCCCCATCAAATTGCAATGCAAAGTAGGATGAGTTCACATCTTTTATAGCTTATTAAATCTTGAATTTTGTCCATGTTTTGACGCGGAAATTAAATACTAAAACAGTTAACATATAATTTTTGGAAAAAGTTTCGAAGGATCAAAGTGCAGGCGCTCGCATCCACCACATCATTGTAAGTTGGCATGAATTTCTTGGACATCATTGATCGGGAAAAGAGGAGATTAAGTCTTCACGATTGATGATTGGCTACTGGGAACAAGAGGTCTCAAATTTTGGAACTCCTTTTAGACGCATTCTAGTTGAACCAACAAAAAGTTAACAGTACTTGTGATCCTTTGATAATAGAACCGTCTAATAGTATCTTTTGAGGAAACAAAAATAAATAAATAAAACAATGAAAAGGAGATAAAATGTGTGCACAGCTGGCGCTTGAGTTGATCAATAGCAAAGCTTTAAACAATCAATTCAAAAGTACAGAAACACGAAATCCTAAACAATTTAAAAGATTTACGCCAACTGGGAAAAAACTCTCACAAAATTTATTCAAAACAACTGGCGCTTGAGTTGAGAGAGGTGAGAGAGAGTGATGAAATGAGGAAGAATTATCTCTGTGAGAAGCTAGGAGTGAAAGTGAGTAAGAGAAAGGGTTTGGGGCCCACAGCTGATTCACTCATCGCTTCTGTTAAAGCCGAGAGAGGTGGTCGCAAAGTCACTGCTACTTCTTTGGAGCCAGCCTTCTATTCGTCCCTTTTTTCTCCAGGTTGTTAAGTTAGTCTGTTGCGTGGAACTTGAAATAACGTTTTACTTTGTTCCCCTTTTTTTTTTTTTTGGAAAGGGGCATCCAAAGTACAAAAGAGCACTTGGAAGCTAAAATTGGTCAGGTATGTGCTGATGAACAGAAAAATTTTATAATAGATAAAGAGTAATTAGTAATATGTATGATAGTTATTTTTTGAATCTATTTTAAGAAAAAAATAAACATATAAAAAAAAATTACATCTATACAAAAAGAAGATTTCACGATTCGTTTAAATTTTTTTATTTTTTATTTTTTATTTTTCTCTCCCTTTTTGTGACGAAGATGGTTCTGTTATTATTATTTCTCTTCATCTTCTAAAATTTTTCTTCTATCATTTGACTGATTTTTTCCTCTTTAATTAATCTTACTAAAATCTCCCTGGACGGCTAAAATAGTGCGCCGCAGCGGTAAGTACGTACCTCCACCCAATTCAATCATGATTAATGCTAAGGTGTCTGAAGAAATTGGGACAACACGTCAGGCACCTCCTGAAGTGAACAGCGCAGGTAATTATTGAAGGCTTTTAGTCCCATATTACATGTATTATTTTTGGTGCATACGGATGTAAGGTAGAAGGGAGTCGTTCCTGTCCTGTTTCCTCTCAACATGCTTCTTGAGCCTCTCCTCTAGTTATGTAAAGTTTACAAGTTAATATGAATGCCCTTTTATCACTTCATAGTTACCTCGTTAATTATAATCTGTCCGTGTCCTATATAATATGATGGCGACTTCATTTCTTGTTCTTCCATAGAGAGAAGAGACGGGTCTTCGCAAGAACCACAGAAGTAGATATAGAATGATCGACTTTTTCACTCTCTATAGAGAGGGATATAAACTGATGCTTTTTTTTTAGGCGTCCATATCCATTCATCGGTATTGCTTTCTTTAACTATTCTCATAACGAAAATCTGAAATAAATGCTTCAATTTTGTTGGAACAAAGTCGAGTGGACATGTTGAAGAATGATCAGACAGCACCTTCCTGATGAGTTGTGAGAATGGTGAGCTATCTTTGAGCCCAAGGTTATGTTGATAATTTCATGTACAAATCAACTTTATGGTTTCTGATATTGTTTTCCATCATGCCACTTGGTGCACAGCAGATATTTGGTACGTGAAATTGAATCATAAAAACTATCGGATCACTAGGAAAATTTTAGGTCCATGAAAGTGACAACGGTTAGGTGTTTCTTACGTCGTTGGTCGGCGAAAGCCCTATTCATATAAATATACTTAGCCCATCAAATTGCAATGCAAACGTAGAATGAGTTCACATCTTTTATAGCTTATCAAATTGCAATGCAAACGTAGAATTTTGTCCATGCTTTGACCTGGAAATTAAATACTAAAACAATTAATATATAATTTTTGGAAAAAGTTTCGAAGGATCAGAGTGCAGGCGCTCGCATCCACCACATCATTGTAAGTTGGCATGAATTTCTTGGACATCATTGATTGGGAAAAGAGGAGATTAAGTCTTCACGATTGATGATTGGCTACTAGGAACAAGAGGTCTCAAATTTAAGATTTGACCAAACATAATGAAAAATAATAAAATTTGTATAAAAATTAATAATTTAAGATTTAAATAACCTAAATGGATAGTATAGAATTTTTTGCTGTAATCCCAATAATTTAGGAAAAATTATGCCATCAAACCCCATTTCTGCAGAAGGGGACCAAGGAGGGCACCAACTTTGCATTTAATTGACTCTGGCCACTGAAACTTGCCTTGACAAATTTCCCAGTCCAAAAGCCCCTTCTTGCATCCAAATACTGAATTCTAGAAACATATATTTACCTATTGGATTTAGCCCATCAGGACTGTTGGGCCTACTGGCTCTAACTCCCTTGAGCCCATAAATTGTCCTCCAATGAAGATATACGAGTTCTTCTTGCTGAAGCAGAAGAGAAGAAGCAAGACTTTGCCGAGACATTATACTGGAGCGTGAGAAGCAAGCCTTTTATAAAAAAAATGAATCAGCGTCATCGATTACGTGGTTTCAAAGTTGGAGAACGACAAGCAGGATGTGGTGTCCATGCAATCGTGGCACTTGGTTCTCTCTTCCTAGTTCTTGTGCAAATTAGAGTGAGAGTTTAACCAAAAGCCTCAATTCTTCTCCTTAGAAGAGTGCCATTCAGTCAAACGCCCATTTATCCGAAAGTTATTTTTCTTCTACGGATGGGTTTTTGTTTTTCTTAAATTTGTTTTGAATGCTTAGTATTTTCATAATACAAGACTTCAATGGGGCTTTTGCTGAAAGAGTTTTGAACTTTATTTCCCTTTGCAATGTTTAACTTCACCAGAGAAGAGTGAACTATCATCAGAATATATTTATCAATTACCGCTTTGGCATTGACATGATCAACCTCCACTGTTAATTTGTTTATCTAAACAAGTGTTGATTCAAGTGTATAGAGATTCTGTCAAGAATTTCCTCTTCTTTTTGCACGGGAGAAGCAGCTCCAGTTTTGCATGAAATGTTTGTTAAAAAAAAACTCAAATGTGCGAACTTCTGACTCTGGCCTAACACTCGTATAGCCACACAACTGAAGGGAAACAGAAGAGCCAAATCTGGACACCAACATCTCAAGGGTGATTTCAAGAGCAATAACCAATATCCTATTAGTAAATGGGAGCTGGAGAGCACATGCAGCTTGATTTCCAAAAAATACAGTACGATTTTGGAAATGCTTAGTTTATACCAGGTGTCGATGGAAGCAGAAGCATATGCATATAAATCCTGCTTCACAGAAATGATTGTGCTTTTGGCGCCAAAATTAATAAAGACAGAGAGAAAAAAAAACATTATCAATGAGGTTACCCTGTGCAGAAATCATACAGGAGATCTCTCTTATGTTGTTGCTTTTAATTACTTGAGAAGAAAACAGAGTAGTAGTTAATAAAAGAAACCAGAGACTGGAAAGCAATGCGAAACCAAGAAAAAATCAGACGAAAATTTTACTATGAAGAACCAACTTCATGAAATCATTTCAGAGATCAGTAGAGCACAAACACAGATTATACAAGCAACAGGTTTTTTGGGAAGCAATGGCATTGGACAACAGACATCATGTTCGAAGGAGAAAGGAGACAACAAGGAAAAATCACTGCATCATTTGCCCTCTTGCAGTTTATCTAGGTTGTCAGCAGTCCCTCCCAACCACTCCTCTAGCTTGGCTTCCTTATTGGCCTTGAAGTCGTCGTAGTTTTCTGTTACCAACAATATTTTATGATGTGGCAAATTTACACCAGACTGATCCTGTTCTTCATCTAACCGTTGTCCATCAACAGTACGACTTGACAAGGGCGGTTCATCAGCTTCTGCTTCAGGCAGAGATGAGCTAGTGCTAGTGACCACTTGTGATGAAATAGGATAAGAGAGTAGTTTTTCTGCCTGGTTTGTGATTGATTCTTTTGAATCAAGTTGTGGCCACTTAAAATTGCTGGCTTTTTCTTTGGCACTCTTAAATACAGTTGAAATGTAATTGCTCGTTCTTTTGCCATCCTTGCCGGCACCATCCCCATTACGACCCCAGGTGCTTGGTCCCCATGAGCCGGCTCTACCCATCTGAAAACCTGCAGCTGGGTTATTAATTAATCCTCTTCTTGCTTGTTTAGTTGACATTGTTGCTAAAGATTTCCGGATGTCTCTAATCATCTCATCAGCAACAGGGAAACCACATTCTTTCATTGACTTCATCATGGTGATAGAATCCTCTAAGTCTTCAGTGTGCAAGTTTGTTTCACGTGACTTCTCCACAACATTATTCTTGAGCCTAATGACATTCGGAACTGCATTTTGTGTATGCTGCTGAACATAGAAAAGTCCAACTGCGGGTTCATTTGCCACGTACTTAATCATCTCAGCCAAGCTCTCATTTATCTCCACAAAGCCATCAACAGCGGAGAATCCATGCATCTTGTCAAAGGCCAATGGCAGTTCATCACTGGTTTTGTCAAAAATTACAAATGCAAGTGCTATTCAATGTGGAGAAACAAAGAATTCAAATGAAAAGGATCTAGTCATATAATAATAGCAAATAGTTCTCTAACATATTCTTTGACCATTGAAGAACATTTCCTCGGTCGATTTCCAATTTCTTTGCTTCGTGTTAAAAATTTTAACATCGCATTTAACGACTATTTTACTAAATAATTTGCTTATTTCAGCAGAGTTCATGTTTTCACTGCATTCAACTGCATGGTACATTTCATTGCTAATTGCGAAAATAAACAGCCCATGATTTTCTCACTAAACAGGTTCCGGTCAACATTTTCCAAGAAAAAGTGCACCGCACTATATGAAAATCGAAATTAAACCAAATATTAGGCATTTAAATCCAAACCCACATGAGAAAATCAGAAAAGAAACAAAACCCAGTTTTTATAACATCAAATTATATCATATCGAAGAAAAGAAAGGAAAATCACTTACAGGAAGACCCAGAAAGAGAAAAACAATCACAATCTTCAGATACTTGTTTGGTGAAGTTCAATCTTTCCAACTTTTCTCGTTGATTCAGGATGGACCGCAACAGATTGAAGCTTTGCTTGACATATGTAGAAGATTTTTACCTTGTGGGTTTTTTTTTTTTTTTTTTTTTCAATGAGGTGTAGGTAGGAATGAACAAAAACATATCAATCCTTTTATCTGTTTCTTACGCTGCTGACGGCATAAAGAGACAATAATTTTTTTGCCTCTGAATTTGAGGATGGATAGTTTTTTCTTGTCCTTCATCGTGTTTTAACAAAAAAAAAATGGGGTCATGTTTTTATACAGTAAATTATTTTCTTTTTGGAAATAAATTAAAGCATATCTTGTTTTGTCGTTTTTCTTCCTTTTCTTTACATCTCAGGTAAATTAAACCCATTATTCTCTTCTTATTAAAAAGGAAATGAGAGGCTATTTCTTTCGTATTCTTCTATTTTAGATTAATTAGTTTTTTCTTCCAAAAACCCAAAATACCAAAAAACAAAGAAGATCCATCTCTCTCGTATTTTCTATTTTAGGTTGATTAGTGTTTTCTCTCTTTTTTTTTAATAATAATAAAAAACTCTGTTGGTTATCTTATTAATTTAAAAGGAGTTGTTTTAACAATTTACTTTGAATCAAGACTTTTTAACCAAAGAAAAACAAAAAAAAATCATAGATTGTGACTTGAAGTCTTCTTAATAAAAACTTCCAAGAACTCATAATTTTTTTTCTTTTTTGTGAAATTTGTGAGGTGATTTTACTTTTCGAGACTATTTTTTTTTCTCTATTGGATTTTAGGCAATTCAACCGCATTGGTACCCTCACAAATACGATACTTTTTTTATCTTTTACTATTTTACTTTTGATTTAAAAGCAAAATAATATTATAAAAAACAAAGATATTTATTTTAAATTTTTAAAAAGTATGACATTGTAGTATTCATATCTTTTTATAAATGTATTAAAATGAAATGTGATTTCACTTAAGTTAAGCTTGTCTAGAGTAAACCAAAATGACATCATTTTGAATTTTTTATTTTATTTTAGCTTGAAACAATGTTTGTTTTCAAAAAAAAAAAAAAAAAAAGGTGATGTTTTAGTTATTTTGCTCGCTTTTTAACACTTTGATCTTTTGAATTTTTATTTTATATAAAGAATTCCTAAATTTAATTATTATTGCAAAAATATCTCTGTATTTTTTATAGCTAGTCCAGTCATGTAGGTTTGGTTGTCTCCATACCCATACAAAAGGACTTGTGTGAGCTCAGCCTAGCTTCCTTTTTTTTTTTTTTTATGCTTTTATTTTTCTCATTGTTTATTAATTCTTTAAAATAAAAATTTTTCTTTATAATTAACGGTTAAATATATATTTTTTAATTCTTGTATAGACTCATTAAACAAAATTAAATATTCTTCTAATATAAAATTGATTTAGTACCTTCTTCTATTTTTATTTTTTAAAATTAATTAATTAATTACATGTTTTTTTTTAATTTATCAAAATCAAAACTATTCTTATATATATATTTAAACAAAATTTTCACAGTTATTGTTAATCAACTTTTATTTTACACTTAGATTTTTAAAATATTTAAATATATTATATAATAGAATTATTCGCAGGGACAAGCGGTACTATACTATTTAACACTAAAATACAATAAAAAATCATCCTTACACTACAATAGGATACAAGAAGAAAATTAGTGCTTAATTATATCTGTAATCATCTACGACATCATCCCAAGCAAGCAAGTAAACCTGCTACTTCTTTCTTACATAATTGGTTTTGTAATATTGTAGTTTCGAATTAATGTTGTCTGTCTTACTCTAAAGACCAGGTTCCGACATGACAGTACAATTGCTTGTGAAGTGTATTTTAAGAGGAAATCGAAAGTCATGCTCCGCTGCTTATGTTCGTCCTTTTGGTTATCAAAATGTCATGTCAAGCCAATCCCCATCAAGTAAACTAATTAAGCAATACTGGTAAGCAAATAACATGCTATGCTATTGATTACCTATGACTGATTCTACAGTTGTCTTCACATCCATGTTGATGTTCTTTAGACAAGACAGCAATATTAATTCAAGAGCTCCTTAATTAATTGGTTGCTATTCAAGTTAATTACACACCATTTCCTATTAACACTAACAATTTGGTTCTTCCTTTAAACCAAAGGAATTTTGTTTGTAACTTAAAATCATAATTTTAAATTACAGATATAATTATGATTACATATCACGATTTATTATAATAATAAAATAATGATTACAATAATTTATAGAGTAAATATATTAACAATGATTAAAAAAAGCTATTTTAAAATAAATAACTAAAACTATTTTTTTTAAAATAAGATAACTGCTGTTATTTAGGTCATTATCAACTAAATAACAACAATAAACACCTTACTTTTATATAATATTGCTATTATTATTATTTAAGTAAAATATTGCTAGGTTCTTTATATCATCGTATAACAGGAATGTGTATATCCGAATCCATTACATAAATTTTTAACCATGTGTAAAATTGTGAAATTAACATAAGCACCTGAATTGTCTGATAAAATTAGAGTAAAAAATAATTTAGTCCCTATAGTTTCAGTGATATGATAACTCAGTCCCTCTCATTTCAAGATCATAACTTAATTTTTTAATCATCTGTGATTGCTAATTCATTAAAAGCTTCATTAGTAACTAGGAAATGACGAGGCTACCATTTTGTGTTAATAGTTAAGCTTTGTATTCGTCTTTGATTAGGATTTTTGTGAATTTGAATATATAATGAAAAGGGTATTTTGAAAAGAAAGAAAAAATAAATTGATGATGGTCAGCATCTTATTAACAAACACTTAACGAAGGAATTAAGTTATAAACGGATATACAAATATAGAGATGCAGTATGAAGCTTTTTAAACTTGAGGAACTAACTAATTATGTCAGTAAAAACACAAGGACTAAATAATAAATTACTCTGAAAATTAATTGTCTTCTCGATCAAGGTAGCAAGCACTCGCTGATTTCCTCAGTCGGATAGTTCATCACTCTTACCTTGATTTTGTGTGTCTTGAGTAAATTACTCTCTAGTCCTTATTTGTTTCCTGATTTTTTAGTCCTTCTAGTTTTGGAAATCATAAGTTTAGTCCTTAATAATTTTTTTTAATTCCTTTTTAAATGTCCAAACTGCCTTTTCCTAAATGCACCATATGTTTTGTTTGTAGAGTAGGTGAGATTTGAAATGTTGACTAGAAATGAAGGACATCTTAGAGAAAAAAAATATATTGTCATGCAACTAAAATTAAAAGAAGTTTTTTTTTTTTCATGTATTTAAATCTCATATTGAAGATATGATTAATCTTCTTCGAAGTGAGAATAATGAAATTTAACCTCTCTCAACAAATACAATTCTAAAATTCGAATTCTAATACATTGACATAAAATTCGTCTAAAGGCCACCTGTGTTTATCACCGATCTAATAATTTGATGATAAATTAAAAGAAATTTTTAGTTACAAACATATTTAAACATACAAGGATTTAACATTTTACTTTTTAACTAAATCAAAAGATTAACTAATGATTTTTCTAAAAGCATAATAATTAAATACTAAGATCATTAGTAAAGTCTTAAGCCAATAGTTAAGCTAATTCTTATAGACTTATTAATCAACATTCATATAATGTGACCTGCTAATTTCATATCTACTATCAGGAAAAAAAGAATATAAAAAAAATCTTCTTTTCTCCCACTCCAAAGAGTGTGACAGACTTAGTAATCAACTAACTTTCCCATTAGTACAGTACTTATTTAAGTAAATACTGATACACTAAGCAACCACAATATGCCCTAGCTATCATTGCTTTTGGTAGAAGGAACAGGTAAAAAAAGAAAGGTGTGCCTCAATCTCTTATTTTTGGATCATCTCCATCAATCTAAATGAGAGCATGCCAAAAAGATTACTATATATCTATATTAATTGTCTATTTCTTATTACTATAGTTATTGTTACAAAAGAGATATTTGAATTCAATTCGAAATCTCTTAAGAAAAGTGAGATTTTAAGTAGTATCAGATGAGTTGTAGTTTTATTAACTGATTGTTTATAATCTCTAATTTCGATTTCTTGTTAGTAGCCAACCAAACCGTACTAACTCACTGTTGATCAAAGTCATTTTCCTCTAAGTTGCTACTTTTGCTTAATTTCAAGCCATATATACGTGCATGCTTGTTCTTAATTTCATGATCTTGTAGTACATACTTCTTTTTATCAAAGTTTATTTCATCTAGCTAGATTTCTTTGTTTACATTGTTGGTTTTGCTCTCTTCATTTAACCATCAATCTTTGATATGAGGATTAACTATATATCCCATATGAAATCTTCTTGAAACGAAAGAGAGTTGCTAAAGCTCATCTTGTATTCGTATTGGAGAGCAAGAAATAGCATGTATTGGTAGCTCTTAGCTATGGATTAAAAACTTATGTTCATCTTGTATTCTTGATTTTATGTTGGAATAATATATGATTTAGTTAGTGGTAGCTATTTTTCTGATTTTGTAAGTTAGTTTAATTTTGAAAATCATAAGTTGACATCTTGAACATCCTGAAGTCTTTTAATTTTAAATATCTAAATAACCTTCTTTAAATGCATCTTTGGTTATGTTTGTAGAATCAAAATTGAAAAATTTCACTAGAAATGAAAGATAATTTAGGCCAAAAAAAAAAAAAAACTATTAAATCATCAGGCATGACTAATAGAAGGACTATATTAGAAATAAATGTAAAAGTACAAGGATTTAGTAGTAGGTTTTTAAAACTAATTAAAGGGATAAACCAATGATTTTTCTTAAAACAACGGGATTAATAAATATTTTATTCTTTCAATTCATTTGGTCCCTTACTATTTTCTATCTTAACATTATGATATTCTTTTTTTTTTTTTTTTTTAACTTCAAATTGCATTCCTCTATCAATGCAATGAAAAATGATAAGAAATGGTGATGAATACTGCCGTACGTTAAGACCCAAAGATTACGCCACCTGTCCTGAAAATATAAAAATATAGATGAAAATTCATTTTTTTCCTTACAAAATAATGGAATAAAGATGAGGTTTTAATCTTGTTAAAAAATAATTCTAGTCAAGGAAACATCATGATCATTAGACGTTTTCGTGATTTTTTGACAACATGCAACTCAATAAATGTATGTTTGCATATTATGGACATGATTATGATTACGTTAACAGAGTAATCAACAAATTGATTAATTTAATATATTGCATGCGTGCATGTTTAGAGATTATAGCGATGTGGAGGCTAAAGATTGCAAAAGGCGAGAATGAGCCTTATTTGCATAGCACAAACAAGTTTGTAGGAAGGCAGATATGGGAGTATGATCCTGACCTTGCTGCCACTACTCCTGAGGAAAGAGCCCAGGTCGAAGCAGCTCGTTTAAATTTTTACAACAATCGCCATCAAGTTAAACCTAGCAGCGATCTTCTTTGGCGTATTCAGGTATGTGAATGTCATAATTGACCTCTTGTTATATATATTAAGCTTAATTAATTTGTAATTAATTCACTAATGTTATAGGATAATTTGAAACGGTTCTTGAAATCTTATCTGAAAATAGTAGCGAAGCTAGAAAGTGAAATGATTTGGGGGGTGCGGTAGTGATAAAAATAAAGCAAAAGATATTGAATATCCTTTATATTTCTTTAACCAAAACTATATATGTATAATTGCAGTTTCTGAAGGAGAAAAATTTTAAGCAGACAATAGGTGAAGTGAAAATTGAAGAGGGTGAGGAAATAACATATGAAAAGACAACAACAGCGTTGAAGAGGGCTGTCCACTTCTTTTCGGCTCTACAGGCTACTGATGGCCATTGGCCCGCTGAAAATGCTGGCCCTTTGTTCTTCCTTCCTCCCTTGGTGACCTATCTTATTATTATATATTTTCCTTCTCAATAATTAATATGACTGACTGACCATTTATTTCATGACTAGCAAGTTTGCAGCTTGCTAATTCTTCCTCAATTTGGTTCACTTAAAAATGCAGGTAATGTGTCTGTACATTACAGGACATCTGGATTCTATATTCTCAGCTGAGCATCGTAGGGAAACCCTCCGTTACATCTATTATCATCAGGTACATTAATGCTAATTTTCTCTTCTTTATGCTTTTATTTTTGGGAGGTAATATGCTCATTATATCTAAGGAAATAACGCATGCAGAATGAAGATGGTGGCTGGGGACTACACATCGAGGGCCACAGCACCATGTTCTGCACAGTTCTCAGCTACATTTGTATGCGGATTCTCGGGGAAGGACCTGATGGTGGTCAAGACAACGCCTGTGCAAGAGCCCGAAAATGGATTCTTGAACATGGAACTGCAACACACATACCCTCTTGGGGAAAGGCTTGGCTCTCGGTAATGATCCATCCCCGTACGTATATCGAATATAAGACAGAACCGATCGATAAAACTTATGTTTGCTATAACTGAAATCAATGTGCATGCAGATACTTGGTGTATTTGATTGGTCTGGAAGTAATCCAATGCCCCCAGAATTTTGGCTCCTTCCCTCTTTTTTCCTGTCAATCCAGGTTGTAACATTTTCTACAGGATTGCAATCTCTTCCTAGCAACGTCTCTTCATTTTCCCTTTCTGTTGCCGTTGTGTTAATATTTTTGTCGGCTTCAATGCAGCAAAATTGTGGTGCTATAGTCGGATGGTTTACATGCCGATGTCATATCTATATGGGAAAAGGTTTGTTGGTCCTATTACCCCTCTTATTCGACAGTTGAGAGAAGAACTCTATACCGAACCATATGACCAAGTCAATTGGAAGAAAAAGCGTCATCTGTGTGCAGCAGTGAGTTCACCTTAAATTTGACAATTAGCTCCATCTGCAAATTTATAATGATGTTTTTACTCAGTAATCTCCCTTTTATCATCGACCAGATGACTAATCTAATCGATTTTCAATTAAATAAAAAAAGAAGATAATACATGAAAGTAATTGATATCTGCAATTCTGTTAGTACAGGAGGATGTCTACTATCCCCATCCTTTCATTCAAGATCTGATATGGGATAGTCTCTATGTATTCACCGAGCCTTTTCTTACTCGTTGGCCCTTCAACAAGTTCGTAAGAAAGAAGGCTCTTGAAGTAACAATGGAGCACATTCACTATGAAGATGAAAACAGTCGTTACATAACTATCGGAGGTGTGGAAAAGGTAACTTACAGCTCCATAGAAACAGGGCCCGAATCTTCTACCTCTATCTGATGATTTTTATTACTTTTGTGAACTTGATTTTCAGGTGTTATGCATGCTTGCTTGCTGGGTAGAAGATCCTGATGGCGATTATTTGAAGAAACATCTTGCTAGGATCCCTGACTATTTATGGGTGGCTGAAGATGGAATGAAAATGCAGGTTAGAAGGCTTGCATTCTTTAACCAAGCAGTAGAGGGAGTACAGACCTCAAAGACGGTATCATGTACTTAATAAAATGTGGAATCTGTTTGCAGAGTTTTGGAAGTCAGCAATGGGATACTGGTTTTGCCATTCAGGCCCTGCTTGCTAGTAATTTTACGGATGAAATCAGAGATGTACTCAAGAGAGGACATGACTTCATAAAGAAATCTCAGGTTTGTCATTTCTCTTCTCCCTCTTTTGACTTAATCATCAAGTAATGTTCCTCAATTTCCTTGTTACTTCTTATTTGGATTATCACTGTATATATTGTAAACCTAATTAAGGGTTTTTAAAGGTCAAGGACAATCCTTCCGGTGACTTCAAGAGCATGTATCGGCATATTTCTAAAGGATCTTGGACTTTCTCAGACCAAGATCATGGATGGCAAGTTTCTGATTGCACTGCAGAAGGATTGAAGGTAACAAGCTTAGTTTGTTCAAGCACTTAAAAAGTCACTTACGTCCTGTTCCACTCACCAAATTAAACTAACTTGCATCTTCTATGCAGTGCTGCCTACTTTTCTTAATGATGCCACCAGAAATTGTTGGTGAGCAACTGGAGCCTGAGCGGCTTTTTGATTCCGTCAATATTATTCTTTCTCTACAAGTAAGCATTAAACTAAACTAGGAAGCATAACTATCTATAAACATTCTATCTAGCACTTTGTTTCCTTCAATAAATAACTTTCCAGGGTCACAAAACAAACTATGTTGTTGAACTTGCAGAGTAAAAATGGAGGTTTAGCAGCGTGGGAGCCTGCTGGAGCTCAGAAGTGGTTGGAAGTAAATCCTTGAACATTTCATTATTATTATTATTATTATTATTTTCATATTCAGTTTTGGTAATCATGAACAACTGGTGTTTGTTTCTCTCTCTGTCTCAGCTACTGAATCCCACAGAGGTTTTCGCTGACATTGTCATTGAGCATGAATATGGTGAGTGCACTGCATCAGCAATCCAAGCTTTAGTATTGTTCAAGAAGTTGTATCCTGGTCACCGGAAGGAGGAGATCGATAATTCCATAACAAATGCTGTACGATACCTCGAAAGCATACAAAATCCAGATGGTGGCTGGTAGTCCCCGTAATGAGTTCTAAGTTCTGTTTATTTTGTTTCTGCAAGCATTTCAGAACCTGTTAACAAGGAGAAATACTTCCACAGGTATGGAAGCTGGGGAGTTTGCTTTACTTATGGTACATGGTTTGCCCTTGGGGGCCTAGCTTCTGCTGGCAAGAGTTACAGCAATTGTGCAGCAATGCGCAAAGGTGTTGATTTTCTTCTTAACATACAGGGAGATGATGGAGGTTGGGGAGAGAGCTATCTTTCATGCCCGAAGAAGAAATATGTACCTCTTGAAGGAAATCGATCGAATTTGGTACATACATCTTGGGCTATGATGGGTCTAATTCATGCAGGACAGGTTAGCATATTGTCTATAGCCTAATAATGTTCTAGCCTGCCAGGACAATGACCTCGTAACTTCTGAACATTGATCTTTTTCCTGTCTATGACTATAGATGGATAGAGACCCTACACCGCTTCACCGAGCTGCGAAGCTGATAATCAATTCACAATTGGAAGATGGTGACTTCCCTCAACAGGTAACTTTCTGAATAAAAAATCTGCGGACGAATCCTATCATCAGTTCATTATGGGTAACCTTTTATTTCAAAACACCCTTAACCTATCATCTTCTTATTCACGACAGGAAATCACTGGTGTGTTCCAGAAAAATTGCATGTTGCATTATGCAATATACAGGAATATCTTTCCAATGTGGGCTCTTGCAGAATACAGAAGGAATATCTTTCCAATGCAGCACCCTCCATTGCCTTCCAAATTAACCTGAACTCAATAGTGAACTATCTAACTCCTCGTTGTAAACACAAATAGAACAACGCGAGTCCCATAACATATTTTTCTTATAGAAATAAAGGTTTTGTATAATAATGCTTTTCTGTAACAGAAAGTTGTGTCGTCAACTGTCAGGGAGGGTGCTGCATGCTCTCTTCTAGATTTATAATTACAGGTGTGGCTTCATAATATATACAAGCAGACCTAGTGATAGCTAAGGCAAAGCATTTATTGGAAATGTCATGACCGAAAAATTTCTTCAAATTTCAGGCTAAAATTCGATATACATAGTCTGAAATCTGAAGAAATTTTTTGCTCATAACATTTCAAATTTCAGATTAGGTATAAAATTATAAACTCTGGCAATTCAACTATAGGAAGAAAAAAAAAAGAAGCTATTTAAATGTTTTACTTTCCTTATAAATATGCTATTTTTCAAAAGAAAAAAAAAGAAAAAGAAAAAGAAAAACAAATACATCCATCGTGAATTCAGTCTCGTTGAGACGTTGGTTTGGATGGTAAGTTAATCTGATTTCATTGTTACCATCTCAATGAATTTAAAGAAATGGTGCAATGATCATATTTTTCGAGATTTTTTATATATATAAGAGAAAGTATAAATTAGTCCCTCTGGTTTTAAAAAAGAACTAATTAATCCCTTTATTTTAAAAAATAATTTTTTAGTCCTTTTGCTATTTTTCAATTTATTTTAATAAATAAAAAAGAATAAAAATATGGAAATATTAATGGGAAAAGAATACATTTTATAAAATAAAAAAAATTAAATTAGCCGAGGTCAAACTGGTCAAAAGGACTAAATGATTATGTTTGAAACTAAATGGACTAATTAATACGTTTTTTAAAACGAGAGGGAGTAATTTATAATTTACTCTTAATTAATAGAGTGGGCCTGAAAAAAACTGGTACAAAAACATTGTGATGGTTGGGCCTAGACTCAGTAAATGAAGCTCAGCAGCCCAATAATAAGCCGATTTGACTCAAAGGCAGGCTCATGTGGCCCAAAACACTAAAGCCCACTACAGGTAGAGTAAATGTTTCTCGAGTCTAATAGATAAAGAGAATGAAGTTTCTTAACGATAGTTGAAGAAGAAAAAGAAAATGGGAAGGAAGCAAAAACACAACAGTGATAGCGACGAAGACGAAATATTTTACCACCGCTACTCCTCCGCCACCACGTCATCACAACACCCTCCTTCCACCACCAAACCTCACGGCGCCTCCGGTGGTTTAGCACCATCAAAATCGACCGTTTACGTATCCAATCTCGACTTCTCCCTAACAAACTCAGACCTCCACACACTCTTCTCCACGTTCGGGAAAGTCGCTCGTGTAACCGTTTTAAAAGACCGCAAGACACGAAAATCACGCGGCGTCGCATTCATCCAATTCGTCTCTCGAAGCGATGCGGTCACCGCCGCTAACCAGATGGACAAGAAGGTTCTCAACGGGAGAACTCTGTCGGCGTCGATTGCGGCGGATAATGGTAGAGCGGCGGAGTTTATTAAGAAGAGGGTTTATAAGGATAAGAGTAAGTGTTATGAGTGTGGAGAAGATGGGCATTTGAGTTATGAGTGTCCGAGGAATAAATTGGGGAATAGAGAGAGGCCTGTGGTGAAGAGAGGAAGGGGAGGTGGTAGTGGCGGAGGTGGTGGCGGTGGAAGGGGTGGGGAAGATTGGGAGGAGGAGGAGGCTGAGTTTGAGGAGGAGAAGTGGGCAGCGGTGGTGGATGGAGGGGTGGAGGAGAGGCTGTTGAAGGGGGAGAGGTGGAGAAAAAGAAGATGAAGGTTAAGAAAGCTAGTTACTTTAGTGATGAAAGTGATGAAGAGGATTGATTTTGGGGGATTCTTTTTGCAGGTATTGTTTTTTTTTCCTTGTTCTTGTTGTTAAAGTATGAATTTTGATTATGTTGGTGAAAAAAATTGGAAAAAGTTTTGAGGTTTAAGATTTGCTTATTTATTTTCGATTTGATGTTTAATGAATGTGTTGTTCATCTGATCATTAGGGCATGTTTTGGTTTGCTTGAGTTTGCAGTTAAGTTGGTTGTACAATGCTTATGATGATTGGCATGTTTTGATTTTCCAGTTATGTTCATTTGTTTTAATGGAAGATTGAGTGTTCGTTGGATTGTGTAATTGATTTGATGTTTGATTATTATTTTTTCTTCATTTTTTTTGTTTCTTGTGTTTTGGCAAACTTGATTAGAGGGAGGGAAGGGGGTTGGAGTATATTATTACTGGTGATGAAGATTGTTTCTGCAGAGATTAAAAAGAACATTGGCTAGTGTAATTGAAAAACAGAGGATTCGATTTGATAATTTGTGATTGATGGGGTATGTATGGTTTTCTTAGGTTTGTTATGTTGATGGGTATGTGGTTCCTTTTTTGATGGAGCATGGTTATGTTGGTTAATATTACTGAAACTAGTTTTGAGATTGATTTTCTTGGATTGTGAGAGAAATGCTGGTGGATTGGTATAGACAGCTGTGACTTGACATCTACTCACCTAATTGTCCATGTGCATCAGTAGATGTTCATATAGATAGTCATTTGTTTTTTTAAGACACTTAGCGTGGGAGGAAATAAGACTTTTATTTCATTCTTTCTTTGGTTGCTTGAAGGCTTTATCTGGAATAGATGCATGAGAATTGATTGTCTGAAACCTGTTCTTTGCTTAGAGCTTTCTACCAACTTTCTTGTCTGCAGCCAGAATTGTAAGAGCTAATCTGGCTGCTAAGTTAGAGGAGGAGAAGTTATTAGTGATTCTTATGCTTGTTTAACTGTTAGGTGTCATTTTTGAGAAAAATTAACATTTTTTTTCAAAAAAAAAAAAAAAATTGCGTCTTGGTTAAACCCTTCAACTTATTTTATTTTTTATTTTTTTTATTTTTTGTGAAAGAATAAGAAGGATGAATTTGTTATTTGGAGTCATAATTTACATTCAGGTTCCTTGTCATTTTCAAGCATTGAAATTTTGATTTAGAATGGGCAATACCTTATAAAAAGAGATTAAGCATGCTTGAATTTTTAAGATCATTGAAATACATGTTCTGTGCAAAATCATGTGAGTTGTGTGACTATGCATAAAATATGAGTGTGATGCTTTTCTTGTAAGCATTCCCTTTAAACTAATCTTAAACATGGTTTAAGCAAATGAGTTGGTTATGAGAGATTGAAGGGTCTGAAATTTCTATTTACTCCAATGTTTTGAGCTACTTAGTAACTAAGGGTTTTCATCACTAATGTTTGCTTTTACGTCAAACGGCAACTTGAAATATGAGTATGCAAAGCACTTTGAGTGTGTGACTTGTTGAGTAACCGGATGCATTCATCACAAATGTTTGTATTCGTGTCAAAAGACAAGTAATAACTCAAAGAAAAAGACAAGGAACGAGGAGTATCCCAAAAAAAAAAAACTAGTTTGCTATCATGTTTGTGGTGGTAAGAAGGGGAGGTTGCAAGGTTAGTTATCACATGATTTGCTTATGTTGGTTGCATGATGAATATAGTTGAGTTTGGAATTATGTATGGATGTATGCACTAGAGAATGTGAGTATGCTTAGTTTTTCTTTGTTGGATATTGTTTTGCTCTAAGTTGAAGATTTTATGTTTCCATAGGAGGTGCCTTGGGTGTGATGAGTTATTCTGAATATACTTGTTGTCCTCTATTCTGAATTTGATCGTTATTTTGCTTGAGGACAAGCAAATATTCAAGTTTCAGGGTATTTGATATGTGAGTTTATTTCATACATTCTTGGTCATAAATTTTCTTGTTTTAGGATGTTTCTATATTTTTAGTTAAAGTATTTAAGTGTTTTAGGTTTCTTTTTACTTTTATTTAATGTTTGAGACTTCTTGTTATTTTGTAGGTTTTCAAGTGAATATTTAGGCTGAATTAAAGAGGCTGACCATTGAGCAAAACTTGTTCCCATTTGGGCTCGGATTTATGATCCGTGATGGTTTGAGCACTAATCAGTATTTAGGCCATATCTGGAGTTCTATACCTTGGATTGCGTCATATTCTTTGATTATGTGGAAAGCTAAGACAGAGGCTTACAATTGTTTGAAGGAAAACAAGTCCAGTTCAGATATTTGATAGTTCTAAAATAGCTGTGAAGTTGAAACAGAGTCGGGCGCGAGCTGGGCTGGTCTGACTGAGTCTGTCTCGGTTTTTAGCCCATAAATTGAGCGTCTGGTGTCCAAATCAAGTGATTCAAAAAGCCTAAATTCAGAAATATGTATTTGTAATAGATTTTGTTTTTTGCTCCTTTTTGTCAAGAAATATGTATATGTAATACAGACATGAAAATTGACTCTGAAATAGAAGTAGATACCTCCTTTTTGTCAAGAAATATGTATTTGTAACACATTGAAATTTGGATCCGAAGATCAGTATAAAGACTTGTATATTTCACCAGTGTCTGCGGGCTTTTGTTGCTTGTACAGAGATTGAAAAAATTCTATAGTAATTACTACCTATATGGTTCAGGAAAATATTCGTTCGGGACTGAAGAAAAATATCAATCTTTTGGCGAGTCACAACCTTGAATTTTCGTCACTCAACTCACTGGGAATTCCTGCAAGGGACAATTGAACAACTTTCATTTCAAACATTCTATGAAGATGTAAACAATTAAACATGTAAACCTGAATGTAAGCATGCATTTAGCAGAGCACTTGGCGAATGCCATTTGTGCAAAATGCAAACCTGAATTCCTGCAAGGGACAATTGAACAACTTTCATTTCAAACATTCTATGAAGATGTAAACAATTAAACATAAACCCAATTTACTTTCGAAATTTCTACTGTACAACTTGGCGGTTGTCAGCATTGCAACCGTTTGTGCAGCCTGTGTGGAGATCTGTAATCTGGGCCACACTTATACAGGTACTATTTTTATTTCCAAGTTCTTGTGTTCCTTACTAAGACTCGTAACTGTTTTCGCGCATGCAAATCATGCTTTTGTGTGAAGATTGTGAAGTTCGTATAACTTGGTGCTTTTGGAGAGTCTATAAGTACCTGGTGGTTGGTTTGACTGATACAATAATAAAGCCTATGGAACAGGCAAGTCAGGAGATCAGTTGAAGCCTCAAACTCAAGAGTTTAGACGTTGTATGTGAAAATTGGAGGAAACTAAAGAGATGGCACTGTTTCTCTTGTCGCTGCTTTCTGTTTAGTTTACTCCAATATTTCATGTCCAATTTTTACTTGTTCATCTCCAACCTACATGACAAAACTAAACAAATATCATGTCTTGGTCGTATGTGAGGATTGGAGGGAATTAAACAAATTAGCTTTGTTCTCTGCTTTCTGTCTAATTTCCTCCAATATCTCATGTTCGACATTTTCATTTATGATTCTTCGATGTGATCTTCTGTCGTTTTCAGTGTGTGATGATTGGATTAAACTAAATATTGTTCCATGCTTTTTGTTTGGTTTCATCATAAATTTTTTTATCCTGCCTCACGCATAGCGTAGAGTGCAAAATCTATAGAATTTATGGTAGCATGGATCTAGATTCGTTTAGTTTACTTGTTTTTGGGTTAGAGCTTTCGACCAATACTTTCTTATTTGGCAGGTCGGAGGCCATCCTTTTTCAGATCAACAGTAGTTAGCTTTCCCAGAGGAACCATCTTGGCTGCAGCCAGAATTGTTAAGAGGTAGATCTTGTTGAAGCTCAAAGAGAGTTTTATGGAATTTCCTCTGTCAGAAGGGAGAATCGCAAATTTGCTTTCAGTTGGAGTCTTGGAGATAATCACATAAATAGTAGAATATGATTCATGATAATTGACTGTGAAATCTGTATTTGTAACGCATGGAATAGAACGATCAGTACAGACTTTTAGGTTTCACTTCTGTATGAAATCTTGCTAGCATCCTTTTGCACCAATATCCTTTTCCGTTTGTTGCTTCTGAGCTTCTTATGCAGAGCTTGAAAAAGGAGTACTCGGTTCTTTAACAATGCCTGTCTATATGCTTGTGGAATTAGGAAATATTCTTCTGGACTGAAGAAAAACACGTTACCTGAGTGGCAGAACTGAAAAGTGCGCTGGCTATAGATTTTGTCTCTCCATTTCTTTTGGCCAGCAAGTACACTATCCATTATGGAATATATGAAGTGATGTAGATAGGAGGTTTCAATACAACAATATTCTGAGAAAAAAATGAAAGAAAAACTTTCTCCAATGAGGCAGGGCAGCCGTCGCTACTTTTCTAATAAATCACAGCCAATGAGAACTAGATTGTCCAGGAAACACGAAAAAGTAAAGTCTCAGAGAGAAAGTAATCTCAAGACTTCAAGTATCTGTTCTTCTTTGGCCTATGTTGAGCTAGGTTGATCTGCAGTCTGCACAGGAAATTAAATTATATCGTTGGTGAGAACTGAGAAGATGGAAGATGTTTGCTTAGGTGTTCACTGAAATCAGCAAGATCAGCTCACCAGCATTTCATGGTCCCCCATAATTTCTTCTATTAATTCCTGCAGTGGTTTATCAGCACTGTTTGGAACAAGAGCTGCAAATACAGCAGGTTCTAGTCCTGCATATAGCCAAAAGAACAGGTTTATGGCTGTTGCATGATGCAATACTAATAGCTTCCCTGAACTAATTCTATTTCAGCAAGAGAAAGCATAGAATACCTGTTTCTGGAAAAGCGTCAATGAACATCATCATCTCCTCCCCGCTAAGGCCAGACAAAAAGCAGATCCGTGGCAGTGACTTTGCAATCTGCAGAACAATATGCAATCAATTCAGCCATTTTTCAATGCAAGTTAGACACGTTAACCATGAGTGATAAAAACTAATGATATATCTCCTTCACAAGCCAGAGAAACAAAGCGTCAATCGATTTCCTTGATACATCCACACATCTAGCCATCTTTCTTTGTGCAAGCTCATGGCACGAATTAAAAAGAATATGCTCTATCAGTGGCTGGTATTTCCGCCGAAAATATTCATGAGACCTAGTTATTTACTATTTAACAGTCCCCAGATAACTTAGCTAAATGCATCATCTGTGGGCACAAACAAGAACGGGCTGCTTGAGGCAGCAGGTTTAAAGAACCAACCTTCACCGTTTCCAAATTTGGTTGACTTGTATTCACTGCTTCCCATAGTGAACGAGAAATCATGTCTTCGGTGCAAAAAATAAGCTACAATTAAGAACATCAAAGCATAAACCAGTTAATGAATACAATAAGATCACTTATTTCGGTATCATTATTCCATTACCATGCATTGATGGGATACTAAACCTCAGCAAGAAAATAAAATCTCAGAGACTGATTACATGAAATTCTAGCTATTTTTATGCATCTACCATGCTATCAGCAATACAATAAGATGAGAATGAACCAATAAATGAGAAATCCTACATTACCTGTAAGAATTCACCATCCAACTCTTTCAAAAGCTCTTTTATCTGTTCCAAGAAGAATCAAAGTTGTACATCGTTAGACTTGTTTTCGGAACATTCTATCCTGAACAATTATCTATCAGATGATTACTATCTTTGATTTGAATTTGTAACTTGCAATTCAAATCAATGATAGTTATCACCTAATATTATCTTGGTGCCTTTCAATAGAGCAATTAATTTCCAAAAGACCTGTTTTCCCATAAATTGGGCAAAGAATTATATTGAAACAGACCTAGAGTAATATGAAATATAAATGTTGGTACTGGCATTAACTATTCGTGCTGGCCTAGTCTGTATCCTCTGAAAAAAGGGCATAAACTAAATCTAATATTAGATGTTCTCAGGGATGACAACACTAAGCTTTAAAGAAAATGCAACTAATCACTATTAGTACTGGAAATTTCCATACCAGATTCATGATCAGAAAGGTCAGTCAACAGAAAACAAGAATTACCTTCACTGCCTCCTCTACTTCAAAGCCCAACAACAAGAAGGCCTGCAAAATAAGAAAATTTGGTTCATTACCCTTCTTGAAAACATAAAATCAGCTGCATATTGACAAGAAATATTCAAGGCAATAGGAAAAGAACTAACCAGAACTTACAGGTGGACCATACGCAGAGTCATCAGCATTCAAAGGAACAAACTTAGAATCTTCATCCATTAACTCACTAGGAATCCCTGCAAGAGATAATGTGAAAATCTTAACTGAAGCAATACTGATTAGTAAAATTGAGAGGGTGCTAGTCATACCTTCAGCTGATGCTCTTGATGGGTGCTTGAGGTTCATTCGATGGCCAGCACCTTTTGTTGATAAAGAAGAAACTGTTGATATCTTTGAGACAACAAGAGGGTTTGATGGAACTTGAGGAAGCAAAAGGGCATGAGATTTTAAACTATGGTTGGTTGAAAATCCAAGAGCAAAAGCCATGAGAGCGAGTAATTCTTTTCCTTATCTGTTGGGAGTTAACTGTTCGCATGATCCGTTGTTCTATCATCCACGTTCTTGATAAAAGAAGTTTAAGTAAGGTTTGGATCATTTCCGGTGCTACTGTTCCCAGTATCCTTCCACTGTATCCAATAATAACTTGCCACATCAAATTATAAAAAGAGGCACACGAAGATGATCCCCCCCCCCCCAATTGGTCATAAAGTATTCTAAATAAGAGATCAATAGAAAAAAAGTCTTTTAACTTTTTTCTTCCTGATTTGGGTCCCCAATTGGTATGCAATTGAGTTTTTTTTGTCATGTTAACTAATTCCATGCCACATTGGATGCCCCCGAGAGATACATGTGATTATAAAATAACAGCATGTGTAATTTATTTAAGAATTTAAGGACAAGTGATAATATTTTAATTATTCTACATATCTCTCATGTCCCCTGAAATTGATCAACATAATGAAAAAATTTAATTACAAAAAAAAAAAAAAAAAAAAAAAAAATTGAAGATCTAAATTATATATATTTTAGGGTATCTTCGGACTAATTTCTGCATCGAGTCAAAACTAAGTCTACTGTTTCTAAACCAGCAATAGACTAAGTTTGACATTTAATCTATTATTAGATTTTTTTTTAGACCAATTGAGCTCAAGTTTGATATTATTAAAAAATAATTATAGTTAGTTATCTCGTGTTATAGTGAGAAGTGTACATTGATTTTAGCCAAATCAAGACAAATCTCTTACCACTACACTACATTCCTTTGTGATTATTTTTTTTCTTTTTAATTAACAGTGCAAAATACTTTATAACCAATCAATATTTTTTTTTTTTACGCACTTCAAAATCAATATCAATTTCTAATTAAATTCCGATAGATTCGAATACTAAAAATGGTAACATTGTCACCATAATAAGGACTAAAGAGAAACTAAAATGGTACCATGAAATTGTCTAACAACTTAAATTTTTATCCTAAATTAGTAGGAAAAACGTGTCCGGTTAAGATCAGTTTTTTCCTAAAATTCATTGAGATACCCGAAAAGGAGGTTTTTCATGTTTTGCATGGCAACAATCATGCATTTCCAGCTTTCACAAACATGTTTTAGTTTTTCACCCAAAATATAAGAATGATAGGAGTCGGACTGCAACGAACAGTTACAAGGCTCCTTCTGTTAAGATCGGTAATCTGCAAAATTTGGCTCTTTGTCCTCCCAATATCGGGCTAAAGGAAACTCTCAAATACAAGTGGTGAGGCCCAAATGGGTTTGCCTCTTAGTTAGTTCGTTGTGGACAAATGCTGGAATTCACATTGGCATACCAGATAACACGTTAGATGGCTAAATTTCCTCAAACAGATACGGTAGGAATTAAAAGCTACATAAACAAACATGCATCCACAAAACACACTCTGATTCTAGCAGTCTATAACTTTCGAAGAATTAAAAGCCAAGATATCACATTGTCTAGGATTCTGTTTGATCCATATGAACATAATATTTACAAGCATACGGGAGAACCAAGGAAACTATATATTACGGTCACTCTTATTAAAAGCTAGAATAAAGGCAATCACATCTCAGCAACCAATTGTTGGGGCTCCTCTGTGGCTTCTGACAATTTGCCTCGAGTCCACCTCTTCAGCATCTCCAGTGAAGCCTCAGGCTGGTCCATGGGAACCATATGCCCTGCATCGAGGACCTGTTGGCAGATGCATTATGCAATTAGCACTGATCATAAAATGAACGCTATCATTTTTGTTTAAAAAAAAAAAAAACACCAGAAGCTAATTGTTTGAAGAGAGAGAGAGAGGGGGGAGACCTTAAGGAATGTGAGAGGCCCGTAACTTTTCAGCACTCCAGCTTCTGAACCACTAACTTGGAAAGGAACTTCAGGAGATGCCACAAACTCTTTCTGACCAGACCATTCCATGGCATGAACCCATCTTGAATTACCTGCTCATAGAAGATTAACCTCAGCCTTGGATGAATGTTAAATAAATGAAACTTGCTATACCCTAATAGTTGGTAATTCTTACCGAGCCAGTTGCAGATGAGATCATATTCTCCTGCATACACAAGCAACTTGATTCCATCCTCAAGGAGAGCAGGAATGCCCACTTCAAGATTCCTCATCCAGTCCATCAGCATTGCCTGGTAGACAGTGGGGCTACAGGAGACAAAGTCTATATCACCGACACCAAGTGCCTCCTTAACTGATTTCTGGCCCAGAAATTTCTCCATATTTGAGAAGTCGTAGCAGAGGCTCCCCTCACATTTCTTTCTAATGTCATAATACTGCAGAGAGAATATATCAATGCTTGTTTATTTTTTGGTTGTATGCAGTATGCACATTATTTTCATGTCTATAAAAGTGCATCTGACATCAATTCCTCAACCAAGGAACATATTTTATTGAATACAAGGAAAAGTTCCCTCAAGGAGAGATGTGATAAAGGGAGCACATTAGAAATTGAAAAAAAAAAAAAAAAGTATACGCATGAACACTCCAACAGGAGGGCTTATGAGGTCTTACATTTATATTATCAGCAACTGATAAAATGCTGCTGAATATGGTATTGCAAACTAAATAGGAGGCCATGCAAGAGATTGTACCATCAGTGCCTGAGACAGAAAGCAAATGTTCAAGCAAGGAACCAGGAGTAAAAAATCAACAAAATAGACCCCATGCACGGACAAAACTTCGAACAACAGATTTGAGATACAAAAATATGTGATCTAAAAACAATGAAACAATCAAGTAGGAAAATGCTCCAAAAGGAACGAGAGAAAATTGAGATACAACATTACCACAAAGCTTTATTGCAATTTCACACACTGGAACTATCTTGTTGATGCGATCATGCTGAGCTTGTTTAATTATTCCCATATCCAATGCATAATCTGTGTATGCTTTATATTGGATTGCAGGATCTGTGAGACCATTACCAATGGCAAATCCCTGCTCAAAATATTGAATTGCAATTAATAAAAGTAAAGCAGATCCATCAAAAGTCAGTATTAGGCAAATCATTTATATACCTTAAGGTTTATATGAATTCCTTCTTTAGCTTTGTTTCCTTTGTGGACTCGAGCTGCAAAAGCAGGAATATAGTGGCCAGCATATGATTCTCCAGTTATGTAAAAGTCATTCTTTGCCAATTCAGGATGCTCCTTGAAGAAGGCCTGGTGCCATACGAAGAATGCACTTAGTACTATCAATACATTGCATTAACAAATCTCAATCATTTCCAAACAACTATCCACCAATCCATTCACGTTTCACAATGTTTTTAGTGTCCCAAACTAAAACTAGCATTTAGCATAGTAAGACTCTAGCAAAATACAGTTGTTTCCTCAAGATATTAATATATTAGAAGTTCATGGTATACCAGAATATTACACTTTATTTCCTTTCTTATCGCAGGGAAATACAGGATAACTAACCTGCAAGAAGTCATAAAGATCATTGCCAACTCCATCTTCATTGTGACGAATGTCACGCCTATCAGTACTATAACTGTATCCAGTACCAGTGGGTTGGTCAACATATAGAAGGTTTGACACCTGCAAAATCATCATAGCAACATGTTAATTCTCTTGTCACAAACAGGCAAGTTGCAGTTCTTTCAACCTCATTAATGAAAAGAATAGAGAAACTGACGTGGAACTCAATAGTGCTAGTGATAATCCTTTTTTTCCAGAACACATCATTATTTTTACTTGTGCCTCATTATGCAAATACAACATCACAACCAACCAATGCACTAACAACTAAGTTGAAGAGAACCAGGGCACAAAAAGTGCAACTGTGAGCCTAGATGAAGAAAAAAACAATTTTAAAGTGCAAGTATACTTATTTTGGTGAGAAATATTCACAAGATGCTATCAAGAAACTTAAACTAAATAAAACTAGCTATTCACCAAGCAACTAGCTAAAGAGTTGAGACAATGAAATCACACAAAGTTTGCAGGTTCAATGGCAACTGCAGCATGCCCATGATAAACAGAAAATATCAATAACTGACCATAGACAGATGTTTACCTAAGGAAGATTAATGGCCAAGATTTGTTAAATGATGCACAATATGAAACATGGTTTTAATAATATTGGTTAAGAAATTGGATATTCGCTCCATTTGACACAAATATGATATTTCACAAATTACATTTGGTAAACTATGGCAATTTTTTTTTTAAAAAAAAAAGGGGGGAAAGACAGAGAAACTACAGTCCAATATTCGTTAAGTATGGCATCAGCTTAAGAAGATCTAACGGCATATTACCTTGTCCCAACCATACTCATTTTGCACAAGTGACAAGTTATTTGCAATAGTGTAAGGACCATTTTCATAAAACATAGCCAATTCACTACTACACCCTGGTCCTCCTGTCAACCAAATGACCACAGGATCCTTCTTGCTGGTCCTTGATTCATAGAAAAAGTAAAACATCCTGCAAAACCACAATTACACCAATAAGTCATCACTAATTAGAAACTAAAAAAAATAAAAAACTAGTTAAAAACCCCCTCCTAGTGAGTAAATTATATATTAGTCCCTCTCTTTTCAAGAAAGGAATTGATTAGTTTCTCAATTTAAAAACTAATCACTTAATCCCTTACATTTTAATTCCCTCGATAATTTAGTCCTTTCACCAATTTTCCTTAGATTAGTGATTTTTTTCCCCAAATTGCCCTTCTTTTGATGTCTTATTTCTCTCATTCACTCACTTTTTTCTCTCCCCTAAACTAAAAATCGAAAGAAGGACAATTTGGAAACAAAAGTCACTAATCTAACAGAAAACAAATGAAACGACAAGTTATTGATAAAATTAAAACATTAAAGCCTAAATGATTAGTTTTTCAACAAAAAGGAACTAAAAGATTCGTTTCTGTAAAAAAGAGGGACTGATTTATAATTTACTCCATCCTCTTTTAACAACCCACTTAAACTTCAATCTCAACGATCCAATCTTTAACCAGGAAAAAAAAATCAACAAAATCAACCAAAATATCATACTCTGACACAAAATGAAACCCTAATCAAACATTCATTCAATCATCAATAACTGGAAACCAACAACTTTACTAAAAATCCACTCTTTCAAGTTCCAAAAATTCAAACATTCAATTCTACACACGCACAAATTCTTAAAATCACTAATCGATTTAACCTCCAACCTCAAAAATCCAATGTTTACCCAAAAAAAAAAAACAAAAAAAAAACAAAACTTTAACCAAACCACCACAAGCAAACATAAAACCCAACAAACACCATCTCACAAAACACAAAATCAAAGCCAAAAAAATAAAACGTTGTTATATTCAAGTACCTTGCATCATGAGAATGCTCAATCTTGTAATAACCAGCATGATGTCCCAAATCATCAACAGTAAAGCTATCTTCCTCATCACCAACAACATTAGGAAACCTAAATTTCCTCTCTACAATCCTCTTATTATGCATTTCTTGGTTAATAACACCAACACCATCATCACCACCGTCGATCACGTTGACGTCTGATTTTGGAAATAAATTCAGCTCCCTTATCAGCTTCTCTGCTTGTACGGACGGGAAATTCGACTTCCCGAGATTGAGATAAGGATTCTCTGAGATTCCCGCGTGAGATATCGCGACAAGGGATAGAAGAAACACGGAAAGAAAATTCAGAGACTCCATTTTTGAGGTTCTTGAGGAACGAGGGAGAGAGACAACCTTACTTTATATAGAAGCAGTGTACTTTAGTTTGTTATGAAGAGAGACACGTGGCAAAACTACCAGTCTTATTTCGGGGGTCGTCGCTGGGGGAGTAAATTATAAATTAGTCCCTTTAGTCCTTTCATAAATGCCAGTCTTAGTTTAAATTAGTTTTGAGAAAGGAATTAATTAGTCCTTTTTGTTTTTAAAAATAATTATTTAGTTATCATGGTTTTAAATTCTTTAGTAACTTAATCATTTTCCCTCTTTTTCAATTTATCTTAATTTTTTTAAATAAATAAATAAATAATATGAAAAAGTTGATGAAAAAATATTATATATTATGAAATAGATCAACACTAATTAAAAAATTAAAAAATTAGTTTTTAAAATAAAAAATTAAATAAATGTTGGCTGCGATGCTTAGGTTAAAGTAAGTTATAGGTAGTGCTTAATGTTACATTTAGATTTTGTATTTAAAAGTTCCTCAAGTTTCCATTTTATTGCAATACTTTGTATAAATAAAGAAAAACAATAAATTTATCTGCATTTGTATTTGGTGTGCATATGAAGATAGGATAAAAGACGTTTTTATAATTAAATTCTTGTTTTATATCTCTTCATAGGTTAACCCTAGCTATTTTCCATTCATTTCATTCTCATTTGGTTTAATCTTTTTTGCTTAGTAAATATATTTTTAAATTATTAAAGATAATTAACGAAATAACATAGTATATTTGTATAACAAATTGAAATCATGATCATAATAATAATATCTATTAACACTCATAAATAGGTTATCTTAGAAGGCGAAGAAAATGAAGAAATAGTCTTTCATTAGATGTTGTTAGCGATTCAATTTATGTTTGCACAGTCCAACAAATTGGAGAATTCTAGAGTTTAGAATGAGAATTTTTAACTATGGGAATATATGAAGAAATATAAGGACTAACTTGCACTTTCATCTTGTTTAGCCATACGAAGCAACGAAAGCGTGAGGGGGACGACGGGTCGTTGTTTTTGTTGGTGATGATGATGTTGTGGTGTCGTTTTTGCCTTGGATTGCGGGCGAGAAGATTAAAAAGGGGTTTCGATTACGCGAGAAGGGGTCACTGTTGGAGATGTGCACGCAATTTGATTGTGCGTTTAGCATGAGCGATTTATGAAAAAATATATTTTTTGAAAAATTTATTTGTTTGGAGGGTTTTACAAATTTAATAATTAATATTTTTTTTAAAAAATAATTTAGTAAAGAATTTGATTATTTTGTTCGATCAAGTTGGTTAGGTTCAAATGGCCAAGATATTTAGTCTTTTGGGTTTTGAATAAGAAATGTGGATCCTAGTGTATATACCAATCAAGTTCTTTGAGATGGGAGATCATGATCGTTAATTTGTTGGAAATTTGGAAGTCAAGGTTATGAATGGTGAAGATCATTTTGGGTGTAACAACCCAAGTTATTCTTGGAATAGAAGAAAGTCGAATGGGATCTAGAAGTGGAAGGGCGGTGGTGACGGTTTCAAAGGCAAAGAAAAGGAGGAAAAGAGGGGAGAGATATTTTGACGGAGAGGAACACGAAATTTGTGTGGATAGTGCTATTTTAAGCCGAAATCATTTCCAAGATCTACTTTCTAAAAAAATCTAAACTACATTAGGTTTAGAGCCTTGCTAAAATGATGGAAGAAAATCATGGAAGAGGTGAACTAGCATAGTGGCAGTGGCAGCTCTTGTAAATAATCTTTGGCTCATTATGGCTTTCATTTTTATTATGTGAATTAGGGAGCAAATATGCAAAATATAAGATAATTTCTTAAATTTATGGGACTGAGAAATAAAGCAATATTAGATGAATAAAAATTTTCAATTTTTTTTAAAAATAAATTAGTCAGAAACAAGAATTAAAAAAAAAAAAAAAAAAAACCAGATGAATCAATACAAGATTGGAACTTGAGATTAACATATATTTATTTTTTCTGTCTTCTTTTTCCCAAATACAAATTTTAAAGACTGGCAAAGGACCTGGCCATCATCCATCATGTTCTCTCTCTTTTTATATAATAAAAATAAAAATAAAATAAAATAAATAGAAGAGAAAAGAAAACATGGATAGTGGTCAGGTATTATTTATAGACAGGGACGACAATCAGAAAATTTATTATCTCTACCCAAGTCAATAAATACTCATTTAAAATAAAAATATATTAACAGATAAAAATAAAAATAAAAATAAAAATATAATAATATGATTTCTATTTATGGATATTCACTTTATACCCTATTAATATCCACAATTTTTTTTTTTTTTAAAAAAAAACTATCATGTAAAGACCTGATTGCACTTATTAAATAAGAATTAAAATGTTTTATAAAAACTGAGGACCAAAAAACCATATAAATAAAAAACCAAATTGTAAAAAAATATTATTTTTAAGGATCGAAATAACTTTTTCTGAAACATACATGGATAGGACCAACATAAATTTTTTCTGAAACATACAGGACTAAAATGAGTTCTTTGACAAATTGTTTTCAACGGTGCCAAATCCAGGTATGAATTTAAAGGGAATGGACAAGATATATTATATACATATTTTTTTAATTATGGCCAGATATTGACTTAATGGACCATATGCCCGGCCCATTGCCATTTCCATTCCAGGATACATGAAAGGATGGACGCAGCCAGAGACGATAGGGTCCAGACTGTCCAGTGATAAACTTGGGAAATTAAAGCAGCTTACGTACTTTAATCCTTTCTACTTCTTCGCTGTCAAATGAGAAAACTATGCATTTAGAAATGAGACATAAGACAATGCTAGTTCTCCTGGGTATTTTCGGATGGCTAGGGAATGAGAGTTTCCATAATGTTATGCCTGTGTTTGAAACCGTACATGAAAAGCATGAACTATATTACAAGATACAAAAACGATGTCTGAAAAATACCATGGGTTTTAGATAAAAGTAAAATGAAAATGGTAGCATAACAATACACACTGATATTACAAATGCAGAGATACATTCTTTTGCTAAAATTGGGTTGAAGGCCTCTAATGTCAGATTCATTTTCTTCAATAAACACCTAGGGAAATGCGGTGAAAAAGGATGCATTGAACTACGATCTGACTTTGGCCAGCCGTGCCCTTAGCTCTTCTAGTTCTTCCTCATCATCTGCACCCTCTGCAATAGCTTCTTCCTGTGAATATTGCAATGAAGTTAGGTCCTAATATTCCTCGAAACAAGTATGCAAAAAATTAGATAGAAGTTAACCGTACTTCATGTGAGGTGCTTGCTTTTTGAGCAGGTGCCCTTGCTCTTTCCTTTCTGACAGCTTCAGGAAGCTGAGCAGCTGTCTCGCCAGCTATTTCTGTTAGGACCTTATCAACCTCTTCTTCAATTTCCTCTTCCATGTCTTCAGAATCCAGTGCTGTATCAACAGCATCAGTTACCATCTCTTCAATAACCCCAGCCTATAAAGTGCAAAACAATGGCCAAGAAAGTAAAAGGTAACTGAGGAAGTAAACGTAAAACATGCTCAAACAACTCACTGTTAGTGGACATTAAAAACCAACTGCATCCACCACTCCCACTCCAACAAACATCAAGCCTATTTGATAATAGGTGCGGGGATCCTCAGAAATACATTTTCCATTCCCACATCATAGAGATTGAGCTCATTTGATTTGCTAGATTCCCGGACTACATAAATTAATTTGCAATTACAGTTTACATATGACAAATAATAGTTTTTTTCACAGGAGCAACGCTTTAATTTTTTAGTCATAATATCTGCTGGAGATAATAAGGAATTTTTTCTTTTTTACTACAACTATCATAAAGGAAACCCCTTCAGAGGGGGAAAAAAAAAATAGCAACCACTAATCAGACCCCATCATGCACTCAGCGGTGATGGCACTGGTAGTGAATCATGGGAATATAAAATGGAATGTGAAATTGGTTGGTTTTTCCATTGAAAAATTTCGACATAAAATATTTTCCAAGAGATAAAGAACAGACCTTTGTCATCTCCCTGCTGAATTCTTGCATTGTGGCCGCCATTTCTGGAGCTTTCATGAGGTTATTGACAAGTTTCATGACCTCAGCGCTTTTAGATAAATGACCCACAGTTCGGGCAATTGCTGATAATCAAACCCAACATGTAAATCCTCAAGAACCAAGAATATGGCAGCATGCCATTAAACCACATTAAATATTTTTTGATAAAACATATTTCAGATAGTTCATGCCATTAAATTGAAAGTAACATGCAAGTAACCAAGAAAATGCCAGCATGATCACAGAAGTAGTATGACAAAAACTGAGCAATAAGGACAAATGACTAAAAACTCTCTGAGCATACCTGCAATACAAAATAGGCTTCCAAGGAAATTTGGCAAAGTTTGATGCCAGTAATAAATCTAGAGTTACTTATCTTTCCTTTCCATAAAACTGTTGAAGTTTGAGATTCATAACTTTTTCCCGTATCTTTGAAAAACTTTTTGGCTATTTGTTGACTTCACCCTTCTCAAAAAAGGAGTTTCAGGTGACAAACTTCTTAAAACTAAGTAAATTTAAATGCATGGTAAGTAAAAAATACTACCAACACTTTCTCCAAGGTGCATTGATATCGAATTCAGTTGGGCCTTATTTTCGTAAAGACGGTTCACAGCTTTTCTAGACATCACAATCTCCTTTGCAAGTGCCTGAAACATAAAAGAAGTGGATGCAAACAAGCATGTAAAATATGATACAGCAAGCCCAAACAAAAAGACATCAAGTAGACGTCTTTTGTGGCTCAACCTGGATTTAGACAAAGGCAAGGCAGAAGAGCTAACGGTGATCATGTTTATCTTAAGTTCAACATACTTGCAAGATGAGTCCTAGTACATCACTTGTTTTAACCTAACTTGATTTGATTTTCAACATCATCATCTACATAGCTTCCTAGCTCTTAGCTGTGATCACTTCAACGTTTAATAATGTTTTTGCCAGTTCACAGCTACCTTGATCCTAGAAGAATTCAAAGCATAGCTACCAAAAGAGACATCTAAAATCCCCTAGAGCAGGACCAACAATCCATGCACATGATCAGCACATAAAGCACTTAGGAGTCTGAGTTTTGGTAGCTCAAAAAAGAAGCTGAGATTCCTGAACAAAAGCTGACCCAAGAAGGAAAAAAAAAAAAAAAAAAACCTGACTAACAATATAAGCTATTTAAGTGCATCATGCATGAATGTCCTTAAAACCCTCAAAGACTTTCCCAGTTCCCAGTCACAAGATAACAGATCTTTCATTTAATGCTATTTAGCACGGATTTAATAAAAAATAAAGTAAAATCAACTAAAAATTTTGATAATTTACCTTAGCTGACCCCATGTCATTTCTCTTGGCAGCCTCCTTAATTGCTTTATTTACATTTTTCTCCTCCCTCTGAACATCTAAAACCACAACACAACCCCATTATTTAGCCCAAATTCAACATCACTTTACAAAAATGAAATAAAACCAGTAACCCAAAAATCCAAAATTCCCATCAACAAAAATGAATTTTTTTACTTTAACATCTAAAAACACAATAAACCCATGATTGTTTTCAGCCCCCATTCACTATAAACACACTAAACAAAACAAACCCAACAATCCAAACTCAAAATTGGAAAAAACCCATAATTGAAAGAAAAGTGAAAATTAGAAACTTGCCTCTGATTTGTCGCTCAATGTTGCGGCACTCTTGACGTAGCTTTCTCTGCCAATCTCTCAATTGCTCTTGAGGTTTTGGTTTTGGTTTTAAAATGGTCTTGAATTTATCCATTTCTTTCTCCCTCTCTCTCTCTAAAGCTCTAAACTTTAACAAGAGAACAATAAATTCTCTCTATAACTCCGAAGCTCTTGTTTTAAAGAGGAAAACAATAAAAAAAAGATGTTTTTTTTTTCCGGATGGAGAAGGAATTATAGCTTAGAATCGAAGCTAGAATTTCTTTTCAGTGTTTGTTTTCCGAGAATGCTCTTATTTTCCTTCCGTTTCCAGGAAGAACGAAAGGGGTTTGCCAGCGTGTAAGCGGACCTGTATTTTAACGTTAATCGTAGTGTAGTTTCACTTAGTGCAAGAGAGCTGGCAAAACTACACGTCGAATTGTAAACCGTGCTGCTTTTTTTGAAGAGAAAAAGAAAAGGTAAAAGGAGGAAGTGAATAAGCAATTTTTGTTTTGAAAAATCCTCATTTTAAAAACCAGTGTTGGTATTAAATTGGAAAATTAAAACTTATGAAAATAATTTACTGGATTTTAATCTATATTCTATATTTTTATGCAATTTGATCTAACTGTTTTAAATTTTAGCAAACATATAAAAATTTATTGATGTAGAAAATATTAATCATATGACACACAATTTGAACTAAAATGCCCTGCTCTAAAAAAAAACTTTCTCAGTTTTTTTTTAATAAAATTCATGTGAGATATGTATGTGACTCTCTCATATCCTCACACTATATATTTCATATTTTCAAAAAATAGTAAGAGGAGAAACCTAATTTTAATTTAAGCTCCTCATTCAATAAATGTATTCTAATTTATAAACCTAGTTTATATATATGTATTCTAATTTATAAACACCTAAGTTTCAAAACTTTCTTTTGGAATCAAACTTAAGGCTTGACAATATTAATGCCATGACATTGCTGTGAAATAGGGTTATATTGAATATGAGCAGACAAAACTACAGCTCTTATATTAATAGCAATTTTATATGCTATCATAAGAAAATTGGATAGAAATGCCAAACTTGCAAAGCTGTGCATCATTCTCTATGTGATGCTACCAAGAACTCCTTGAACGCTGTTCATAGTGAATAAAAATACACAAGTTGTTTGGTACAAATGAAAGTAAAATTACATCTGGGATCTGTAATCCCCGTGGGGATAAGCAGAAAATAAAAAATCCTAACTAGTCCAATAGGAATCAATTTCAGGTACATTGAAGCCTTTCCATATCATATTCTACATGGAAGAATCAATTTTCTGGTTGTCAAAAATCTTTGTTTTCTTACCTTCTATGGTCTCGGTTACGCTAGAAGTAAAACATTGTCATTGATTATTTAATCAAAGAGGCCTTCATCTTGCCAAATATCAACTAAAAAATCTACCATCTCCTGCAAAATTCAACAAATAATTGAATTGAGACCAACAACTGATTGAGAACTTAAGCACAGAACTAAAAGTGGAAAGTTCTGCATGATCTCAAAGAATCACCAGTCCAAAATCTTTAACCATGATCTTTCCTGCACATGCTTATGCACACCACGACTATGAGAAGATTCAAAACCAATAAACAATAAAATGCATCAGGTCTGAGTATGATTGTCAGAAGAGAGCTTACTGGTAAAGGGATTGGCTCCGAGAAGGGCTCCTGAGTTGAGAGCAAATCTTCATAGGTCGTTGACCAGCTGCAAGGAAAAATTCTGCTGTTATGTTTCATCTATCAGCATGTGTGGTTCCAAGGATGCACGATAGATCTTGAAAGCACCATCTCATGCAAAAAATGCTCAAAGAAAGTGTGTGTATATATATATATATATACATACTCTCATCTTGGTTCCCACTCAGGTGGGACCCTAACTGATAATGACCACTAACATAAGTGGTGACAAGAAAAAAATTAATAAACAATATCATCACGTCATCAACCATCAGAACACAAACTGGAAGACATTACTGCAGCAATTATAGGGATAAATAATAACAGAGACCATATATGATATCATGATACACAAACTTTCTCTTGGCAGTGTCACCAGTGTATTGCTGTTAGTCCTATTTATGAAGCCACTTCCTAAAAATTCTGATTTTTTTTTTCATAAAGGTTTGGGAAGGACCAAAATAGTCCATCTATCTCTACTTAATTACAAGTTGGCACAGGGATTTATTCTTGGCTAAATGCATGTTCAACAATACATTACACTCTCCAAACCTTTTAGTAGTTGCCATCAACCCATGTAGGGAAGTGCGGTTGTTATTCTTATTCTTTCCTTACTAATTGACAAGACTAAGTTTTACTTCATGCCCCTATGATAACACAAAATATGAAATTATTCAGACTAAAGAACTTCCAAGCTTATAGATGTTAGAAAATTCTTGACCACAGAAATAGGGCTTAGCATTCAAGAAGCTTTGCAAATGATTACCTTATAACTGGGTCCTTAATCATTCTTTGTGGCCGTTGAGATTGATCTCCAATCCACTTTCTTCTGCTCTCATGCCATGCAATTGCAGCTAGACAATGCATTTGGACAGGTTATGCTCATAGAAAAGAAAATTATGCATTGAAAAGAAACGGGAAATGACAATTACGAATAGACAAAGGCTCGTTATTGGGATTCACGCTAGGAGAGAAAGATGCATAACAGTCACAAAACCATAACCAAAGAAGTGCTTATCTTTTGAGACTCTCAGACTTCACTGAATGACTAAGAAATCTATATGATGCATCGATTTAGACAGAAATACCAAAAGTTTCTAGGCATTATGTTGTGCAGAACATAATCAATGACATTTACTCAGATTACTTCAGTGATAGTCAAGGGTAGAGAAATACACTTCTTTTGTCTTTCTTCTTATGAAGCACAAATTTTCAATTGGCATCATGTGTATATTTTACATAGCAAAAGAAATCTCCAACACCACTTCTAATTAAAAAATCTGATACCATGTAAAAGAGGTTTCTGACTCCGACAAAATAAGTATAAAAACTCACATATACAAGGATCCTAAAAACCAGCAGATGTAAGTACCTAAAAAACTTGTGTTATGCAAAATCACCAAGTGAGCTGTATTAGTCAAGTTCCGTAAGGCAGGATATAAATTTAGTGAAATTGCTCATATTTATTACTACGTTGAGAGACTCACCATGATTGATGAATGCAGAAGTACTCTTCTCCTTTTCTGTGTGCTTATGTTCTCCATTGGTAGATGTGGCATGCTCTATTGGTTGCTTCTCATTGGAGTGGGAGCTAACAGAGTTTACCTCCATTGGTTCTAAACTGAATGAGCATTCCCTATGGCAGTAACAAAATAACTGTCGACTAGTAGTCTTTTTAACCAGTTCCTTCAGGGATTTATCTGAAGATATAGCTACTTGGAATGAAGCAAGGATCCAAGAACAGCTGCTTGGCATAAAATGATTCTTCTGTGTGATTGGCAAATCAAAAAAGAAAGGAAACAATAAGGAAATATGAGTCAGAATGTCACTTGAATACCATAGTGACACACTGGAAAAAGTAACCACATTTTTCTCGTTGGACTAAATATTAAACTAAAGCCAGCCTTTACAATAATCATATTTCCCTTCGTTCTGCAAATCAATAAGTAGCACCCTAGAAAAGCAGATGCCTTGGTCCTATTAGCATTAGTTTCCACACTTAACCTTCTTCCAAACGCAGGTTTCCTTTCGGACCCATAAAATGTAAAGTAATACTTAAAACAAAGACATATGAACTATATAACAAGGAGGAAAAAAAAAAGCCTCCCAGTAATCATTGTTTGGCCGGCATCGTAAGATCACGTATTGTGATCATCAAACAAAGATGTTCTTTATCTAAATTTACAAAGAAATTTTATTCTCTACAGTCAATTCAGTCAACACAAATTCAGATCTGTTGCAAAGTATAAGCTTTTCCAAAATAAACCCACAAAATGGAACCACCAAATATTTACATTTACTTCTTCACAGCCCCCACCAAGCGACCAAGAAAAACCAGAACAAAAGAACGCACTTCCTTTTGCAAAATTCACCAGGTTGTGAGCCATTATTTACTTTTTTTGATTTTTTAACAAAAATAAACAACTCAAATTTCACCATGCTACTATGCAATTTCTCATTCTCTAAATCCAAGAATTTTTTACACAACAGATTTCAAGAACTAGATCATTCAATAAACTAACTTTCACATTCTCAAAGCCAAGCTTCTTTTGCTCATTATATTAGCCACAGTTTCTCTCCTTTTACACGCCTCTTCCAGTTTTCTTCATGGTTTAAAAAACAAAAGCGAAGATATTGTCTCCAACACATGCTCGAAATGTGAAAACAAATCAAACAGACCGTACAAAACAGAAACAGGAGTTAGAAAAGCAAATCCCATGAACTCAAAACCATATCCAGAACCCACCCAGAAACATGCTCCAAATTTAACAAAAGCATGCATTCAGCCAATCTTTTTAATCCGTTATGCTATAAAAGGTAATCTTGAGCAAAAAGAAATCAAAAACCCAAAAAAAAAAAAAAAGAATTACAGAGAGAAAGATAGAAAAGGCTGGGCCATACCTTGTTGCAGATTCTTTACAAACGCATTGGGATTTTTAGTGTTGAATCTAAAGTATTTCTTTTAGAGAGAGAGAGAGAGAGAGAAGAAGAATGAGGGAGGAAATTAGGAGAACTTACGGTTTTGTTAATTATTGGCTCTTGGGATGGTAATAATAATAAAATAATCTTCGTATTAAAATATAATATTTTCCTTTTAAAAAAAAACTAAAAAAACAAATATAGATATTTTTCGATCATTTTTACACTGATTCAGACAAAATCCTTTTCATAGATTTAATAAACTAGATATTATCCATGTCTGGATTAAGAGTAAATAATTTTACTTATTGTATTCTTTTCTTGTTTTGGTAACTTCCTCTTTCCCCTTCCAATTCCTGTTTTCATTTTTTTATTTTTTTATTTCTCTTTCCAGCTGACGTGGATTTGATTTGGGAATTTGGAGTGGATAAGCTAAATTGTCTTTATAGCATAATGACTCTTATACCCTCCACCTACTGCTAAACCCCATGCTAGGTGTATATTTAATGGGTGTCTTGGTCATTTCAAATTTATAAAAAATCCAAAACCAATATCTACTTACCACGTCCAATTTTTTTGGCTTAAAAAAATCTAACCATTAATAAATTTTAAATTATTTAAAATCAAAATTTTGAATTTTTTTTTTGTTGGTTTTATCATTAAATTTTTAATATTTTGAGATTTAATCTATTTAATATTTTTTGCTATTATTTTCCCTTTTAAAAATTTTAATTTTTGTTATTTTGAGTTGAAGTTTTACATACACTTTAAAAAATTCAATCCATTTTATAAAAAAATTTCAGAATTTTTCAAAATCAAAAAACCATATTTTTTTATTTTTTAAACATTAAAAGTATAGAAAATTGAGAAAAATAAAAAATAATTTCAAAATGATTTTAATTTTTTTTTAGGAGTTTCATGTAAATTTCATTGAATGATTTTCAATACAAAACTATTTATTTGATTATTATTGTTTTTTGAAATAAATGATTGAAAATTAAATGATTGGCTAAATATAAAAAAAATTGAAAATTTAGAAATCTTTAAAACAATAAAAAAATTCAAAAATTCAACTTCAAATAACTTAAAATTAAAAAATAGCTAGACCTTTTTAGCCTGTTTTTTTCTCTCTATTTACACTTTGGTCACAATTTGTCGTCTGGATTTAGGACAACGAGGTTTGAGCTTGAAACCTAGATTTTGGTGAAGAGTAGTTGCTATGTTCGATTATACCTAGGCCATTTCAGCAATAAGTTCTTTGCATGAGAAATTAATTAGATCTAAAAACTTATTATATGTAGGTGCCCACGTGAGGGATTAAAGTATGACTTCCTTTTCATTTCTTCATGCTTTCTTTTTAATTAGTATCTTAACCGACATGCAAGTCCATGAATTTTTTTGCAATTTACTTCGTTTATTGGATTCCTTGTACTGAAGAAGGATGTCCTAATTTATCTTTTGTTTGCACAAGCTATAATCTCTGTAGAGGCCCATTTGGCAGCAGGGGTGTGTTTGGCATTTCAAGTTTTAGGATTAATATCCTCCCATATTTTTATATAATAAATCAAATTTTCAATCAGTTCTTAAATTAAAAAAGATCTTTAATTTATTCTTATTATTTAAAATAATTTTTAATTTATTTTTATTCCAAATTAAACATGTGATTTGATAAAATTATCTTTGCATTTTGATCCTAGTGATCTATATTTATTAATGTAAAGATTATTTTTTAATGAATTGATTGAAAATTTTGATCACAAAAATAGATTAGAAATCAGTTTAAATAATAAAGACAGATTGAAAATGTTTTTAAATTTAAAAATAAATTAAAAATTTAACATATTATATAAGAATAAATGAAGATATTAATCTCAAATTATATAAAGATTAATTTATTAAGTGCTATTTGGTTATACATGCATGCCACAGAAACTCATCCACATCCCACGTCTAACAGCCCAATGCTTCAGCCGCTGGAAAAGCACTAAATTGAAACTTTTACTACGTTCAACAAACAAAATTAATGTGCATTTGATATAAAATTTTAAACTCTACCGATTAAGATTATTATACCCTCAATTCATGAGGCAAAATATTCATCCCCACTTTGTTATTAGAAAATATCCTTGCACAATGAAATATTTTATGTGATAATTTATTAAATTTAACATCCCTTTGTAGTATATTTAGTTATATGAGTTTTACAAGTCGATCGGTGTTTTTTTTTATTATAAGACGATGTTAGCTTCTTCTTTTTTCCTATAATATATACGTGTATGTATTCATGAATAACAAAGATATATATATATATTTTTCAATCACGACTAGTATGTCACACATTCACAATTTGTACTCATAATGAGAAATAAATGAAAAGAAATATTAATATTATATCACATAACATGGAAACAACATCAACAAACCGACCTTAGCTCAGTTGGCAGAGCGGAGGACTGTAGTTGTTGCTGTAATCCTTAGGTCGCTGGTTCGAATCCGGCAGGTCGGATTTTTTTATTTTTGCCGTCTCCATTATTCATAAAAAATTTCCTTTTTTCAAAAGATTTCCCTTTTTTTTTTTTTTTAAATTCCTTAGGTAACACTTTATAAAAGGTAGAAATCTCGGAAATAGATTTCGACGATAGATTACGAGGAAAAAATTTACTCATGGTAGGACCAAAATCTTTTGATTTCCAAATTTCTTATGCGACTTTGAAATGCATTGACATTTCCAGACCATACCTTGCATCCTCTTCCCTGCTCCGTCCCGACCACCTCTTCGGTGTGTGAAATGAGGAACATCTTGTTCTATGAACAATACATATCCAATAACAATGTTGCAGAAAAAGTACCAAGTTATGTCATTCTAAGTATTCCTGTGCCATCGTCAAAAGCATTCTTCACAAAAACGATCAGGCGATGATGCGGTTCAAGGTTCTAGCCTACAGGGCACATTTAAAATTGGCAAAGTATGCAAACAACAGGAAGCAATTCTCCATTACTTCACTCATTGCAAAAAAATTACACAGCCTGACAGCAATAATAGGTGGAACATGAAAAGAAACCAAAGAACACAATTTTCTGCCAGATAACTTCTTCTGATAAGTGGAAGGTTTAATCACTTCCATTAAATAAATTACAAACATCAAGAAGAAAAAGCACAACAGAACGAAAATAATTCCTTGCTAAATTCTGGATGTGTACAGCCGCAGGTCATTTTTCACTCAGATGTCATGTTTGATTTGTTGGGAATGAACAAAAGAATATTACACAGGCAATGATGCATCATTGCTCATCTTCATCTTCGCAAGAGACCTTCTTTGATCCGAGGCTGATGAGTAAATGTGAACGTGTTGTAATTCTGTATAAAGGCAGATGGCCAGTGGTGATTGTAACTGCCTTTGATTATTCCCATAAAGGGTTAGGAATGTGTATGATGGAAAAAAAAAAAAAAAAAACATTGTGAATGTACAGTGTCCTGTAAGAAAGCTCCAGAATCATCTTCTCCGTTGCCACCAGTCTGGAACTTTCAATCGCCTATTTCTATGTACAGCAAGTTGGACCCCTGGAAGTTTGTGCTTTACCTGCCTCCATAGCATGTTGACTGAATCTTCCTTCATTGGAGGGTACTGGAATTCAAAGTGATAGGAGATCTTCTTAAGCTGCCTCCACATTTTAATCCATCTGTCCTTCGGAAATTGCCGGAGCTTATTAACCATGTAATCTGGCTGTATAGCCTCATTTATAGAGAAGAAAATTGAGAATTGGCTGTAGTCAATTTCATCCTCATAGGGGAGCTCAATTTGATCACTCACAATGACTGGAACACAGTGGCTAACAATAGCATCGAAAAGCCGGCAAGAGGAAGGAGTGTCTCCTGCAGGGTTTAGACAGAACTTCGATGACCGCATCCCTTGAGTTGACTGGTATTTCAGGAAAGGAAAGAAATGGGGCATAAAAATTACGTAAATTACTTGGATAACACATCAACGGACTTATGGCTATTCCATTTTGAGAAAATGACACCCTAATGGCACTCTCTCTCTAAAAGGAGATTCTAAAGAATGATTTTCCATTGTCCATGCACTGTGTGCAGTGGGAAATTCTGTTCATTAAGGGCTAAGGGCTATTAAACATAAAATAATTATGGCATGACATTCAATCTGGCAATTGAATTCCATTAGCCGATAATTATTGCAAAAGCACATCATAATGTCAAAAGCACCATGTTGTAACGAAAAAAAGTACTTGTCAGCCCCTAATGTCAAAGTCATATTATAAATAACTGGAAGGAGCTCGATAGGCAATGATAATTTTGGCCATCTCCATCATTTCTATACTTACCGCATGTATTGATTCTGCTGTAGGCGAGCCTCGTTCATACCGAACATCATCATAACCAGCCAATATCTTTTCCAGTTTAGCACGGACTTTTCCTTTCTGCAACACAATAGAACCATTAACAATCACTTTGACATCAAGCTGGACGTTCTAAAATAAGATTATCATCACCAAGAGTGGCACACATACATCTTTCCTGACTGTATTCCCCCTGAAGAAAAGAAGGGTTGTTCGAGACTCAAATGGGTCTGATAGGTCATCATCTTTGAAGGAATCCACAATGTGTACGTACGGTGACACCACATCTTTACTCAGAGTTGACAAGGATCTAGGGTAGCGGCCGAAATCTGCAACAATAAGAATGGATGCATTCACCAGTTGTCGCAGAAATCTAAAAGCATTTGGATGTGTCATTGGAATCACATGGTCTCTGCCTCCAGACCTCTGCCAATACTTGGATTTTTGCAAAAAGTCCATTAAATCAACCTGAAACCAGAAGCATCACACAGTCATACTTCAGGAACTAGAATTCAATAAAAAATATGTTGAAACTCGGCAAACAGCTACCAACATTGCATATGTATAAAGAATTAGACGCTCTGAAACTGAACTCAAAAAGATTCTCAACTTCTTATTTATGTGATCAAACATCATATCTTCAAGAAAAAAAAATCAGCAAATACATCGATTCATTTCCATAACGGTACAAACTATTCAGTTTGATCCACCAAGTTTCAATAACTTAAATCGTAGTGTCTAATGGTGGGCGCAATAGCCAATCATCATTCAACTAAGTTTCGTGCACCAAAGAAAAAAAACATGTTTGATCTTGAAATAGTAATTTTTTTTTTTTTTTTAGTTAAAAAAATATATAAAAAAGGAGTATGATTAATTTGAAAAATACGCAGCCTCATGCACATATGGCATGCAAAATGAAAAGATAATTGTGTTAGCTTGAGCATTGATGATATATGTGTAGGAGAAAACTATAAACTTAAAAAAATATATTTATTTTGTTGAATTATGACTATGAAAGTAAAGAGAAGAAATTAGAAGAAAGAAAGCAAGATTAGAAGGTGAAATAAATTTGAAGTATAAGCTAAAAATTGATTTCCAAGTAGTATATATACAGACATGGGTCAACAGAAACATATATACAGGTGTGACCTTTTATATATGGTCACAAAATCATTGGCAATCCCAAAATCAATTGTTCCAAGAAACATTCCATCATATTTACTTAAAAAAAAATATATATATCACGTTATTTGGTGGGAATCAGATCCCGGGTCAAGAAGAAAGACAAGTAGAAATCAGATGAATGAGGTGCTTGATCTTGATTACTTCCCACCAAATTGATTTGCCTTCAAATCTGATTTAAGCTGGTAAAACTAGCCGTGTGAAAGAAGGGAAAAGGTAACCACCTTTTTTTATTGCTTTTTTATAGTTGCAAATCAAAAGACAAAAATCAGACAGCCTACAACCTTGTTAACCCATCATTACCCATTCACATCAACTAGGATTTAAGGAATTTGGGAAAAGAAAAAAACGTGTTATCACACACATTTTTACAATTATTATTATTATTATTTTAAGAAAAGAGGACCAAATTAGTCATCTTCGTAAAAAGCAGAGCTAATTTTGTAATTTGGAGGGTTAAACTTATTAAAAAAAAAAAAAGACTTTCAACTTTCAAGGGAAAAATATTAATTTTTTTTTCATTTTCACACATTAAATTAATGATGCATAAAACTCTAGCACCCTATTAGCACGCACTTCATAGAAAATTCATTTCTCAATCAGGTCCCAGAACAAAAACTTTCAAATAGGAATCATAGTGATTTCCCATATGAAGACCTTGATAAATTATTAATTATAGAACATCAATATATTACTCTCTACAAAATTCAATTTTTTTTTTTTTTGGAATCAAAATTCTACATCAATAACCCTTTATACTAAAAATACTAAAAAACAAAATGCCATAGTTTATTAAGCTAAAAATCTAACCTTTTCAATTACAAACAATTCGAAATCTAAATTTTAAAAAACCCATTAACATGCAGTCCCTTAAAAATCAAAATTCTCAATTACGGAAAAAAAAAACTCAAAATTAAAGCTGAAAATGAATTCAAAATCACCTGCAATTGCCGATCCTTTTCTGTTTCAGGATCAGTCATGTTATGTCCATGAGTGTTAAAACTCAACGAACTAAAAAATGGCACATAAAACGCCTCCGCAATCTCCGGATCCAAAACCCTAACCGCCTCCCTCCCCTCTCCCTCTCCACCGCTACCCAAAAGCGAAGCCATTAACCAATACTCCACACTATGTTGCTTCCTCACTCCCGCATTCGCAGACCACCGAGGCAACTCCTCCGCTGTCTTCACCGGCGTGTCATCTCCACCCTCCTTCTTCCTCTCCATCATTCCAATATTGAATCGACGTGGAAGATCGTACATGTAGACTTTGAGCGGAGCAGAGGGAGAAGATTGGGTATGGGCGGGTGTACAGGGGAAGTGGTATGCTCCATCTGGTGATTGGAAAAAGTATGATCTGACATCAACTGTTCCGATGAAGAGGGAGAAGGTGATTAACAGAAGAATTATGAATGTTAGTGAGATAGCTGCTTTTCCATACATTTTGGAAGATCCAATTTTTTTTGAAAAACCTTAATTTCTAACAAAGATAAATTTCATTGCTGAGTGGATCTAAGTGGAGACGGAGATTGGGATTTATAAGTGGGAGTTTGAGAGGCAAAGAGAGGATTTTTGGGATTTTGTCTGGGATTGTGAGAGGGAATTTTTACCCCGGGGGAGGTGTAAGGGATTCGTCTTTAGAATTATATGGTCCCTTTTGTTTTTAAATTTGATCATATGGAATCTTTAACTTTAAATTGTCTCAAACTAGTCCCTCATTTTTTCAATTTAAATGCAAATTCACAAGGCTGTGTTAAGTTGTAGTTGGGCGAAGAGAATCACGACAGAGGAGTTGATTTGAGCCGATCTGAGTAAATAGTTTGATTTGTAAACTATAAAAAATAAACATTTTATATGGCGAATAAATCACTAATTAATTGTGGCATTTAACACTATTTGTTGTTTGTCACGTCATTGAATAAGATATTTTATTACTTGACTTTTAGTTTTCTAAAAAATAAAGATGCTATTAAATACAATATTGATGATTAATTATACTAAATTAGTGAGTGATACACCCTTCATAAATTAAATAAATAATTTCTCGATATGCATCATGCCATTTAAAAAGCCAATTCAAGTATTAAACTCTTATTTTACTTAATGTAAGGATGTGAGAGAGAGAGAGAGAGAGGGGCATGCTTTAAGGGGGAGAGAGAGAGAGAGAGAGAGAGAGTGTGGCATGCTTTAAGGGGAAAAAAGAACGCGATTGATAAAATTTCTGAAACTTCTCTGTGAGATGGAAATGCATTGTTTGTTCATGTTAAACAGAATAACATATTCATTCTCAAAAATAAAAAATAAAATAAAATAAGTGATAGTAAGTAGCTCCAAAACTTCATGTGTGCCCAAATATAAAATAATTATAAACTAATTTTGTTTTAAAAACTAAATATATATATATATATATATATATATATATATATATATATATTCGCTTTATACTCTTTTCTAATTTGTTTTGTTTTTGATTTAAAATAAATAAATAAATAAATAGATATTTTGAAAAGATTACCAAGAATAAAAGACATTTTTAAGGTAAAATAATGTTAAATTAAGCACCATAACCACTATCACAAGATTAAATAATTAGTTTTTGAAATAAAAAACAATTACTTCTTTTCGCAGAACTAAAAGGACTAATTTATAATTTACACCTCAAATATGAGGGAAAAAAGCACATGTACTTGAAACACCTGAAATACTTCCAATCACAAAGCAAAACCTATGGCCACCTGCTTGAATACCCGGATACATTCAAGCACAATGGCAAGGTGCCCTTGATCTAATTCTGCTCAACCCTATAACCAAATGTTTTTCTGAGATTTATTCCTTCTACTATTATATACACATTATATACAATCTAACTAGCTATCGATTTATATGCATTCATATGGCACATGCTTTGAATATCCTAGGATTCACTTCTCTTGCAACATGTTGACTCTTCAAGAAAATGACGAAGAAAGAGCTCCAAAAGTCTCTACCTGATCATCGAAGCAAGTTACGTGGGAGTCTGTAAACCACGACCATCAGATAACAAAGTTGCAGCTGAAGTATAGGTTTTTGCAAGATAAACATACCTCTTTTGTAACGGTTCTGCAGAAAAAAGTTGCAGTTTATCTTCACTCACGCAGCCAAGTATACCCATGTCCTGGTTATGTGCATACTTCACATCAAGGATGGGATGATGATGTGGTTTAAGATTCTGGGTCACATTGAAACTTGGTAATTCCTTTAACCTCAGTCCACGGGTTGTTTCATCTCCATATGCAAACAATGGGAAGCAATTCTGCATGTTTATAATAGCTGTCCTTGTCATTTGACCGTTGCTTAAATAGGCAGATGTAGATCCCAAGTTACGATAATGGCTATCGGCTATTCTCTTGACAAGAACTTGAGAACAGAGTGGGGAATTGACAGTAGCATTTGATTTCTTGGATTTGGAATGATATGAAGCAACAATGTCATTGCTTAATGAACCATAAGCGAGTGACATACAAATGTCCTGATTTTCAAATCCAGGAACCGGAAATGGCCTTCAGCAAAAGTAAAGACAAGTCAGCACTGGCCATCCGATTAAAGTACGAAAACAAAGTTCAAGTTGACCAACCTTTTTCCAGTATCAGTGTTCCAGACACATGGTCCCAAAGGGGAACCTGTAAGCAGGTTTCGAGAATTGGAACCAAGAACAGGGTTTTGCACAAGGGAGTATATTGTATGAATTGGCCTGGGCATTGGACCAACCATGGACTGCAAAGGATTCTGAGTCCGGCGCATATCAAATACCAAAAGCATTCCATTCTGCAAAATTAAAAATGAATTGAAGCAGTTTTAGAATGTCAAATAACTAAAATATCAGATGGACGGCTAGCATGTGGAAGAGAAATTTAAGGCAGGACTCTTACCAAACCTTGGCAAGAATGGTACTTTCTAACTTTTCACTCTCTCAATAATATCAAGCAATAAAACTAAGAATTGAAAAGTAATTCTTAGAATATGGTAGACTTAGATTATAGTGAATTACATCACAAAAACATATGGAATGCTCTACACAATTAGGGATCAAACCTGCAAGCCAGCATACACATAATGAGGGCCGTTTAGATCCCACGAACATGACCAAGCTGGGACCTAGAAACACAACTTGTACGGTAAGGAAAATCCAGAAAGGTTAAATTGACAAAATTTAAATAGTCAAGGAAGCCATACCCTTAGATTATAGCTCATGACAATATTGTTGCTTACCATGCTAAACAAAGAAACACTCCAGTTCAGTTGGTTGCTACAAAAAAAGTCCAAAGAATGAACACACTGAATAAAAGGACACAATGATTCACCTAAGTATCGATAATTTCTTCCCAAGTGAAGCCAGAACGGTGAGTCTACCACAAGGAGAAATTTGTATATCCTTAACAGCCTTTGTGCTAGGAGGAAGCCATATATCTTCATTTTCATGAGGATTAATCAAGTTAATCTGCAGAAAAATAAATCTTAAACCCACGAGATTCAAACAGTATAAATCAGATGTGTAAATGTAACTAAACTCAGGTTAGTTCTTCCTGTTCACACAAGAGGTTTACCTTGTTGAGCATATGCATCCCACCCATCCCAGCAATTCTTCGACTGAGAATCAGATTTTGATAAGAGAAGTCCATGGCAAACATCCTTCCACCTTCTATGGCCAACTCATGCTGTCAAGGTTAACGATTTCAGTATTAAACATGACCGATGTGATCTTTTTGAAAGGAAGAGTCAAAACATTAACCACAAATCAACAAAAGAAACAATGGCACAAGTCTACACAAGCTTGGAACATAACACTAAGAGAACCTTAGGATATAAAGCCCATAACCATGTTAAGGAGAAACGAAAATTCCAAGTGAACATGATCAACAAAAATGGGGAAATACTTGACTGGCTGATATGGGAGAAGTCTATCAGATAACATTCCAATTCTTTCTTGTCATAAATAATGATCAAACAATATATAGGAACACATAATAACCCTTTCATTACAAACTCGTAATAAGCCTTTCACACTAACAGAAACACTCACGTAATAAAATTTAACACCAGAACAGTGAAAACAGGCACCTGATCATGTTTAAGAAAAATAAAGAAAGAATAACAGAAACAGACAGACCTGTAATTTAAAGTTGCAATGGAGGAGTTGTTGTTTGGAAGAATATGACCCGAAGGAAAAACCTGCGTTATCAAATGACAGCAATTAAAATCAACCACTAATTCTGTCATGTTGTCACACATATTGCAATATCAGCTTCATATCAGAACATTCAATATAAACATGAACTGCATAAAAAGCTATGAAATCTTAGTCTGAAAAAGCAAGACCAATAGAGGTGAAAATACAAATATATGAACTGAAATCATATTCATTAAGTCAATCAGGCTGAGAGATTACCAGATGGTGCACCCTGAGCTTCCTCTGCATTAATGAATTGAAGAGGTTTGCTCCCCATCTGCACAAATGATGTGTTCTCTACACAAGCTGGCTTCTGGAAAACCAAAATAAGCCCGTCAGGACAAAGAAAAGGGAAGAATGAGAAACCCTTAGAAGGAACTAAGACAAGCTACAATAAAAGGATACAGTGTGCTCATTTCAGAAAAGGTGGATGCATCAAGAGAGCATGATTGCTAAGAGAAAGTTATTGATATTTTCTTAAAATATAGATCATTATGAAATTCAACACCATATCAACTAGGAATTTAAGTTGTCACTTTAAAATTTGTCGTTGAAAGCTAATGGTTTATGCATTTCATATTTTTAGGAAAAGTTAACTTCCAATAGAAAACAACAGCCCAGGAAATTAAGATAGGAAAGAGAATGATAACAAAGTGATATTACTTTTCATATGCATAAAAAGGAATCTTTTTTTAAGAACTTGGAACATTTAGGACTGAGGCCATGAGAATTAGATACAGGAACTAAAAACCACACTTAAAAGACTCAATTGGAAGACAACAAGATTCTCTCATAGACTACTTTTTAGAGAGAGAGACACATAACCATAACTGACTCTTTAGCTACTACATGACTATCCAATAATCTTCTAGAAATATCTCAATAATTTCTGAAATTATGATTAAAAAGGTTAAGCAGTATGCCATCAGAAGTTCATACTTCCTTGAGATTGCGTAATTCCTTGAGCAAATTATCTTGAATTTCAAGCAAGTTATCTTGTATGTCAAGCAAATCATCTTTCTGCATATAAAAGGGAGAGAATTATAGAACATCAGTTGCTGTTCTTGTAACAGCCAAATATATGGTATTTAGTGTATCAGTTATCATCATTAATTGTCTTACCTCTGTCTTAAGGGAGCCAATTTCATCCTCAAGAGATTCGACTTTCTTCAGAAAGAGAAATCTTTATTTAGTTTATGTGTGTGCACATTTACATAAAAAATGTCATTCCCAAAAGACAATGCCCAAGTATAACCTTTTGTAGCCCTTCATCAATAACTACCACTGGTGTTGCATAGAGCTTTCTAATATCCTTGAGTATGCACTTTGCATTGCACTGAGGACACTACAAAGAAGAAAAGCACGACTGAATCAAGAAAGAAATGAACAACAGCTTCTATAAAATTGCCGGAAGATGACAACTATATATAGACGAGTATACCTTTGTAGAAGGCAATGGACGTTGAAGCCACTTGCTAATGCAAGAAAAACCATACACATGCCCACAAGGAAGGCAGCTGCCACACATAACCATTCAAATTGGACGATCGAGCAAAATACATTAAGCAACATTCAAAATAAACAATGAAGTACTGGTGAAATCTAAAAATATAGACCCATTTTCAATAAAAAACATAATTTAGGATTCATCACAGTTTTCTACAGTTTAATTGCTTTATATGCCAAGGATTTGAAACTAAATTACATTCCAATAAAACCCATAAATTAATCATCTTCAATTAACAATCAATTAATCATAAATTCAAAAACATAGTCACAAATTACCTGTACATAATTATAAAAAACAAAAACAAAACTTCACAAATTATGATCACCGATCATTACTAAAAGGCTAAAAAAAACACTTGTAAAATTATGATCAGTGATTATTTTTTCTAACCTGACTTGATGATCACCTTCAGACCTCCATGGCTCCATACAAATAGCACAATTCAATCCATCCAAATCATATCCCTTAACTCTAATTTCCCTCCTCGTTGCTTCTTCAACAGAACTCTCATTCTCTTCTCTTGTTAAAGAAAACCCATCTCTCTCTTCGCTTCTTCTTTCATTGCTTCCTCTTTCTTCTCCTTCTTCTACTACTTCACTATCAATTACCATTGGAGTACTCTGATCACTATCAATATCAGTATCAGTAGTTAACGATCTTGAAGAATTAAACATGACTGAAACTTCTCTTCCACCTTGTTCTTGTGGTCGGGTTTCTATACGTAAGGATGCTAACATTGTACCGATGTTTTCTTGTCGGATATGTGAACCAAAAGAGAAGTAACTGTTGCCATTCCTATTGCCATTTCCACTGTCAGCCATGGCAAGACAAGAAAGGTAGAAATGACTTTATTTTATTTTTCTAATTTTTTGGGTAGAGGTTCTTGTTATATATGAGTCGAGTTACCTGACTTAACTTTACGCATGCGTTTTCTCACATACGTCAAACTTAAGTGAGCTGCAGGGAATTTATCCACCGTTGGATCATCATAAGTTTTTGTTATTTGACGGTCTATGTTTGGGTTATGACTAAGTGAGGTGACTTGTAAAGAGTGGAACGGTACATTAGATTTCCTCGTGTTCGGTTTTATTAATGAAAATGAAAAGGTCATGGGACGAGGATCCTGGTGCATTTGCCATGTCGTCGGTTGCAATCATGAAAATCAAAAAAATTCGCTTGGGATACCCTCAGGTTAGTATGCAATCTATACAAGCCTTTTAATTTTGGTCCTCAAAGTATATTTTTAGGTAATTGGGTCCGAAATGCATCTAGGAATCCTTAATTTGTTCCTTCTGTCGAAAAATAGGAATAACTTTGTCTAATAGATGGGTGCCAAATTGAGAAAAGGCTCAGGTAAATTTGTTGCTGAAAGGATCAAATTGAGGATTTTTTGATAGATTGAGGATCCAATTGAGAAAATGGTTATAGGGAGTAGACTAATATAAGGTTGCCTCAATTTATTATTGTTTTTGTTATGCTAGGATTAATAAGAACAGGAAAAAAAAAGCATTAAATGAAAAATAAAGAAAAAGATAGAACTGGTAATTGATTCTCGGAACATATTCTGTCCCCTTCAGAAGTAAAATTACTCCTTAAATAGTCAAATTGTAATAAGCCACAGGATCGCCCTTGGTTGGTTGGGCTCAACTTAAATGGCCTGAATTTTGGTAGAATAATGGGCCTTCGAATTTCTTGAACTTTTCTAGTTTTCCACAAAATCTCATAAGGCCCAACACCAGAATTTACAAGCTGACTGGCCCAAGACAGAGATCCGTTCGTGTCCGCTATACATATATATTTCATACCGCAATATCTAGGGGAGAAACATCATTATTATTTTTTTACGTGAAACATATTTTAATTAAACATAAATATAATTAACATAATATAAAAAAAAATGGATGCAATTGAAAGCCCAAATTTTCATTCCTAATGGGGTATATGTGATTTTCTTTTTAGATATCGCAAGTATTCTATTATTATTTTAGATTAGTTATGTTGAATTCTGTCGAATATTTTATCGATATTCAAATGAGTCTAATGCAGAAGAGCTTAAATTTCACCTTTTTTTGGATATATTTATTCGTTAATGTATATCTATATAATAATAACAATAATAGTAAAATAGATTAAAGTCATATATACTGGACGGCATTTTTAAAAGTCATGTATTGTGAAGATTTACTTTAAAGTGATATAGGCGTGTGACAATTAATTGTTTCCTCTAATTTCTATAGTGAAAAGAGATTAAGTATGTTAGTTTTGTTATAATAATAAAAAAAAAAAAAAAAACAAAATCAAAAGAAATGGAGGAGAGATACAGAATAAGAGCTATACAATATAAATAAAACTGATGTAGTTAGAGGTGATATATTTCACTATGTGGTGATTGATTTTTAAAAAAAAACAAAAATCATTTCGTGCTCTTATACTACCAATTTTTAATCATTCAAACCCATCTACTGAATTCTATATATATATATTAAAATAATTACGACATTCTAACTCTTTCATCCATTTTCATCACCCAACTAACTTAACAGCGTCAAATGATTTACTACCCAGTCAGATCCTATCAACCCATATTTGAAAACATAATTTCAAAATGAGAATCTTTTTTAAAAAAAAAATTGAAAATAATAACAAGGGTAATTAATTATTATTTAAAAATGAAAATAAATAACAATAAAAGAAAAAAAGATTGATTTTTTAAATAATAATTTGTTTTCAACTTTTTAGAAAAAGATTGATTTTTTTTTAAATAATTTTTTATTTCCATTTATTTATTTTTAATTTTTAAATAATAATTAATTAATTTTTAGCAAAACCATTTTTTTGTTCTCTTTTCTAACCCATGTTAGACATTCCATTTACCTGCCTTAGCTGACAACTTTCCGCAGCTATCAAAACCAAATTTAAAAGCTAAAATGATAAAGTAAGACACCCTTCTGAAAAATAAATCTCAGAAAAAAAAAAAAAAGTTGTTAATTCCTTTAGGAAGCTTAACCATAAATGAAAAGCTAAAGATTTGGATTACGAAAATCTTGTGGAATGAATGTTTGGGATCTCCATTGTCAAGGACGGCTCAAAGCCCAATATATTGAAAGGCACCCAACAAGCATCTGTAGATTTAAGGCCCACTATAAAAATATTTCTCGATGTGTTTTAGCCGCCCTTATTCCTGCATATATAATTTCTCAAGTTTCTCAAGAAAAATGGTGAGGGGCTGAGAGTCATGGGGCTGTAAAAGTCTTCAAGAAACAACCTGTTTATCTCATCATTGTCATTCACAGAAATTGGCACTTTTAAAACATTAAAATCTGAACAAATTTCCCCTAACCACGTACGAGGAAATTATTGGCCTATTTTCTTACCATCAATTTAGGATATTTCGCATTGTCTTACGTACGTAAATAGGATGAGACCTTAACGCAATAAATTTATTTCAAATCAAGGAGCTGAGTTAATACTCTGTAGATTCCTAAATAATGCATTTCTCATACATCTTTAATTTGCATATATATATATATATATATATATATATATATATATATATAAGAAGATATGCAGAGAGAATTAAGATGCTGAAAAATTAGCAGTTTGCTTATAAGATGAAAAGAGCGCTGATAGTCCTACTTATCTGCCTTACACTATAAGAAAACTGTAGATTAGTGTGTAAATTAACAACTAAAATAAAACTATAGTTATTTAAGGATGGTTTTGTGATAAAATGACGATCAATAAGTTTTAAAACGAAATTATGACGAAAAGTTAACAACGAATAAAGTTTCGTGGCTAATTAACATGGTATAAATAAGTGCATGTTTAATCTAGTGACGGACTTATGATGAAAATTAGAGACGGAATAATTCCATCCCTAATTCCCATTTCAAAAAAATCTCGTTGTCTTCTCCAGCGAAGGCACAAATGCCAGAGGATTTGGTGGTTCTTGTGGCGAAGGAGGCAGATTAGGTCATCATGGACATGGTAGAAACGGCTCAGTTGCCTCCTCTAGTTACTCATATTAATTGTTCAAATATTATTGCTTCCTCTATATGATTTCTTGTATTTCTGAGCTTGCTTTGTTGCTCATGTAGTGCTAGCTAATTGATCAGTCTTAATTTAATTACTTTCTGCTTAATTATATAAAATAAGATTTTCTCTTATCTCTATCTGTTTTTTCCTTCTTTTTTTTTTTTCTGAAATAAAGGCAATGCCTTGTCTTTATTTCCTTAACCCTTTTCTTGAAAGACAATGAATAAAGTTCACTGTAAATTTGAAATTTTTTTCATGTATACTAGTTTCAATATTTGAATAATTAAAAGAAAAGAACAAATTTTGTTAATCATTAAATTAATCTCTTAAAATTATGTTTATATATTCAATAGTATTGATTTAAGCGGAAGAGACTTTAATAGTTTAAATATGTGGTTTCGAGTTTGAATTCTTGTATATACTAAAAACTCTTTGAATATCCGTATTCATTTTGTATATCCGATAAAACAGTGAGAAATTAATTTAAATTTTTGGGTTTAAAATTGATGACTTTAGGAACACCATTTAATAATCCAACATTATATCGTAGTATTATTGGAAGGCTTCAATACCTTGCCTTAACAAGACCATACATATGCTTTGCAGTTAATAAAGTAGCACAGTTCATGCATACTCCAACCTTGGATCAGTGGTCTGCAGTCAAGAGGGTTTTGCGCCATTTGGGTTCCACCACTGAACGTGACCTACATTTCAGGCCGGCTGTTTCATTAACTTGAATGCCTACATAGATGCCGATTGGATGGTGATATAGATGATAGGAAGAGCACTACAGGGTTGCCATTTGTCTAGGAGGAAATCTTGTGTCCTGGTGCTCCAGGAAACAAAAAATAGTTGCACATTCGTTTATGGATGTAGAGTATCTTGCATTAGCAACCACTGCCTCTGAAGTTACTTGGATTAAATCTCTCTTGCAGAAAATAGGAGTTGTAGTAACAATGGCACATGTCATATGGTGTGACAACATTTCTGTCACCTACCTTGCAACAAATTCAATTTTTCATGCTCGATCTAAACATTTAGAGATCGATTTTCACTTCATCAGGGATAAGATAAAGAAGAAGGAATCACAATTAGCTTCATCTCAACCAATGATCAGGTTGCAAATGTCCTGACCAAGCCATTATCCAAGCCATAGCTCCTTCTATTATGTGACAAGCTGAAGTTGCATTTTGCTGAGGGAGGATGATAAAGATACGAATAAAGATAAAGATAAAGGATAAACACCACTCTAGCTAAACTGAGAATTCTAGACTTTGTAACAGACTTAAATTCTCTAACTCCTATAAATAAAAGCACAATTATCATTGGATCATTATCAATTCTTGCATTTTCTATTATTTCTCTCTCTCTCTTTTGAATTAATGAGATCACATTATCAATTTAAAAATTGCATATAAAGAATAAGGCCTGAAAGAGCTCAAAACAATATATATATATATATATATATATATATATATATATATATATATATATATAAGAGGGTGGCCATCCTCTATTATATAATTATTAAATAAATTTAGTTATTAAAATTCAAATCTTGTTTTATTAAAATAATTAATTGGATACACAACAACTAAACTAAGTCTGCTTTTATGCCCAATAAGAGACTCATGATTAATTTCCCATGGCATCCCAAGAAATAAGAAAGCAGCAGCCAGCAATGTCGATCTCATCATCACTAGACGCACTCTTCTTGGGACATGAAGCAAACAAAGCAACACCAGTGCATCCTCGTACTCATCAATGGAAAGACATGATGGCAATCAAAGAAAAATATTCAGCTGAGGACTTAGCGTTACTCAGCCAGACTCGAGGATCAACACAGAAATTGTGATAGCGCAGGGGAAAAAAAAACAATTAAGAACTGAAATCCAAGCCCACCGTAGAGAAATAGAGAACAGTTCCAAGAGGAACCACAGGAAATGAAAACTAGAAAATTAAGGAGAACACACGCAGCAACAAATGACAGAGACGAGTGGAAACACAAGACTGCACAGCATAGAATTTTTGAATCAAAAGAATTAAGGAAGATCCTCCGGCTTGATAACTATTTTTGGGTTTGGAGATGCGTATGCAAGAAATTCAGGATCTTGAGCTAGTATAGCCATTCTCTTTTCATCTAAGTTAATCCATGCCTCGAGTGATCCTTCGCTCCATTTTGCTTCAACAAGTGTAGCAAAATTCATAAATGCTGGACCAACTTTGCCAAAAGCACCAAGCCAAACTGGTGCCCCAGTTCCAAAATCCACACCAAGACCAAGACCAGACCAACTTGTGATTGCAAACCTATCTGGTTTATCTTCGGCGAGTATATTTTCAAGTTTGTTTAGACCATCAGAAATGGCTTGAAATCCTTCATTACCTTGCATACTTTCCAGGAAATTCTGATCATCCATTATGCGGACAGCTTCACTTATTAAGTTGGCCAATTCATGCAACTCCGTGTCTGCCTCCGGATTAGCTACTGCCTCGGCACACCAAATTAGGTTTTCAATAGCACCATCAACTAAGCGAGGCTTCGTCCGCGCCCGCAAGTTCACAGCATGTCTCAAAAAGCATGGCCTTGGGGAGCTTAAGATTGCAAGAGATGTGGCCATATAACGTTTCCAAATGAAACTTGACAGTGCTCGAGTTCGAGATGGCTTAGAATCACTGTCACTTTTGGCCTTGTCCCTCAATGTTTCTATTGCCTTGGCTTCAAACACGAATCTCTTTGTGATAGTTTCATTGTTTTCCCCAAACCACAGGTCATCTATCATAGAGAATAGTTGCCTCGGCAAATCATTTCTTGGTGGAAACAATAAAGATGCCTTTGCTAGGTTAGGGATCAGTGTTTCAAAATCACGAGAAGACGACCCACGGTTCATGGCAGACCATACACTCAAGAAAGTGGAAGCAGAGCCCCCATCACCAAGCTTGTGTGATATGCACCCACCAAGTGCTACTCCGCCACAAGAAAATATGCTCAGCTGAACAATCGTTAAGGGTACCTCATCATGTCATTCTTTGGCAAAAGGTTGACATGGAAGGAATTGATTTAAAGATTCGATTTGTGGGTCTTCAAAAAATTCAGACAAACTACAATTAACTTTGGCTTCCAAAAATGGAATACCTTCGTCAAAACGATCAACGAACATGTTGTCATTTACCCTGCCAGAAAATGGGTAGAGAACATTCAGAGTCGCCGAGAGAGACCTTTTGAATCTAGCTAAGAGTTGGGGGGCATCTATATCTGCATTACTATTAGAGTAGAAAAGTATGAGTGGAGAATAGCAAGTGGGAGTGAGCTGGTCAAGAAGGCAAAGTTTGTAGGGTTGTAGATTGTGAATTATTGGTGAAGATGGTTTGATGATTTCTCTTGAAATGACTTGAACTTCTATCTTCCCCATAATTTGCACACACATGCTTTGCACCAAGTAGTTCTTTTACCTTTAATGGTTTTTGTGCTCTCTTCTCCCATCTCCATATGTTTTTATAGCTAAAGATTAAAGAATGACGGCAATAAATTTCTGAAATGGTTGGTATCAAGTTTAAATTGAGCTACGGTTGGGATGCCAATCCTTGCCTTTATATCTCTATATGATTTGGACAGTTCTATATTTTAATAGATAATAAATTACGATGCAGACAATATTAGTTGAGAAAAAAATCTGCATGGGCTCGTTCAGATTTTTTTGGTTAATTCATTAGAGTTTTTCCCATTTAGTTTGATCCGTGAGATTTAGCAAACACCTCACGAGTTAAATGTTTGTTTTCTTAAATATTGATCAAGCTAGGAGCCCAATCTCGATCCCTTTAAGTTATAATAATAACCCAGTTTTCTATTCTGGAAGAGAGAGAGTTACCACAGGATTAAAGGCTAATGGTGGAATCATATATATATATACTGTGAACGGAATTAATTGACTTTGTTAAATTTATGAATAGTAAATTAATTATGGGATAAGGGCATAACGATCAACGAACCATATCACTATATCCAGTTTGGAGGAGGGTCCATGACAGTATGGTGTACACTACTAAATATAAATTTACATGCTATATTAAAAGGCCATCATCCGATGTTTCTAGGTCTGATTCAATGAAGGAAAAACTTATAGAAAGACGATTAAGTATGTGCAAATTATGTGCAAATTAAGGGTTGGCATAATCACTTCTAATTCAGGTTTATCGTGAAGGTAACATGTGTACATTTCGAATAGCAAACTTGAGGTTGGATCGTTATTTTTTTTTATATTTGGTTTGAGTCTTTCACTGGTAATTTGGATTCTCTGCTTAGAGAAGACTTAACCAGAAGGGTTGTTTCTCGTTTTTGTGTCATTTAGTTGTGAGTTTTCTGAACCTTTGGTCTCGGTTTTTAACCCAAAAAAAAAAAAAAGTGTATGTGTAAATTAAGAGAGATAATTCTCTATTAACCTGGACAATTTTCTACGTCTCCATTTGTGGCACTCTTTGAAGCATTTCCATAATTATTTATAGCAACATTCATTGATGAAAAAGGCTTTTAAAAGGATAGCGAGCGTAGAGAATTAGAAAAGCAATTAGCAAACTTAAATAATGAAACCAGAAATTTGGATTTGGATTCAATCACTTGATACAGAACATATGCATATTATAGCATATTTTAATTACATTAATACTAACTGCTGTAAAGTAGTCTGTTGGACAAATTACTGACAACACAGGGCCTTCTCTATTCAAGCACACAAGCTTAGATTTCACCTTCGTCTATATTAGTGTTTATTAATAAAAGCTAGCAATGCAAGAAGATTCATGCATGATGCAGGCTTGGAAATTATTTTTGGATTTGGGGATGCATATGCTAGAAATTCAGGATCACGTTCGAGTACTGCAGCCATTCTCTTTTCCTCTAAGTTCATCCATGCCTCAAATCGTTTACCCCGTCCTGTTTCAATCAGTGTAACGAAATTGCTAAATGCTGGACCAAGTTTCCCAAAAGCAGCAAGCCAAACAGCCTCCCATCCTCCAACATTGACACCTCCAATATGATGATTGGATCCACTTGTAATAGGAAACCTGTTAGGTTTTAGCTTTCCAATCCTTTCTTCTCGCAGGTTTAGACCTTTAGAAATGACTTCAAATCCTTCATCACCTCGTAGACTTTTCAGGTAATCCTGATCCTGAAATTTTTGCCTTAAGTTTATGGGGTTGGAGATTGTGAATTGTAGGTCAAGATTTTTTAATGATTTCTTTGGAAATGATACGAACTTGTGTCTTCTCCATATTAACAAATTAATAATGCCTTAAGCCAAATTATTTGTGTTGTTGTTTTTTTTTTTTACCTTGGTCAAGCATATATAAAGGCGTTTTGTAGCTGCTTTTTCTGTACGTAGCTCTTGATTGTTTTTTCCTTTTTTTTTATTCATTTTTTTAGAAGAAGCTGGCAGAAAATTTAAATTTGCTGATGGGGTAGGTCACATGTCCAGTCATAGACTATTCCGGATTTTGCTTTGTTTTGAATCCTAACCATATTTAGTAATAAATAGAAAAGATGACGCTTCCGGATTTTGCATTATTTTGAATCCTAACCATATTTAGTAATAAACAGAAAAGATGACACCGTTAGCTGTCATCGTCAAAGAAGTACGTATAATTCAACCCTATTTTTAGGTTCATAACAATTTAAAACTTTTACTATTAATTTGGTTTATTTGTGCATTAAATTATTATTTTCTAGATGAATGTTATTCTCTCTTTGTTATTTTTTACAACCAAAACATTGATCGGTAACTTAAACATTTAATTTTTTTTTAATGGCAAAAATTACTCCAAACTATTGAAGTTTAGGTTTTTTAAAGTCTTTACTAATAATTTAGATTATTTGAATTCTAAACTATTATTTTATGGCATCTAATCATTTCAAGTTTTTTTTTTTAATGGCAAAATTACCGCAACTTATTGAGGTTATGAAAATTTAAGGTTTTTACTATCAATTTGAGTTATTTGAACTCCAAATTATTATTTTATGAGCAAATATTATCATTCTTCTATTATATTTTACTTGTCAAAGTGTTGACCGTTAACTAAAATACATAAAATTCAAATAACTTAAATTGATAGTAAAAACCTTAAATTGTCATAACTTTAATAGTTTGAAGGCAATTTTTTCATTAAAAAAAAATTAAAATGTTTAAATGACATTGTTTGAATATTTAAATTAATGGTCAATTAATGTTTTAACCGTAAAAAAAGAAGGACAATATTTGCCTTAAAACTAAGAGTTCCAAGTTCAAATAATTTAAATTAATAATAAGAAACTTAAATAGCTATAACCTGATCAGTAGTTTGGATGTAGTTTTTGCAGTTAAACCTAAAAAAAAAAAAATAATAACGGTAAAAAATTACAAACAAAATAATAATTATACTTTTTCTCCCATCTTGATATGTTTTTATAGCTAAAGATTAAAGAATGACCACAATAAATATCTTCAAATGAGTGGTACTAAATTTAAATTGAGGTACGGTTGGGATGCTAAACGTTGCATATATATATATATATATATATTATTTGGACAGGCCTATCATTGATAGATAATAAATTAAGATGCAGACAATATTAATTGAGAAAAAATTCTGCCTGAGCTCGTTCAGATTTTTTTGGTTAATTATTCATTCGAGCTTTTCCCATTTAGTTTGATCCGTAAAATTCAGCAAACACCTCACGAATTCAATGTTTGTTTTCTTAAATAGTGGACAAGGAGCCCAATATCTTTTCGAGTTATAACAACCCAGTTTTCTATTCTTGAAGAGAAAGAGTTCCCACTGGTTTAAAGGCAAATGGCGGAACCTTTTTTTTTTTTTTTTTTTTTGGGGGGGGGGGGGGGGGGAATGGTTAATTAATTATGGGATAAGGGCACAAAGCTTAACGAACCAGTGCTATATCCAATTTGGAGGATGGTCCATGATATTATGGTGTGCATTACCAAAATAAATTTACATTCTATATCAACAGGTCATCTGATCTTGCTTCTGAGGGCTGATTCACAGAAGAAAGAAAAAACTTTTGAGGTCAATAAAGAAAGGATTGAGTATGTGCAAAATAAAGGTCGGCAGAATCACGTTTATCATGAAAGTAACATGTGTACAGTTTGGTTACTGAATTTGATGTTGGAATGTATTAAAAGTTAGTATTGTTGAATCCAGAACTGATCGTGATATTATAGATTAATTTATTTGCAGCAAAACACTGTCAGCAAATACAAAATGAGAAGGAGGACAGAATTGCTGCCATCTACAAAATTAAAAAGACCTTGGCCAACTAGAAAAGAGCGAGTTGAGTTAAGCTGGGGCATGTTTTCGCGGAAGAAATAGAAACGTCGGAAACCATGATATGCAATGTTGCAAAGAGGCTTTGATACCAACTTATATCACAAGTCTATTTGAAGAAAGGTGTTTTGCCTGTACTAATTTTAGTGAGACTCGCTGAATATAATATAAGTAAATTAGTTACAAAAGATGCGTTACAAATGACATCAGTAAAAAATAAATATAAAAGAGTTAGCTAAAAATAATAATAAAAAACTAACCCAAACTCTATCCTACTCTATGTTAGACTTATCGATAAGAGTCTGCATTGAAGGAAGAGTTTGAACTGAAGAGAAAATCCTACAAGAATCACGCGTTAATAATAAATGTATAAGAGTCAGCTAGAAGTAGCAATAAAAAACTAACTCAATCTCTATCCTTCTCTCTATTCGACTTATCGATAGGAGTATCCATTGAAGGTCAATCTCTATCCTACTCTCTCTTTGACCTATCGATAGGAGTATGCATTGAAGAAAGAGTTTGAACTGAAAAGAAAATCCTACCAGAAACCCCGTGTTAATAGATTGTTATTCTTCTTTTATTTGATTTGAATCTCTCTCTTTGATAACTTGGGTTCTCGCTTAGAGAAGACATAGCAGGAAGGGTTGTTTCGCATCTTTGTGTTATTTAGTTGTGTTTTTTGAATCTTTAGCCTCGGTTTTCAACTCAAATATATGTGTGTGTGGGAACTAATTCTCTATTAACCTAGACAAATTTCTACGACTCCATTCGTGGCGCTCTTTCAAGCATTCTCATAATTATTTATATCAATATCCATTAAAAAAAAAGGGGGTTTTGAAAAGGACAGTGAGCACAGAGAATCAGAAAAGCAATTAGCAAGTTCAAATATTGACACAAAAGTTTGGATTTGGATTCAATCACTTGATACAGAACATATGCATATAATAGTATGTTTTGATTACATTCGTAATTGCTGTAAAATAGTCTGTTGACTCAAATTATAGACAAAATGCATGGGTGATGTGGAGTTTTTTCGGGCACATATCAATAAAAAGGGCCCATGAGTCTACAACTTTAAAATTCATCAGGGCCTTACAAACATTCATAACTCACCGAAAAGAACTGACCCATAAATCGGATCCAAAATTTCCAAAATGATTCCTACTTTGTTAAGGAAGGAATGATAGAAGAGCGCTAACACTTACATAGGCTCTCTTTAATTCAAACAGGAAAGGACACCCAAGTTCTTTGCAGATACCTACTTTTGTTAAGGAAGGAATGATAGAGGAGCGCTAACACTTACATAGGCTCTCTTTAATTCAAAAAGGAAAGGACACCCATGTTCTTTGCATACAACCATGTTCTTTCCATCATGCAAGTTGCTTTTATAGTTGCTCAAGAATCCTGAAAAAAAAAAGAAAAAAAAAAAAAAAAAAGAAAAGTAGGTTCCAATTCACACATATGTAAGAACTAAAAATAGATTCTAAAAATACACTTCAAACATATTTATTCTATATAACTTCTTTTCTTCTATCAAATTACATACAAACTAATATATACTACTATAAAAGTAAAGTTTTTTCTAGATCAATTCGTCACTTTTCGATTATTAATTTGAGTGTCAAAAGTTCTCATCCAACTAGATAGATTTATTTTGCAATTATACAACATAAATGAAACTTTTTTCACTTTCCATGATCGTAAAACAATTATCATTGTCATCTTAAATCACATATCTTAAATTTGTTAGACAAATCGATCAAAAACTCATCAATAGGGCCTTCTCCATTCAAGCGCATGCGCTTAGATTTCACCTTTATCTATTTTAGAGTTTATTAATATAAGCTAGCAATGGGGGAAGATTCATGATGAAGGCCTGGAAATTATTTTTGGATTTGGGGATGCATATGATAGAAATTCAGGATCACGTTCTAGTACAGCCATTCGCTTTTCCTCTAAGTTATCCATGCCTCAAATCCTTTATCCCGTCCCGTTTCAATCAATGTAACGAAATTGCTAAATGCTGGACCAAGTTTTCCAAAAGCAGCAAGCCAAACAGTCTCCCATCCTCGAACATTGACACATTCAATATGAAGATTGGACCAACTTTAAATAGCAAACCTCAGGTTTTTCCTTCGCAATCCTTTCTTCTAGCAGGTTTAGACCTTTAGATATGACTTCAAATCCTTCATCACCTTGTAGACTTTTCAGGTAATCCTGATCCTGAAATTTTGAGACAGCTTCATTCATTAAGTTGGTTAATTCATGCAACTCCATGTCTGTTTCAGGGTTTGCTGCTACTCTGCACACCAAAATAGGTTTCCAATTGCTCCATCCAATAAGCCTGATTTTATCCGCGGCCGCAGGTTCACCGCTTGTCTAAAAAAGCATGGTCTCGGAGAGCTTGACACTGCATGAGATGTGGCCATGTAACATTTCCAAAGGAAAGCTGACAGCGCTTGAATTCGAGATGGATTAACCGTGCTTTCCCCTCTGGCCTTGTTCCTTGGGGTTCCCTATCGCCTTGTGATCAAACACAAATCTCCTTGTAACATAGTTACCTTCCTCAAACCATATGCTTTCAAGTAGAGATACGTTGTTTTGGGGCAACTGATTTCTTGGTGGGAACATTAACGCTGCGTTGTTAAGATTTGGAAGCGCTATTTCATCTCTAGGAGAGCCACAGCTAATGGCAGCCCCTACACTGAAGAAAATGGCAGCAGTTGCTCCATCACCAAACTTGTGTGACATGCAGCATCCAAGTGCTATTCCCCCACACGAGAATAGGCTCACTTGGAAAACTATTAGAGGCAAGTCGTCGCGTAATTGCTTGGTGAAAGGTTGACGTGGAAGGAATTTGTTCAAGGATTCAATTTCTGGATCATCAAGAAATTCTGACAAGCTACAGTTAACTTGAGCTTCCATAAGCGGAGCACCTTCGTCAAAATGGTCAACAAACATGTTATCTTTTACCCTACCAGAAAACGTGTAGAGCACACTCAGGATCTCTGACATAGATTTTTTGAGGTAAGCTATGAATTGGGTGGCATCAGCATTGGCTTCCCTCTTGACGTAGAAAACTATAAGTGGAGCATAATTTGAGGGAGTGAGCTGGTCAAAGAAGCAAAGTTTATAGGGTTGGAGATTGGGAGTTGTAGGTGAAGATGGTTTGATGATTTCATTGGAAATGATACGAACTTGTGTCTTCTCCAGTCTAACAAATTCCCTTAAAGCCAGATTCTTTGTGTTGTGGCTTTTTTCCGTGGTCATTCATCCATATATAAAGGCTTTCTAATAGTTGGTTTTCCCTTACGTAGCTCTTGATTGTTTTTTCTTTTAGAAGAAGCTGGCTGAAAATTTGAAGTTACGGTTGTGGGAGGTTATATGTCCACTCATAGACTATTCCAGAATTTGCATTATTTTGGATCCTGTCCATATTTAGTAATAAATAGAAAAGATGATCATCGTTAGCTGTCATCTTCCGAAGAAGTATAATTTAACCGTATTTTGTTTGTAATTTTTTCCTCATATTATTTTGAGATTTTATTGCAAAAAATATCTTCAACTTATTGAGTTATAGCAATGTAAGGTTATTACTACCAATTTGAATTATTTAAACCTCAAACTATTGTTTTTTAAACAAATATTACCTTTTTTTAATTATTATTATTTTTTTATCTTTGATGATCAAAGTATTCATCGTTAACTTGACATCATTTAAGCATTATAATTTTTTTTAATAGCAAAAATTACTTCAAACTATTGGGTTAAGGAAATTTAAGAAATTTATTATAAATCTGTGTTATTTGGATTCTAAACTATTATTTTATAAATAAATATTATCCTTCATTCTTTATTTTTTATGATCAAAGTGTTGATCATTAATTTAAATATTTAAATGATATCATTTAACCTCTCTCTCTCTTTTTGCCAAAGAAATTAATTTTTTTAAAAATTAAGATTGGTTAATAGGATGACATGTAGTCCTAATATGTGATGTTTAATCATTTTATTTTTTTTGCAAAAGAAAATTAATTTCTTAAAAATTTATAATACTGTTCAGTAGAAGGACATTGAATTGAACAAAGAGAGAGAAGGGCTGAATTAACCGAAAAATGATAATATTTATTCTAACAATTTGGAGATAATTTTTGTTATTAAACTATTTTTTATGGTTTTTAATCTAAAAGTTATCGATCTTCATTATAAAAAAAATATTTAAATGAAAAAAATCGTTACTATTTTAACATAAACTAGCCATAAGTGCAAGTTTCAAGTTGTAACTTTTCACCCATTTTACTTTTTTTCTCCCCTTTTTTGATGAATATAAAAATTTTATTGAAAAAGAACCAAAGAGTCAACTAGAAAATGACTCTAAAGGTATGCAAAAAGAGTACCCAAATTAGGCTCAGGTTAAAAGCTCATTCTGTCTGACTAAATCTTGTTTAACAAAATCATTTGCTATAGAATTACCTTCAATATTGATATAGATAGAGCCTATTTTCTTGATTAAACCAGAAATACAATTAAAAACGCTTTGAAATTTTCAAGGTTTCAACACAGGTTACTTGTTTCATGAAATGGTGTTTAGTCTGCACGGTACAAACATTCATAGTTTGTTTTGCAGTTTTGGGTTTTAGCTTAGACTATTTTGTGATATATGGAGAGTACTTAATTTTTGTAATTACAGTATAGAATGGGGTTGGAATAACAAACTGACTATGCAAAGTTTTAATATTGGTTTGTATACGTTAAAGAGTAATAATATAAATCTATGGTCTAGAGTTTCATCCAATAATTTAAATTTTTAATTGAAATGATTTTTGATATGGTATCAGAATTTTGATGATTAATTAATTATGAATTTGAATCTTATCACCTTTATTTTTCTAATCAAAATAAAATTTAAGCATAAAATAGTGATTGACCGGTACAAGTTTCAAAAGATGGTTTTATAATAATTATGAAAATTATATGGAAAAAATTATGGGTTATTTTTTCATATCTAGACTTTGTATTTTTTGAATTTATTTTATTGAGATTGTTCATTTTGTTTTTTTTTTACTTGATTGAAACTTTTTATTTTTTTATATTTGTTATTTCCAATCTTCCATTATAGTTATATCAACTATTTATTTTATTTGACATATTAATATTAACAACAATTAATTACGAATCGGCACATGACATTACATAGGTTCAAAAATAAAGTATTTTTGTTTATTTAATAATTAAATAATAGTTAAAATTAAAAAATTACAGGAGACCAACAAATTGCTCCCTGTATATATTTATCAGGCTTAACAATATTCATTGACACCAATTCAAGAAATATCTTCACAGCCTCATTAGGCTCCACATTCTGAGAATACCCAGAAATCAATTCTGTCCATACAACATTATCCTTCTCTAGAGCTTCGTCAAACAATGCCCTTACAGACACCATATCCCCAGCTTTTGCATACCCATCAATCATAGCTGTAAAACGAAATAACATTTCTCTCAACCATTTCATCAAACTCCTTCCTCGCTCCAATTAAATCCTCTGCTTTCATCGGCCCACCAATCATTGCATTCCTCGACGGTAATCTCCTCTCCTGAATTCTATCAAACACTCTATTAGCGTTTTCCAAATCCCTAACATTTGCATATCCAACAATCATTGGTGTCCAAGAAACCGCATTTCTGTCAGACATTTCATCAAATATCTTACGTGCACTTAATACCTCCTTACATTTACCATAAAAATCAATCAAAATAGACCCAACATACACATCATCACCAAAACCCCACACCATATTGCCGATCCATAAACAATTTCACCTTCTTTCAATTTCAAATTCGTTAGAACAAGCCTTAATAGCCGGTGAATAAGTGTATTTATCAGGTAATGCATGCTCGCTTTGTTTCCTTCGATTGAAGAGCAAAAATGTGTCATTGAATTGGGAGTTTTAAGAGAAGCTTTTGAGATGAAAATTTGGAGGAATGTTGAACTTAGGGATTTTAGGGTTTGTTGTGAGAGAGAACGAGTTTGTTATGAAAAAAACTGGATTTTGAAAAAATAAAGATGTGGTTGGGGGCAATTTGGTCTTCTTTTGTAATTTCTTTTTTAATTTTAAGTATTAATAATTATTAAAAATCATTTAATTTTTTTTATTCCAATAGAAACACTATATTTAAGACTCATAATGCGTCGTGTTAATAGTGAATTGTTGTTAAAATTAAAATATCATGTGACAGAATTATAACAAAAGATTTAAAACTATAAATCTAGGTGAGCAGCGGTCTCAATCAAGTGTTAAAAAAAAAAAAAACTCCATTAAAAAAAAATAAAAAATCCAAGGTTTAAATATAGAAAAAATTCAAAAATTATGTATATACTTAATGTTATATGATGCATAATCAAAGGATGTTGGATCATATACCATAAAAAAAATTGATATTACTAGTATTGAGTTATAATATTTAATCAAAGAATGTTGGATTATATTTCAAAAAAAATAAAACAATACTACTAGCATTGAGTTATTGTATGAATACAAGTTGAGGAATCCTAACTACAACGATCAAGAAGCTATTGCCACAACCATTACAATAAAAACAAACTAAAATAATTAATTACTATTTATTTCATTATATGAAACATTATTCATCTAGATTTATTTTATTATTCACTTAAACTTAGATGCATTATTCTTTTTAGTATGTAGCGATATTTTTTTAGTATTCAAATATTTTTATGATTTTATTATGAAAGTTTTGTGACATTACACTTTGGTTCCTCTTTTTTAAATATCATTTTTTTATTCTGTAAATATTTTTTATTTGATTTTGGTTTCATTTTTTTGTTTCATCGCTTTGATTCTTATTTTTTTTCCTTCGATTTTTTTAATTAAAAATTTTAAGATAAAAAGATGTTTAGAAAAAAATAATTTACAAAATAAGATTTTAGGTAAAATTGCCGATTAACACAATGAAATTGATAGTTGTTTTTCTGAAACCCATTTCATGTTTTTACTGACCCTTGAACTTATGTTAGTGTAGATATTGATCTTTAAAACGTTTTAAAAAAAAAAGAAAATACAAATAAAATAAAATAAAAGGTGTCATTTCGCTAGAACTTGTGTGCCAATGTATTAAATAATAATCCAAGTAAAAGATATGATATTTGGGCATCCGATGTTCTGAAACATTGGATCATTTTGTTGAATTGATGAAGCTTTAAATTTGACAGATGGAGCCGTTGGAAATCTGAAAAGTCATTTATAATTGATGAAGCTTTAAACATTGGATCATCTGTACGTAGGCCGTAAGGGTCCTCCAAAGGGAAAATGTATTAATTATAGTTGGGTGGGTTTCGTATCTCAAAATTCAATACGACCATTAATAAACAATGCAAAAAATCAACATATGTCCAAATCAATATACTCTGTCTAATTGATGACACATTCTCCTCTCTCTTTTTTCGTGATTTTAAATGCTTGAAGTTATTTGCTTTCATGATTAAGTATCTGATTTTTATTTTTATTCAAATAAGTGTTTGATTTTTTATTTTTTTTTGCACAATAAAGTGTCTACATAATTTTTTGGTACTCAAATACTTATGTATATGTTAAGTGATGATTTTATAGGTAACATTTAGGAATGACATCATTAATAAAATACCACGTCGCTGAGTTATTGGGGGAGGGGGGGGGTTTCCTTCCGAAACCTAGCTAAAAAATAGATATATATTTGTATTTAATACTAATTATTTTCTAATATTCGATTAGGTTTTGGAGGGAATTTTTCCGTCTTGTTAAGCGAAGCACAAACACAACGATTTTCCTCCTAGGCAGAGTAGAACATAAGGGAATTCACTTACACTTTCTCTTTTTGTGACTATTTGGTTAAGTTGTTCTTGATCCTCCTTGAAAAACTTTGATATAGTTATATTTGTTGTTTGTTAATGACAATTAGTGTGCTTAAGGATAGTTAATGAGTATAAATCATGTAAGATTCATAAGAAAAGAATAGTGTTAATTATCAACAAAAATTCTTTACTACAATGGAAACAGCATGCTTAGTGCTTCCATGCATATTTTTAAAAAACTTGATTTGTTAGTGAAAATTATGTATTAAAATTGAAAAATCAATCTTCCTCTAAATACAACTAAACCATCAACATTTCTACTTTGGTTAAAAAGGGGCCAAAGGCCTAGAGAAATCAAAGAAATTAACAGAATTGCAGGATACCGATCGAGCTTCCAATAAAAACATAAAACAAGTGCAAACCAATTCCACTAGCAGAGTTAAAATCAATATCAAGTGCAACTTTTTCTGTCTTCGGGTACCTTGAGACTAAGTCTCTTTGAAATTACTAAATTTTTATCTCATTTCTTCTTCCTTTTTTTTTTGTGAAAAAAATCCAAAATTTTAATCTCTTAAAAATATTAATTAATCGCATTTTATTGTTTCACATAAATCGCACCTTAAACGACATATTAAAAAACAATAATCCAAATCTCAAGTTCCTTAGCAAATCTGTATGCACTTCCGACACTTCCAAGTCAGCAACTGCAACTGCGTACGGAGAATCAATAGAATCGGTCAAAAGTATGTCGCCTTCTTACCCCTATTTTTTAAGAAATGTGCCGCGTCCTTGATTCCCAAGTTTTCTAAATTAATGGCTACTGACTTCCTTAGCCGTGTCAAAAATCCATTATTTATGGTTCATAATTTTTTCTGTAGCAAATTGGATCCAGACTTCTTAAATTTCTTATGGTTGTGTATTGAGATCTGGAGAAGGCTTGCACCACGGAAAATAATAACAACTCCCTTTTGATATCTTCTTCCATATTCATGATTTCTAATTAAAAGCTCTATTACCTTCTTGAGGATTTGATCATTGCTCATTTGGTACGATAACTATCTAGTACACAAGATGATTTAATGTAGCAAGTATTAAAATAATAATGTGTTTATTGAAGGATCCAAGAAATAGATGGTGGGATTAGTAACTTAGAATTGTTATATTTAATTTAAAAATAAGTTGGCAGTTCACTTTAATGATCCAAAAGAAAAAATCCTTGTAATTATGAAAACTACCTGAAGCATAGATCTATATCGTTGTTTTATTTTTTGAATCTTCAAGGTATTCTAAACTCAAAAGCCTAAACTAATTTTACGTTATTTTGTTGGATGTACCGTACGGACACGGTTAGTTAAAAATTTTCTACATATATAAATACTTCAATCCAAAACTACTTAATTAAACGATTAAAACCTTTTTCATTATATTGTTGTTTAATAGTCACATCGTTATACTAATGTTATTAATATACTAATTATTTTTTATAATGCTACGACATGACAAAATGTTATAATTAGCTTGAGTGTTGGTGCTCAAATATGGGAGATTTCTTAAACTATATAGTTAGGTAATGCTTGAATGATTTCCTTGTATACAAATGGCAGCAATATCTTTTGAAGAGGTAGACAACTTAATTTAGAAGCGTACTAATTGGATTGACAAAATATTACTCTAGCTGGGGATAGAAACATTGTCATATCACAGATAACCAGAAAGGGAAGAGGGAAGAAATTAACCAGCAGCATGCTTGGATATATAGTTGATTAATCTAAATAGTTCTAGAGAGTCATTGTTTGGATAATGGGTAGTAGAGATTAAGCGTCTCTGAGAGAGATTTCTTTAAGTGATCAATTCTGGTGGCATTGTTGGAAATGGCATCGGTCATGGGGTAGAAGAAGACAAGTGTGGGATAAGTTGTGGGAGTAAGCTGATCCAAAAGGGAGAGTTTGAAGGGTTTCTTTTGCTGAATTGTTGGGGAAGATGGTTTGATGAGTTCTTTCGAGATGATGCGAACTTCTATCTTCACCATTTTTCACAAGACTCTTGCTATGCCAAAATGGAAGTGATCTGTTTTCGAGTGCTTATGGATTTAGGCAGAAGCATTGTTTCTTTACATAGTTAGAGCTGGTTATATAGACTTTTGCATGAGCAACTGATTCTTCGCAGATGCACGCAGTCCAAGAGGCACGCTAGATTAATACCGAAACGGTCCACAAGCTTTTTTATGAAATACTGCCATGTTGAAGATGCCATGTACTTTAAGGGGAAAAAAAAAACACTGAACATCGTAATTTAATATTACTCTACCAACCGATTCTGTCAATTTTACCGGTTGAGGATTTTTGAGATGGAATGTGAATTTTTAAAAATCGTCATTGAGGATGTGGTTATTTATGTCAATTTAAAAATAATAATTTCTAATAATAAATTTTTTTTTAATTTATAATTCATTTATGGAAATTCATATATATGTAATTTAAACAAGATAATTATCATCATATCACTAAAGCTTAAAGTATCTTGATTTCATAATATAGTTATTGTTTTTCAGACATTTATAGGAAAACGTCCAAATATAATTGATATGGATCTAATTTTTAATTTAGTTGAACAATTCTTCACATATATAGCATATCATTCACAATTACAACTAACTTTGTAGCAAAGTTATAAATATTTGTTCCTAAAATAATAAAATTTTAACTGCCAAATAAAATAATATATCTAAAAACAAATTACATAACATGATTATTTAATCATTTTGTTACTATACTAAAGTTACTAAAAGTACCTTTATTAAAAAAATATACTAAAAATACTACTGTGCAATTATTGGTAAAGATAAAAAGTAAATTGGTTCAATTAGTGCAATTATTATGTTTAATTAAGTCAAAATAGTGTATCCTTACGTTTCAAGACTTCTGTTTCTAGTAATTAAGTATAAAAAATCTTTTTAACTTAAAAGTTTAAATTATTGAGTGAGATTTAAAAAATATCCTCATTACCTTTTGCTTAATTATTTTTAAAAAATAGTAAGATTCGAACTCATAACTATTTTGTCAGCAAAACGTTAATACCAAAACCATTTGAATACAGTAGGGGTGCGCGTGTGCGCGCACACACGCACACACACACACACACACACATATATATATATATACTTTTTTTTTATAGGGCAATTAAAAATGCTTGATTGGGAAAGAAGAACATAAGCTTTTAAGGAATTCATGATTCTTTGCAGATGAATTTGAAGATGAACCATAGTGTTGATGTCAAAAATAGGTTGATGAGATGAAATACGTGGACAAAAATAGTTGGTATGACAAATCTTGTTAGACTTGCTAGATTTGATCATTGGATTAGTTAGACTTAACATAAAAACTTAAACTATCTTAATTTTGTTATAAAAGAAATGATAACAATTATAGAATTGGAGAGAAAAATGATGAAAAAATAATCTTAATATGAAATAAAGAAAATACAAGAGAAACCATTTGAATTCAAAATATTAAATTACTAAATAAAACCTCATAAATAGTTTTACATTACTCTACAATAGGCATATATATATATATATATATATATATATATATATATATATATATTTTCTTAAGGGCAATTAAAAATGCTTGATAGGGAAAGAAGAACATAGGTTTTTAAGGAATTCATGATTCTTTGTAGGGGAATTTCAAGATGAACCATAGTGTTGATGTCAAAAATAGGTCGATGAGATGAAATATGTGGACGGAAATAGTTGGTATGACGAATCTTGTTAGACTTGCTAGATTTGATCATTGGATTAGTTATACTTGATATAAAAACTTAAACTATCTTAATTTTGTTATAAAAGAAATGATAACAATAATAGAATTGGAGAAAAAAATGATAAAAAAAAATAATTTCACCGTAAAATAAAGAGAATACAAGAAAAATCATTTGAATTCAAAATATTAAATTATTAAATAAAACCTCATAAATAGTTTTATATTACTCTACAAAAAATATATATATATATATATATATATATATATATATACGTGTATATATATATATATATATATAACGTGTTTTTTTATAGGCAATTAAAAATGCTTGATTGGGAAAGAAGAACAATAGGTTTTTAAGGAATTCACGATTCTTTGCAGGGAAATTTCAAGATGAACCGTAGTGTTGATGTCAAAAATAGGTTGATGAGATGAAATACGTGGACAAAAATAGTTGGTATGACAAATTTTGTTAGACTTGCTAGATTTGATCATTGGATTAGTTAGACTCAACATAAAAACTTAGACTATCTTAATTTCATAATATAGTTATTGTTTTTGAAACATTTATTCGAAAACCAAATATAATTGATATGGATCTAATTTTTAATTTAATTGAACAATCAATATTCACATATAAAGTATATCATGCCACAATTACAACTAACTTTGTACCAAATTTAGAAATATTTTTTCATAAAATAATAAAATTGTAACTGCCAAATAAAATAATGTATCTAAAAATAAATTATATAACATGATTATATTAGACGTCATTTTGTTACTATACTAAAATTATATTGGTAAGAACAAAAATATAACTCATTAATACGTTTATTCAAGTCAAAATATTGTATCAATATTGATATGATATTATAATTAATAAATTTATTAAAATGTATTATATTAGACGTCATTTTGTTACTATGCTAAAATTATATTGGTAAGAACAAAAATATAACTCATTAATACGTTTATTCAAGTCAAAATATTGTATCAATATTGATATGATATTATAATTAATAAATTTATTAAAATGTATAAAAAGTCAAATAAGATTGAAGGAGTATGATATTTGCACATCAGATCTTGATGAACCATTCGATCATTTTGATGAATTGATGAATGAGCTTTAAATTTGGCAGATGGGGGCGTTGGAAATATGAGAAGTCATTTGTAATCTGTAGGTAGGGCTACTCCAAAGGGGAAATGAATTAATTATAGTTAGGTGGGTATGGTATCTCAAAATTCAATCCGACCATTAATATTAACCTTTTAACAGCGATCGTGCCTATATCTCTTAATGTCTTACATAGGATAAAGATTTTTTTTTTCCACCCTAAGATATTTTCAAATCTCATTTTTCATGATGAGCTATTTTTAATTTTATTTTTTAAAAAACAATACATTTTATATCATGGAAGATCCACATAAAAAATTCGTATCATTTTTTTATTAAAATAATATACATATCATGTAGAAAATAATTAAGAAATTAGTAAAACTTTTTTCTCTATATTATAATTCATTAATCTAAATTTTGGAAAAAAAATATTTTTGGTGCTATAAAATCTCAATCTAAAATTATAAAAACTCTAGAGGTTATAAATTTTAATAAAATAAATACTTTTTTATGTTATATAGCTTCTTTATTTTTTTTTAAAAAAGAAAATTCATGCATTCAAATGTATTTTTTATCAAAAAAGAAGTAGAGAAAATATAATGAAAAAAAGAAGGAAGGTCAACAATGGTTAATTGGTAGATTTACATTAACTTTACGATGAATTACCTAAACCAATATTAATAAAGAGTGTGTGCATATATGTGTATATATATATATATATATATATATATATATATATATATATATATGTTAGGTGATGATATTGATACTAACTCTTAGATAACATTTAGGAATGACATTATTCATGAAATACCACGTCACTAAGTTGATGGGAGGAAAAAATTGGTCCAAATTATACCTAGCTAAAAAAGAGATATATTTTTGTATTTAATATATATATTATTTTCTAATATTCTATTAGGTTTGGAGGCAATTTCTCCGTCTTGTTAAAAGATGCACCAACACAACGATTTTCCTCATAAGCAGACTAGAACATAAGGAAACTTACACTCTTTTTTTGACTATTTGGTTAGGTTGTTCTTGACCCTCCTCCATGTAAAACTTTAATATAGTTATATTTGTTCTTTGTTAATGCTAATTAGTGTGCTTAAGGATAGTTAAAGAGTCTTAATCATGTAAGATTCATAAGAAAAATATAGTGTTAATTATCTACAAAAATTCTGTACTGTAGTGGAAACAGCAAACTTAGTGCTTCCATATTTTAAAAACACTTGATTTGTTAATGAAAATTAATTATTAAAATTGAAAAATCAATCTTTCTCTAAATACAATTAAACCGTCAACATTTTCTACTTTGGTTAAAAAGGGGCCAAAGGCCTAGATAAATTAAACAAATTAACGCATGCAATTACTGGATACTGATCGAAACTCCCAATAAATTAAAACATAAAACAAGTGCAACCCAATTCCATCAGCAGAGTTAAAATCAATATCAAGTGCAACTTTTCTGTCTTTGGATACCATAAGACCAATCCTCTCTGAAATTCCTAAACCTTTATTACATTTCTTCTTCTTCTTCTTTTTTTTTTTGGTGAAAAAAATCCAAAATTTTAATCTCTAAAAATTATTAATTAATCTCGCTTTTATTGTTTCACATAAAATGAACCTTAAAAGACATTAAAAGACATTAATAATCCAAATCTCAAGTTCTTTAGCAAATCTGTATGCACAAGCCAAGCACTTCCAACAATTCCAAGTCAGCAACTGCAACTATGGAGAATGCATGGAAAGGATCGGTCAAAAGTATGTCGTTTTCTTACCCTTATTTTTACAGAAATGTAAGCCCTAGATTCCCAGTTTCGTAAATTAATTAATGCCTGCTGACTTCCTTAGATGTGTCAGAAACCCATTGGTCCTAAAAGAAATCGCCGCGATCAGCCAAAGCGAGAGATAAAAACAAGACTATCATTATTTATGCTTCATAAATGTTTCTGTACCTAATTGGATCCAGACTTCTTAAATTCCTTCTGGTTATGTATTGATATGGAGAAAGAGACAGGTCGAAAATAATAACAACTTCTCCCTTTTATAATTTCTTACATAGTTTCATAATTTCTAAAAAAGCTCTATTACATTTTCGAGAATTTAGTCCTTAAAACTTATATAGAGTATATGATCTTGTAGTTAATTAATTAGAAAAAAAATAAAATGATAAGATTCAAACTCGTAATTGTTTAGTTATCAAAATTTTGATATCATGTCAAAAAACTATTTCAACTAAAAACTTAAACTATTAAATAAAATCTAAAGATATAATTTATATTATTCTTTAACGGATATAATAATTAGCTAGCTGAGTAAGTACACAAAGTGTTTTAATATAAAAAATTATTAAATAATTAATTATTAAAATAATAATGCCGACAATGTTTATAGAAGGATCCGTTAAGGAGTAGTTGGTGTGATTAGTAACTTAAAATAGTTCTATTTAATTTAAAAATAAAATAAAAAAGTTGGAGTACACTTTAGTGATCCAAAAAAAAAAAAAATCTTTGTAATTACGCAAATCTACCTCGGACGTAGATATATATTGTTGTTTTATAGTCACATAGTTATGCTATTAATATACTAATTATTTTTTATAATGTGACATGACAAAATGTTATAATTGGCTTGAGTGTTGGTGCTCAAAATGGGAGATTAATTCTTAGATTATCTAGTTAGTAACGCTTGAATGATTTCCTTGTACACAAATGGCAACAATAACTTTAAGTTCAAGAGGTATACAACAAAATTTAGAAGCGTACTAAATAGATCGACAAAATATCACTCTAGCTGGGGATAGAAACATTGTCAAACCACATATAACAATAAAGGGAAGGGGGAAGAAATTAACCAGCAGCATGCATGGATATTATATATATATATATATATACACACACACAATTAATCTAACGAGTTGTAGAGAGTCATTGATTTGAAAACTTAGGATTTGGAGAAGCAAATGCCAGGAATTCAGGATCACGTTCCAATATAGCCATTCGTTCCTCATCTAAGGTGACCCATGCCTCAATCCCTTTACCGTCTTTGGTTTCGATAAGTACAGTGAAATTTCTGAAAGCAGGGCCAACTTTTCCCATGAGGCTAAACCAAAAAGGCTCTCCCTGTCCAAAGTTTGCCTTAGTGAAACCAATATAACACCAAAAAGTACTTGGAAAATTATATGGCTTTCAAGAGAAAATAACCCTTCTAGCTGGTTAAAGTATTCAGACACTGTTTCAAACCCTTCGTCACCTTGTAGAGTCTGTGTGTAATCACTGTCGTATAGTGCAGTAGCTTCATTCAACATGTTTACCAACTCATGCAGTTCAGGGATTAGAGAGCCAAAACAGCTAATGCTATCTAGTTCAAAAAAAAAAAAAAAAAAAAAAAGAAAAGAAATAAGAACAGAAGGAAAAGAGAAAGTGGGGAAGGAGGAGAAAAGGGAAAAATAGAACCTGGGTTAGAGGGTAAGGAGGAGAAGGAGTGATAGGGCTGGGTTTGATTTAGTGCGGCCCAAAAAAGGTAGGCTGAGTCCAGCCTGGCCCGAAGCAAAAAGAAGGGCAGGAGAGTTATGGTTCTGGACTAGGCTTGGCCCAGTCCAAACGAAAAAGGCAGAGAAGAAAAAGGGGTGTTGGGCTGGATCTACCCCAGCCGAAAAAGAAAGGAGAAAGGCAGGAAAAAGGCTGCCTTGAGGTCGGTCCAAGCCCGGCCAAGTGGACCGAAAACCATGTGGGCTCAAATGGCCCAATCATCCTATTTTAATTCAAAATATTAAATTATTAAATAAACCCTCATAAATAGTTTTATATTACTCTACAATAGCTATATATATATATATATATATATATATATATATACAATTTAACATATTTTTTTATAGGGTAATTAAACAATGTTCGATTGGGAAAGAAGAACGTAGGTCTTTAAAGAATTCACGATTCTTTGCAGAGGCATTTCAAGATGAACCATAATGTTGATGTCAAAAATAGGTTGATGAGATGAAATAGGTGGACAAAAATAGTTTGTATGACAAATCTTGTTAGACTTGCTAGATTTGATCATTAGATTAGTTAGACTTGACATAAAAACTCAAAGTATCTTAATTTCATGTTATAGTTATTGTTTTTGAAATATTTATACGAAAACCAAATTTAATTGATATGGATCTAATTTTTAATTTAATTGAACAATCAATATTCACATATAAAGTATATCATGCCACGATTACAACTAACTTTGTACCAAATTTATAAATATTTGTTCATAAAATAATAAAATTGTAAATGCCAAATGAAATAATGTATCTAGAAATAAATTATATAACATGATTGTTTTAGTCATTTTGTTACTATACTAAAATGATATTGTTAAGAACAAAAGTACATTGGTTAATTCCCTTAGTGCAATTAATATGTTTATTCAAGTCAAAATATTGTATACTCAAATTTCCAGCACTTGCGTTTCTAGTTATAATGGATAGATTTTCTCTTAAAAAAATCATTAAAAAATATTGATATGATATTGTAATTAATATAGTTATTAAAATGTGTAAAAAGTCAAATAAGACTGAAGGAGTAGGTAAATGGTTAACCATTGGATCATTTTGATGAATTGATGGATGACCTTTAAATTTGACAGATGGGGGCGTTGGAAATCTGAGAAGTCATTTGTTACCTGTAGGTAAGGCTGCTCCTGAGCGAAAATGAATTAATTACAGTTAGGTGGGTGTGGTACCTCAAAATTCAATACGACCATTAATATTAACGTTTTAACCGCGACCAGGTGCTGCCTGTATCTCTTAACGTCTTACATAGGATAAAGAAGTTTTCTTCTTTTTTTACACACTAAAATGCTTTCAAATCTTATTTCTCATAACGAGCTGCTTTTAATCCAAAAATTTTATAATATTTAAAAAATAACTAATGACATGTATAATAGTTATTTTATAAATTTATTTAGAGAAGAAAGATAGATATATAAAATTATATTTAAATTCATAAAAAATAATAAGAAGATTTTTATATTTGTTCAATTTTTTTAATATTTTCTCTCTTATTATACATATATATATATATATATATATATATATATATATATATATATATTTGGTCTATCTCTATTCTCTAAGTGTGTTCATAAAATAACTACTATATATGTCATTAATTATTTCTTAAATATTATAAAATTTCTCATTTTAATCTTATTTTCTAAAAAATACATTCTACGTCATGTAAAATCAACATGAAAAATCCGTATCATTATTTCTTTCTTAAAATAATATTCATATCATTTAAAAAATAATTAAGAAATGAGTAAAACCTTTTTCTCTACGTTATAGTTCATTAATCTAAATTTTAGAAAAAGAATATTTTTGGTGCAATAAAATCTCAATCTAAAATTATATGGCTTTCAAGAGAAAATAACCCTTCTAACTGGTTAAAGTATTCAGACACTTTTTCAAACCCTTCGTCACTTTGTAGAGTCTGTGTGTAATCAACGTCGTACAGTGCAGTAGCGTCATTCAACATGTCTACCAACTCGTGCAGTTCAGGGATTAGATAGCCAAAACGGCTTATACTATCTAGTTCAAAAAAAAGAAAAGAAAAAGAAATAAGAACAGAAGGAAAAGAGAAAGTGGAGAAGAAAGAGAAAAGTGAAAAATAGAACCTGGGTTAGAGGGCAAAGAGGAGAGAAGGAGTGACAGGGCTGGACTTCATTTAGTTTGGCCCAAAGAGAAAAACTTGGGCTGAGTCCAGCATGGCCCGAAGCAAAAAAGGGCAGGAGAGTTATTGGGATGGACTGGGCTAAGAAAAACGGGTGTTGGGCTGGGTCTACCCCAGCACGAAAAAGAAAGGTGATAGGCAAGAAAAGGGCTGCACAATTTTGATTTACTCGTTGAGGAATTTTGAAATGGAAAGTGATTTTGAATTTTTGAAAATAGTCGTTGAGGATGTGGTTATTTTCAGTGAAGTTAAAAATAAAAAATTTTAAAAATATTTTTTTTATTATGTATAACCTATTATTGGAAATTCATATATAATTTAAACGTAAGGTGAAGAGTTTATTTCATCCAAAATAAAGGTAAATTTATACTTTACCATTAGTCAAAGAAACCATTCAAACTATCTGTGGAATAACCACCTCATCAAAATTTGACAGATGGGGGCGTTGGAAATCTGCGAAGTCAGTTATAATCTGTAGTAGGGCTACTCGAAAGGGAAAATGTACTCTATATAGTTGGGTGGGTACGGCCCGTATCTCAAAATTCAATACGACGACCGTATAACATTAACGTTTGCATAGGTACCCTGTGGTACCTATTTATCATGGATGACGAATTCTTTTTTCTTTTCCGGAATAACGTGATTTTAAATGCTTGATGCTAGCTATTTGTTTTCATAATTAAGCATCTGATTTTTATTTTTATTCGGATAAGTTAACGAGAGTAAAAATTTCATCGACAATCTAACTAAAAATTAGATATTTATTGTATTTAATAATTATTATTTTCTAAAATTCTATTACAATTTGAAGGGAATTTTTTCCTACTATTAATGGCATCAACCCTAAATGTTATCTTTTTTGTTAGTGTCTATGCCATTACTTGACGGACACATCAACAATTTGACTCATATACATTAACTTAAGTTAAAAAAAAAAAAACGGATACCTATTTGAATAAAATTAAAAATAAAATACTCAATGATGAAAATCAAATAAGTTAAGACACTCAAAAAAATCGAAATTTTCAATCTCTAAAAATTATTAAGTAAGCGCACTTGATTGTTTCACATAAAATGCACCTTAAAAGACATTAAAAGAAAAGAAAAAGTCCAAATCTCAAGTTCTTTAGCACATGCATCTGCATGCACAAGCACAAGCACTTCCGACACTTCCAAGTCAGCAACTGCAACTACGGAGAAGAAACAATCGGTCAAAAGTATGTACTTTCTTTCCCTCATTCTTACATAAATGCACGTCCTTGATTCCCAGTTCTCTAAATTAATGGCTTCTGACTTCCTGAGCCAAAAATCCATTGGCTCTAGAATCAATCGCCAAACAAGACTCATTATTTATGCTTCATAAATTTTCCTGTACCTAATTGGATCCAAACTTCGTGAATTAATTCCTTCTGTTTACGTATTGATCTGGAGAAAGCGGCAAGTTTGCACCAAGTAAAATAATAACAACTTCTCCCTTTTGATAACTTCTTCCATAGTTTCATGATTTCTAATTAAAAGCTCTATTACATTCTTGAGAATTTGATCCTTGCTTATTAATTTGCGGTTTGTTAACGAGTTAGATGAGTAAGTACACAAGATGCTTTAATACAGAGAATCTTAAAATAATAATGTAGACAATATTATTTGTAGAAGGATCCACATTATTAAAGAATAATATAAATTATATCTTAAAAATTCTATCTAACGAGCCTTAGTGAACAAACGATTATGAATTTAAATCCTATCACTTACATTTTTTTTTAATTAATTAAGCATAAGGTTCATTTCGAATTATGCTTTTGCATATATATATATATATATATATATTTTTTTTTCTTTTTTAATTAATTAAGTATAAGATTCACTTCGAGGCGTTACGCTTTTGCATATATATATATATATATTATTGTTTTGCAGTCACATGGTTATGCTATTAATATAATAATTATTTTTCATGATGCCACATGACAAAATGTTATAATTGGCTCGAGTGTTGGTGCTCCAATATGGGAGATTTCTTTAGTTAAATAATGCATGAATGATTTCCTTGCACACAAATGGCAACAATATCTTTTAAAGAGGGAGACAACATAATTTAGAAGTTTACTAAATAGATTGGCAAAATATTGCTCTAGCTGGGGATAGATACATTGTCATGCCACAGATAACCAGAAAGAGAAGAGGGAAGCGAAATTAACCAGCAGAATGCATGGATATATAGTTAATTAATCTAACTAGTTCTAGATAATCATTAATTTGTCTAGCTACAAGCTAGCAAACTTCTCACAAAAATAAACTCACCCTGAGAGGATATTGAAGGGAAAAGACATCACAGGCTTGAAAACTTAGGATTTGGAGAAGCAAATGCCAGGAATTCAGGATCTCGTTCCAATATAGTCATTCGTTCCTCATCTAAGGTGATCCATGCCTCTATCCCTTTACCATCTTTCGTTTCAATAAGTGTTGTGAGATTTCTGAAAGCAGGGCCAACTTTTCCCATCAGACCAACCCAGAAGGGCTCTCCCCATCCAAAGTTTGCCTTAGTTAAGCCAAGATGACACCAAGAAGTAAATGCAA